TTACAGAAAGAATTTTGTGTCTTTTTGTTAATTTGAAAATAACAAAATGAGGTCTGGTCTGTTCAGAGTGACTCAGAATATACACTTTTAGTTTCTATCATAGCACAAGATGTCTGCCGATATAAATACCCTGACAGTACAGGTCAGTGGTGTTCATGCAAATGTGTGACCGATTTCCGTTCCAGAGAGTTGACGGCACACACCGCTGACCGCGTTCGGCTCTATTAAAATGGCCGCCGCCACATGTTCGACTGTCTAATGGTGGCCACTTCGACTACTTCGGCACTTTGGCTGTATCTGAAGTGCCATATCAAATGTACCCATTCTTTGCACAACACAGTTAAAGGGCCAGAAACAGTTTTTGTCCTTAGGTACAGGGCAATGTGGATGATGGCAGGAAGGCAAAAGGTTAGGACGCTGGTACAACATATATTACAGATCCAATGCAAAACAGGGGGATCTGTTACATATATGATCACACTACACCCACTTTGCACCACATATTACAAAATTTTAAACACAAATATAACATTCATTTGTGATGCAAAAATTAACTATTCTGCCAGTTTAGGTTTTGGAAATATTTAACATTATTTTTGATCAAACCAGCCCACTTTGCAATTCATGTTATTAAATTTTAAAAGCAATTATAACATTTGTTTGCATTGTGTTTGTGCTGCAAAAATTAACATCTGTGCTAGTTTAAAAATCACAAAAGATCATCCGGCCCCTGACAACAGCCCAGGGAATTGAAACCAGACTGGTACGTAAGTGCCACGTTTGTGCTGTTTAAATCTCCACTCTGTCTCTTTTATTTGTTGTTTTCAAGTTATTAATTTATTAAGGTAACCATGCCTGCCTACAAAAGCTCAAAGACTTGAAAATAGGCTGATTGATCAATGCTGCATTTGTACCATTTAAATATCCATTCTGTTCCTTTCAGTTTTAGATATATAAATGATTATGTATTATCTTTATTTTAAAATGCGCTGAAGTATATGCTATAGTTTTTCCTTGTGTTTTTACAAAACTTGTATGTAATATAAGCGATATTTTGGTATTCACCACTAACATAACTTTAAATTACTTCTACTGGTATATTGGGTGTTATGAAAGGTCATTTTTAAGACTTTTTTGGCTTTGTAACTTTGTTCAGTGGTCTGTCACAGAGTTTTGTTTTTAGGTGGACTGTATTGATTGGTTGAGAAAAAAAGTGTCACTATAGTGTCTCACTTAAAATACATTGCTAACAGCACAGCTAATACTATGGAGCTCTTGGTAAGATTTGCTTAGATTTGCTTTTTGTTCCTTTATTTAACATTTTAGTTAGCTCAATGTTAGATTAATATCTAATTTTGTTGAAAGGCAGTGTGCTCCTTGGATGCACAGAGGACAGTTGCTGACAAGAACGATAATTGAGTCAATTTACTACTTGCAAATAAAGATAGTGAGATACATAAAATAAATGAAGATCTGTGATATTTACTGGCACAACTTGATGTTACCAATAGAGCCTATCCACTGTTAGCTTAAATAAATTATAAAAAATAAAAAAAATTATACACCCATAAATCAGCAACACATGTTGAAAATATAGGTAGTGGTAGTACATTTTAAATCCATTTTTAACATATTTAAAAAATTGAATAAATTGGCATACATAACTATAAGTTAGCCTCCAGTGCAGTCTAATGCAGCCCTTGAGTTAATATTTTTGGGTAAGCTTTTTAAGAGATGTAATATTTTTGCCAACATTTTTTTAAATATTCAATATGGGGGAAATTGATCAATTTTGGGATTATTTTTATTTTTGGGTAAGCTTTTTAAGAGACGTAATATTTTTGCCAGCATTTTTTTAAATATTCAATATGGGGGAAATTGATCAATCTTGGGAAGATTTTTATTATAACCCATGAAGGAGATTTATAAATGTGAGCTGAGATATACAAATGGAAATGTTGATAGTTGTCTGGAACATTCTCAATCCTAGGAAATGCCAAACATATATTAACCACGTTAGTCAGGTAAGAGTGGTATGGGCCATGGAGCCCAGTGGGGTCCACGTCATTTTGGATACAGGATGCTACAGGTTTAATGAAGCAGCATTCTATGACCTTATGTTTTGTCATTTATACATTGCTATTTCTATGATTTTCTACAGGAGTTTTCACAATAACTATTCTTTTTCCTTTTGTAGAAGATGAGAAAAGCCAGCTCATAAATTTTATTACCTCTTAACAATTAAAGACACAAAATTCAAACAGAAGATGCAACAAAATTTCACACTCGTTCATTCATATATTCTTATCATGGAAAGAGGAAGGAAACGTGAAACGAAAAAGAAGCAAACGAGTCTGACTAATAAATATGAACTACATTATTGTCACCTTCAAAAATGGTCACAAATTTTTACCTCTCTCTCTACAAATATATATATATATAAATGTCTATCAATGTTATTTATTTGAAATATTGTCTACTGTTTTTTTAAAGATATTTAATGACACAAAAATGTTATCTATGCATGATGAAATTTAAAATATATGTACATAGTAATTTCCAGAACACAAAACATGTAGTTTGTGGTGGATTAGTATAATATTGAGTATTATGCTTCATAAAAGCAGCTCATTAAGTTTTTATGTTAGTATACAATACTAGGGACACCTAGTGGTATACCGTGGTCAGCTGGATTTAATATGGAAAAATGTGATATGCTTCTTCTACGCACAGAAGCATCATATAGCATCTTTAAAGGAACATTAAAGTGCAACCCAATGAAGTGGTCTGGGTGCACTGGTCCTGTCCTTTTAATACATTCTCAATAGAAGTGAAACTTGGCTGCCAGCATGTTCTGATTGGTTGACTTACTAGCCAAACAGTTAGAGCACTATTGGTCATATTGCAAAGCTTAGGGAATTTTCTGATAGCTCTCATAGTGTGGGAAAGCCTGGAAAAGGGCTTTCCCCACTAGGAGCACTCATTCTGCGGTGTACCCTTCATGGTTGAAGATGGACTATTTTTGTTACAGCTTGTTTTGATGTTTTCTGGCTGTTTTATTTTTTTAAAAGGTTTTATATGTTTTAAAGGTGAGGGGTTTGGTAGGGACTTTATTTTAGAGGGTGGCTATGGGATTGGGGTTTTATTATTATTTAGGGGTGGAAATGGCATGTCACCCCATTTTATAATTATTTACCCTTTATTGTTAATATTAGATACCTCACTCACTGCCTATGGGTGGTCACCAGGAGAGAAGACAATAGATCTTCCAATATTGTTAATATTAGGGCCCCCACGTGGTGGGTGCATGAAGGGAGACAATAGGCACACCCTTTAAAATTTGAAGTAGTTCCTACCCGATGCCAAAATGTGGGAGCACTGGGGGGATTATCTCCCCCCATTTTTTCACAGACCCCATCCTCCCATTTTTAATGTTTAGCAGACATGAATGATGGATGGCAGGCAGGGGCATATTGAAATTTACAACATCCTTTATAGTAATATTGACACTCTATTTGTTTTTTTCTTTTTACTTGTTTAATGTGGCATCATTAACCCTGGCACAACTACGAGGTTTTAACTATTTGCCTGCTGGCTGCTAGCACTACCAGTGGGCAAATATCTGGCTTTTTTTTTTTTTTAATCCAGGCCTGGATTTAATACATTCAGCCGGGATTTTGTTTGTAAATGTTCAGTCTGGCTAAAATTCTGATCAAATTCAGCCCCGCTTTGGGCCTGATTTACAAAATTTAGACATTAATGAATTCCATTCCATTCCAATAAACAATTTCCTGATTTTGCATACAGGGCCACTTGGACTGTAGCGAATAACCCTGTTAATAAAATCGGTCTAACATCAATCAAAGCAAAATTTACTAAAAACAAGGACAGAAGTTAAACAGCATATACACGTAAATATACAAACAGAACTGCTGTAAGAAAATCTAGAGAGACAGAGCAGACAGGGATGTCTTTTAATGTAAAGATAAGTAAGTAATCATTACAGCGTGCAATACACAAAGTCTAGCACAAAAATAACACTGCCAGTGGCTCAGAATACTCCATCCCTATAATATATGGTGTGGCAATATAATGCTGTGCGGAATTAGTACTCATCTATATTGACTGGGCTACCTGTTAGATGAGGAAGAGGAATAAATATACCCGCATACTGGGAAACAGAGAATTTATATCGAACCTATAATAAAAATGGAAGACTTGGAATTCATTAAATTGCAGCAGGGCAATTATTCCAAGCACCAAAAAAAATTGGATTGCTCAAAAACAATGAATGGTCTACAAAGACCTTGGGTTTCTATTGCCCTGAGTGTACCACAGCTAAAGTCTGTCATTTTCATTTTGAATAAAAAAATTACATCAATCAGATTGACATTGCATTGTGTTGGAAGTATTGTGGTAATACTTTTGATAAATATTTGCCTAGTTACCTCTTCCTTATAGTCTATCAATCTAGTGGATTCGAGTGCCAGTATATTCCTTGACGTTTCTCTTGCTGCTACACACCCTGCTACCTCTGGCAACAAATAGTTCCTGGAGCACAGGTGGTGGTAGTTGCTACCACTGCATCCACTGCAGAAGTTTAGTGCACCACCCCTTTGCATCAGTTATTATATGAGAGCACCATGCCAAGCTAGATTCTCACCCCAAATTTGCTCAGCAACATGCAACCAGTGGACAAACACTATGTGTCGGTAAAGGGATTGTTTAAAATAGGGAATAATGGGGTACTTAGGTCCTGACAAATCTTTGTTGTCTAGGGGATAGTATTTCAAGTTCATGGAAATGAGACACTAAACTTCCTTTTACTGTGCCAATGGTGGGGTTATTTCTGTTGAACAGCAGAGCAGGCTACTTCAAAAAGTTACTGTCATGGTACTTAACCATCACGCAGCTCTGGCCTTTAGGTGTGTGTTGATGGGAAGAGCTTAGCTTCCTGATTGGCGCAAAGGTCCAGTATTTCTGGGTGTACCAAACACACTATGCGGGAGGCCAGTGCATGTGCAGAAGTTATGGGGCACCAAGAGGGACACTTCATGCTCAAGGCATCCCTCTAGTTAAATACAGTTGCAAGAAAAAGTATCTGAACCCTTTGGAACGATATGGATTTCTGCACAAATTGGTCATAAAATGTGATCTGATCATCATCTAAGTCACAACAATAGACAATCACAGTCTGCTTAAACTAACAACACACAAAGAATGAAATGTTGCCATGTTTTTATTGAACACACCATGTAAACATTCACAGTGCAGGTGGAAAAAGTATGTGAACCCTTCGATTTAATAACTGGTTGAACCTCCTTTGTCAGCAATAACTTCAACCAAACATTTCCTGTAGTCAGAGCATTTGCCTCGGGCGGCATTTTTCAGGGGGCGGCAAAAAAAGCGGCCCCCAAATGCCCAGGGCAAATGCCTAGTTAGCCTTGCGGCTAACAGACATGCCGAGCGGGTAGGCGGCACTGGGCGGGTGGCTGGCGAGGGAGCACGTCCTCTGAGCGGTCTGCTCAGCTCCCTTGCGCGCCGCAGACTGAGGCTGGGAGCCGGGTTGATGACGTCATATTCCGGCTCCCAGCCTCACTCTGAGGCGCGCGAGGGAGCCAAGCAGACCGTTCAGAGGAAGAGCTCCCTCGCCAGTGCCGCCCGCCCGGTAGCCACTGGACCCCCAGGGAGAAAGGGAACCCCCCCAGCATTCCCAAAGGTAAGGTGGGGGGTTGGGGGACACCTGAGTTTTGTCCTGCCTAGGGCAGCACAAAACCAGGATACACCACTGCCTGTAGTTGCAGATCAGACGTGCACAATGGTCAGGAGTAATTCTTGACCATTCCTCTTTACAGAACTGTTTCAGTTCAGCAATATTCTTGGGATGTCTGGTGTGAATCGCTTTCTTGAGGTCATGCCACAGCATCTCAATTGGGTTGAGATCAGGACTCTAACTGGGCCACTTCAGAAGGCATATTTTCTTCTGTTTAAGCCATTGCGTTGTTGATTTACTTCTATGCTTTGGGTCATTGTCCTGTTGCAACACCCATCTTCTGTTGAGCTTCAGCTGGTAGACAGATGGCCTTAAGTTCTCCTGCAAAATGTCTTGATAAACTTAAGAATTCATTTTTCCTTTGATGGCCATCCAGGCCCTGACGCAGCAAAGCAGCCCCAAACCATGATGCTCCACCACCATACTTCACAGTTGGGATAAGGTTTTGATGTTGGTGTGCTGTGCCTTTTTTTCGCCACACATAGTGTTGTGTGTTTCTTCCAAACAACTCAACTTTGGTTTCATCTGTCCACAGAATATTTTGCCAGTACTGCTGTGGAACATCCAGGTGCTCTTGTGCAAACTGTAAACGTGCAGCAATGTTTTGTTTGGACAGCAGTGGCTTCCTCTGTGGTATCCTCCCATGAAATCCATTCTTGTTTAGTGTTTTACGTATTGTAGATTCGCTAACAGGGATGTTAGCATTTGCCAATGACTTTTGTAATTCTTTAGCTGACACTCTAGGATTCTTCTTCACCTCATTGAGCAGTCTGTGCTGTGCTCTTGCAGTCATCTTTACAGGACGGCCACTCCTAGGGAGAGTAGCAGCAGTGCTGAACTTTCTCCATTTATAGACAATTTGTCTTACCGTGGACTGATGAACAGCAAGGCTTTTGGAGATACTTTTATAACCCTTTCCAGCTTTATGCAAGTCAACAATTCTTAATCGTAGGTCTTCTGAGAGCTCTTTTGTGCGAGGCATCATTCACATCAGGCAATGCTTCTTGTGAAAAGCAAACCCAGAACTGGTGTATGTTTTTTATAGGGCAGGGCAGCTGTAACCAACACCTCCAATCTCATCTCATTGATTGGACTCCAGTTGGCTGACATCTCACTCCAATTAGCTCTTGGAGATGTCATTAGTCAGGGGTTCACATACTTTTTCCACCTGCACTGTGAATGTTTACATGGTGTGTTCAATAAAAACATGGCAACATTTCATTCTTTATGTGTTATTAGTTTAAGCAGACTGTGATTGTCTATTGTTGTGACTTAGATGATGATCAGATCACATTTTATGACCAATTTGTGCAGAAATCCATATCATCCAAAGGGTTCACATACTTTTTCTTGCAACTGTATATATAAGATGCATTGTGTCACTTCGGGCCACAGTAGCACCACATCATTCCTGTGACAAATCAGAGAGTTTCTATGTCTTTAAATAGATTTTTAGCCCCACAGCCATGTCGTGGTTTCCATATTGGTTCACAATCAGCGCATTCTTTTCAAGTTTCCCTGATTTCCTGGCATTGACTTTGGCTTATTAACTAACTCTGTGTAACTCTATATTCCTGACCATGGCTCATGTATTCGATTTTCTGTACCACTGTTAGCCTTACCTTGACTTGTTACTGTTTATGATATTTCTCTCTGACTTGTGTTCATTCTGGCCATTCCGAGGACCGGTTATATGCTTACTACATATCCTGATCCAAGTTCTGCATGTTGAGGTACTAAATCCTGACAGTCACATACAGCAGGTAACCGCACAGGATGGATGTCACTACAATGTAACAGTGTTCACGGAAACACCACAGAGCTTTACAGACAAAATTGGTTTCTTATATAGATTACATCACCGTAACAAAATAATAATACACAAAAGATACATTACAGATCATTAAACACTGTGACAAAATAATACACCAAAGGCAAATTATAGAGCATACATTACTCTGATGGAACAATGTGAAAAATCAGGTAGAACCAGTTGATTGCAGACATGGTATCACAGTGAGAAACAGGAAAACAAAACAAAAAAGTTATAGAATCGGTTAATTAACACATGAAAGGCAGGCAGAATCAGTTAGCTACAAAGATAATACAACATTCCGTAAGACAGAGGCCTGACCTATGCTACAAATATTACAAATAAATACATATTTTACATATATCTCTCAAAGACAATTAAAGAGTCATGTCTAAGATGACACTAAACAAATAATTTTTTTATTGGATTCGTTAGGTATTTAATTTCAATTAACCTTCAACCTCCATGGTTCCACTACAATTTCAAGCTTGTTATTGGAAGCATCCACAAGTACATTAATATAGACCTTCCTTCTGTATCCAACACTATGTACCTTATTGGTGAAATTAAGCACACTGAAAGGTCTATAGAAGAAGACTTCATATGAGGGCACAGGTGGGTAGTACTCAATTGCTCAGCAACCTAGGAATCACCTACGTCACCATAATATTGGGATCTGCGCTCCCCACAAAAGGTTATGTTCTTAAATTTACAGAAAATATGCAACATATATGAAAACTGGGGTTGCCAAATCCCCCTATATTTCACAACAGTTATTGCTTCTCTGTGATATTGGGCAGTATGTAAACAGAGCTACCTGGCAGTATGTATAAAGCATTAGCTCTGTAGTGAAATCAATGAAGTAATCAGAGTAGTTCATGAATTGATTTAACTCTGACAATAAATTAGGATGATTACACTGCTCATTTTCTTAAAGGTACACTCAACTGACGCTCTCAGGCAATCAACGGCAGTCCGAGCCTTCCTGTTTTAAGAATCAGAGAGCAGCGAAATTGCAGGGACAGAGCTAAACAGCACTAGATTCAAGACTTTGTGGGAACGGTTTAACCCCTTAAGGTATGCCAGCACAAGTAACTCCTGGCACCATAACAACTTCATTCCATTTAAGTTATCATGGTCAGAAAATTGTATACAGCGATGCAGAGGTTTAGGATGTATATCTGTACAGCACTGCAGCATATACTGGTGCTATAATATAATGTATAGTGTTGATGTTTGATTGAAGTGGTGATTGTATATAATGTTAGTGTTTTAAAACAGCAGTGTGTTTGTATGTAATGTTTGCTTTTAAAAGCGGATGTTTATTTTTGTGTAGTATTGGTGTTTGAATGCAGGGGTGTGTTTGTATGTAGTATATGTGTAAGATTGCAGGAGTATGTTTGCATGTTTTGCTGGTGTTTGCTTGGATCAATGCACATATACACTGCCACATACATACTTACACAGATATACATACACATTAACGCACAGATTCATATAAATACACTGACACATACAAGAAAATTAATATAGACACCAACACATGCACACACCTTGACACACACACATTCACCGACATATACACACACACAAATGAACACCCTGACACACACAAACATTGACACATGCACACGCCAAGACACACAGACACTCACACTGATGAACACACATACAGATGCACACCCTGACACACTGATGCACACCCACATACACAGATGCACACACTGAAACACAGATACACACACACACAAAGATACACACCTTGACAAATAGATGAACACACAGACACACACAGATGCACACACTGACACATACACACAACTTGACACCTGTTGGCATACCTTTTGTGTCCAGGAGGGTAGCTTGCTTCGGGTCCTGATGCTGCTGCTGGCTGAGGTCAATGGCAGTGAGGGGTCTGGAGGAGATATCCCTTCTTGCTCCTCTCCCCTCATGCTACCTCTGCTGCCACCTCTCTTCCTCGACACTGTCTCTCAGCAAGAAGCTGAGAGGGAAATATTTTGCAGCAACCCAGTATGATGGTCACGCCACCCCAGGGAGGCCCAGTGCACAGTTTGGGAGCAGCTGTTCTAGAGTCTAGACTCTAGAATATATGAATTTTATATAGACTTGGCGAGCACTTTTCATGTGCCCTTAGACAGGCACTGTAAATACTGTAGCCCTTGGAGCAGTGAAACTAAGGGAAATGGGCCTTGACATAGCTAGGAGGCAGGTATAGAGGGGGATAGGATTTGATTGGTTTGGAAAGGGTTAGGCAGTACAGGAATATTAATAATGGCATTTTAGTGTACGGGATATTTTAACTAATCCTGATTTACTTGTTGTTGCCCCACCCTCCCTCCCCTTTTTGGGGTTTGTGTGGGTCTGTCATGTCTATTCTCTGCTAGTTTTGTGGTGGCGGATGTAGAAATGTTGGGGGTAGGTACATTGGAAGCTGCGGTCTTGGAAGTTTGGTACCAATATTCACTTGGTTGGATTTTGTATTTGGTAGGTTGGAGCCAATTGGTGGCTTTCAACCTGGAGGAATGTAGGGGTATCTCGGTATACCCCTACAATATTATATCTGTTATATTATGTTGCCTGTTGTGGCTGTGTGTGTTGTATTATGTCATTATAATACTGTCATTGATTATGTGTGTTAAGTTATGTTATGGGTCATTGTATAGTGGTTTTGGAGGTTTGGATGTATTTAATGAGATATGTACAGAGTTAGGTCTGACAATGACCCATTGTGTTAAATATATTTATAAATTATTTAAGCCCTGACATTTACCCACTTTAATTTAGTGTCCGTGTCTTTTTGGGAAAGGGGTAAGTTCAGGTATAATTTATGGCATATGCCAAGAGACGACAATGCGCATGTCAAGATGTGTATTTTTTGCATACTTTTTAGCAATGGGAGGAAGGTGTGTGTGTGTGCTACAATGGTCAGGTAATGGGGGGCCGACCCCATGGGATAGGAGCAGCACCTAGAAAAGTGGCCATATCACCCAGGAATGTGTCCATGCCAGGCTGTCAGCCACTGGTAATGCCAGATACAGGACAGTATGTTTATACTTTACATTTTTTTTCTTGTGTACTTCTTGCTTTCTCCACTCTATTCCAATTGTTGTATCTCCAACCACACATTTTTCTTACCCCACCTGCCCCCACTGTGTCTCTCATGCTATCTTCCCACACTTTTGCGTGTGTTTCTTTCTCTCCCCATTTCTATACAGATTGAATGCTACTCTTCTACATTCCCACACCATGTTTATTACTTTCCCCCATTGTCTCTTCTTTCACCCCTTGATTTTTCTCCACCATTTTGTGGATATTCTCTCCCCACCTTGTGTCTTTTTTCATTTTTATTTTTTTCCCATTTACCCTGGCCGGATTTCCTGTTGGATAGAGTAGGCCTAAGAGGCACCTATTTTAATCATTTATAAGATGACTTTTTAAGCTTAAAAAGTCTGGTGGGGAGGGATGCCAATGTACTTTGTAGTCCAGTCCGTCGTAACAGCAGAACATTATAGATGGTCAGTGCAGTTCCAGCTCCCAGACAAAGGCCTCCTGTGCCGAAACAGGGGGTGTTTACTCTGTCCCCTGTTCACTAACTCGGTAAAGTAATTTTGTACAGCAATTTATTATCATTTCTTGCCTTTTTTTCGATCATATGATTTTGTTTAAGTGATTGCCTATTGGTTTGTATTATTTGCATATGAAATCCAAATATGATTTTTGCTGACATTATGTAGACTAATGAATTATATGTATATTGACTTTTGATTCTTCTTATTAATATTATTATTATTGCCATTTATATAGTGCCAACAGATTCCGTAGCTCTTTACAACATTATGAGAGGGGTGATTTAACTATAGATAGGACAATTACAAGAAAACGTACGATAGGTTGAAGATGACCCTGCTCAAACGAGCTTACAGTCTATAGGAGATGGGGTATAAAACACATTAGGACAGGAAATAGCAATCAAATAAGGTGGGAGTGAAGCAGAGCCGGAGGAGAGAGCAAGAGACAGGTATGTGAGGTAGAGGTTACTCTGGGAGGCCATAAGCTTTCCTAAAGAGATGGGTTTTAAGGCACTTTTTAAATGATTGAAGATTGGAGGACAGTCTGATGGCAGTAGGCAGGCTATTAGGCCATAGGAAGGGAGCCGCCCACAAGAAGTCCTGCAAGCGTGAGTTGGCCGTATGGGTGCGAGCAGCGGACAGGAGAAGGTCACGGGTAGAGCAGAGAGACCAAAAAGGAGCATACCTACCGATCAGTGAAGAGATATAAGAGGGGTTAGAATTGTTCAGTGGTTTATAGGTATGTGTTAGCACTTTGAATTGACTCCTATAGGATACAGAAAGTCAGTGTAAGGACTGACAGAGAGGTGTGGTGTGAGAGGACCGACTAGAGAGGAAAATCAGTCTGGCGGCAGCATTCATTACAGACTGTAGCGGGGTAAAACGGCTTTTGGGAAGACAGTTTAGTAGAGGGTTACAATAATCCATGCAGGAAATTACTAGAGCATGGACAAGCTCCTTGGTAGCATCTTGCATAAGAAAGGGGCGTATGCGGGCTATGTTTTTAAGATAAACAAGTTAAATGTAATGTCTGGTATTAATTAGTAACTTTTGACAAATGTCCAAGGTATTTACTGATTCTGTTTAATGCAATGTAATGCTCTGTGGTAAGATACCTTTATAATATGATGTTATACCAATAAACTCAGAATTGATTTGCAACCTCACTACTTCACTGTTGGTCTTTCTGTCAGTTCTTCGAGCTCGTATATGATGTTATGTGCTAATTGGATTGACAAGCCGTTATTATTACCCGGGGAAGGAATTTAGCCCTAACAGTGATTTAAGGCTAGAGTAGACAAACTGAAAGCATAACTGACTTACAGATTTCTTCTTGACCTTGAATTTTAAATTCATTTTAAATTCTCACTTTAGTCAGTATTACGGATTACATTTTAGAACCTTTGTGGAGAGTCCAGTCAGAAGAAAAAGGTTTCTCGGACTGCCACTCAGCTATGCTACTTTAAAGGGGAACAATGGCCCAGGATCAACAAGTCCACTTGCCAATATCTTGGTTTCCCAGGGAATAAGTCAGTGGATGTAGTGATCTAATAGAGGTGTAACCAGTGCTGCAGGTACATACAGTACACCAGGCCATGGGTAGAAAACCTTTGGTACCTGATACTTTGCCAGCATTATAGCTGTAAGAGCATTATGCAAGATGCAGTCCATAACATCAGTGTGCAAAAAGTAGCCTACCCCTGACCTAGGCCATTGCCTACGTGGCCTATTGGTAGCCCGGTCAGATAAATAAATACCACAGGCGTACACAAGAGCCAAAATCTCATCATTGACCTGCTTCAGGTTTCTGTGGGAACTTTTCCAAGAATTTGCGTTACGCTGTTTTCCTTTTGACTAATCAAATGATGACTCTCTTTGTATATACCTGTTCATAATTAAAGCAAACATTTTAATTAGTATTTTTAAGAATAGTTTAGATGGTAATTTCTATCTGTACGTACACCATAACTCACTGTGCTACACACGTCTGTGCTATGTATGACAGGTAAATCAGCAGAAATGTAATCATTTACGTACAGTGTTAACATATGGGTCCACTAGGTGGAAGCAGACCCTATACATGGCTAGGGCTAAACTGGTTTCTGATGTAACTTTTTTTCTTGACCAATTGCAACAGGGCCTTTTCTGTCGAGTCATGCTTCTTTTGCAGCATTAACAGAGCAGCTAAAAGATTTAGTTCTGAAAACACGAGACACCAAAAGAAGTGAAAAAGCAGACAGTACATAATCAGAACTACGGACTCAGCTACGTTACTATCCTTCTCCATTTCCAGCTGGTAAGTAAACCAGGACTGATTTATTAAAGGAAATATCTAGAGGAATTCTGCTTTAAATAGATATTCTCAAGGTGTGCTGTTATATATGAAAATAAAATACTTTTACTCCTTAACCATTTCATAGCAATAGGCTAGGCAAAAGTAGTAACGGGTTTAACATGTCATCTGTCACGAAAGGGGTCATAGGCTTTCATATTCTTTTTTTTAAACAACTCTTTATCTAAATTTAGTATGTCTTGTACTTTTTCAATGTTTTAAATAATGTTGATTTATTTCATATACAAAGTTTCTGAGGCATAGTTAGGCATTTAATGCAAATTTTAGAACCTTACAGATGGGTGTGTGAGCAAAGTGTGTATAAAACATAATATTTTAAGGAAGCAGGCAACTAAATTGCGAATGCAGACTAAAGTGACTTACCAATGCAAGGTGTATAATAAATGTTCCTTATTTATATTTTTACAAAAGTGCATACCCAAATGAGAAGTGATGCGCATGCTTGTATTTGTATACATGTTAAACTTATCCCTTACCTCTGTTTTACTTCTAATTGGTGAAAACTTTCCACTAGTTCTCAAATTTCTTTTTTTTTTTCTTTTTTATTCTTTATTTTCGTTGTGCATATGATACAGTAAGAGCATGTTGTGACACATGTGCGTCAATGAAACACGTAACAATAAACAATAGGTGTCATGGTTAGGTTGCACATTTTTTAAATACATGAAAAGGTTATGACCCTAAGTGACCATGATGAGATAGACATTAATTGCTTTAATGTAAAGGAGATCGTGAGGCGTCTTTCTAGGGAGAGCTTAGTGGCATATGTGTGGTCGGAGGCAGGACATAGAGATATTATATGCAAGATTGCTGACTTGTAGGTAGTGCAGTACAAGATGGTGTCTGGAGGTGATTGGGTTGTATGCTTGTGTCGACATATTGACTAGGAGTTTGCCTTACAAGGGTCCCGCCTTTGTTAGAAGGTGTGGTAGTTAGGATCTATTGAGGGCTTACTCGTGAGGGCTTGTCGTCTGTGACCAGGGGGAGGGTCGGGGAAGGGGGGTGTTTGTGTTAGCTTAGATTGGCATGGGTTGCGAGACTGGTGTGGGTCTGTGTATCATGCTATTCAGGGGGGGTCGCCATTGGTAGATGTCTCCCCGTAGTTGCGGAGTGTAATTTGGTGCTCTAGAACCATAAATGAGGAAGAGGTGTAAAAGAATAATGTGAACATGTAAAAATCATAAACCTAAACAAACAGCTTGGGCTGTGGCTTGTGCTGCTGATTTTTGGGGTCGTGGTCTGCCTCCTCAGTCAGGGGCCGAGGTGTTTCCATTTCTAGGCACGAACAGCACCACTTGGGTTGGGTTCCAGGTCAGCGGTAGTGGGTGTTGAGTCCATGAAGCCCAGAGCGGAGGGGAGTGCAGGAGCCTCCGTTTCAGAGTAGAGTTTGTGTGTTGTCCCGTCGTGGGTGACGATTAGCGATCTTGGTTACCCCCGTCTATATGTCACTCCTGCGGAGCGCAGGTGCCCTGTAAGCTGGCTCGGTGATTTGCACCACTGAAGTGTGGCTCTGGTTAGGTCCTGGTAAAAGGATAAGTTAGAGTCCTCGAACATGAGTGGGGTCCGACCCCTCAGGGCAGCCATGATTTGGGCCTTCTCCTGTGGTAAGGAGCAGCACAGGATTACATCCACCATCCAGGAGTGCTGTTGGTGATGCCCTTGTAGGGAGGCGGTATATCCCTGCCAGGGTGATCTTTTTGGCTACCGACGGAGGCAGTACGGAGGCCAAGAGCCTTCTGAGTGCGGCATTTCTTCAACAGTTAATGTTGCTGGTATGCCCCGGATTTTAATGTGGTTCCGTCTATATCTCTCTTCTTGGGCTGACAGCTGCAGTGAAAATTCCTGCTTGGTGGATTGTAGTTGTAGGATTGTCTTGTTCATTGTAGCCATTCCATTCTGCATATCCTGGATGGCACCCTCTGCTGTATGTACCCTGTCTGTGACCTGCTGTATACCTGTATGGAGAAGTGCTAGCTCTGCTGCAGGATTTTCTGGAATTCTTGTTTTGTAGCAGGAGCAGAACCATCTGATGTGGAAGTAACTTTGAGTTGGGAGCTCCGAGGTGCAGGCTGTTCCGGTGGCTTTGCCTGGACTGGCTGTGGAGAGGGAACAGAGGGGACTGGGCATTCTGCGGCGGCCATCTTGGGGCACGCTTGGCGCTGTAGTGTCCCTATATCCCCCTGATCGGCCAGAGTACCTGGCTGAGGTTTTTGGGATCGTCTCCCCATCGCTGCTTCAGAGCTGTGGGGGGCTGTCGTGTTCTTCCCCGTCCCAGCGGGAAGGTCAGTCAGACGTGACCCGAGGAGGAAAGTCTCCAGGCAGGGGAAGGCTGAGGGAGCGCATGCTCCCGGCTTGAGTTTCACTTTGGTCTGCTTCGGTGCGTACACAATAGGCATCAATCGATGCAGCAAGGGTTCCTGAGGTTGATGTGGGTGGTTTGGAGGGTGAAGGGCTCCCGTGAGAGGTCTTAGTTTGTAAAATAGTGTCGGTAGATCGGGAGCCGTTGGAAATGGCGTCTGTCTCGTCTCGCTCCCAAGCTCCGCCCCTAGTTCTCCAATTTCATTCATTAAACTGTTAAAGTTATACACAAATGTAAAAATGTAGTGTTAAACAGGGGAGGGCTGGCAGCCTTGGGCCTGGGGGGCAAATCCAGTCAATTGGCCCATTGCACCATCGAATTAGCTCACCATCCATGCCCACTTTTTCCTGGTTTTATAACGGATATAGGTGTAGTCCATGTATCAAGCACGTTTTGTATACATTCATGGCATTACCATCCCATACACCGTCACCAGGGCTTTACAAATTTAATTGAAATCTAGAAGACAGCTGAAAAAGTTAGGAGTAAAGTTTTCAACTTCAAAAATACAATTTTTAAGGGACACTGTAGTCACCAGAACTACTATAATTTAATGTTGTTGTTTTGGAGCCTTTATCCTGTCCCTGCACACTTTTTAATGTAAGCACTGACTTTTCAGAGAAAAGTCAGTTTTTACATTGCTGCCTAGTAGTGATTGTAGTCTTTAGTTGTGATTGGACCCTGGGCAAGCATCTGCATGGGCCCTGTGGATTCCCTCCCCCCACCCCCCATGGCATCAATCCAACCCCTCCCCCCCACCCCACAACAAAAACAAAAAAAAACACACACATATATATGTATACACACACTATATATATATATATATATATATACATATATATATATATATACACACACACACACCACGCATACACAGACACACGGTTTATAGAATATATATATATATATATATATATATATATATATATATAATATACTGGGGGTGCAGAAGGGAGGCTTTGTGGGTGGCTGGTGGTGCCAGAGGGGAGACTTTGTGGGTGGCGAAGGGGAGGCTTTGTGGGTTGCTGGGCTGGGGGTGCTGAGGGTTGCTGTTGGAATGGTTCACACATGGGAGGGAGGTGGAGACTGCCAGCGCAGTCACAGTGAGGCCCTAGCATGACTGTCTCTGTCCACACAAGTACACATACTCATGGGTACACACACACACACAGGTACACACATACTCATGGGTACACACACAGGTACACACATGGGTACACACACACACAGGTACACACACACACACACACACACAGGTACACACATACATACACACACACAGATACACATAAGTACTCACTGACACACAAGTACACATACAATTACACACAGGTACTCATACACACTGACATACACAAACATATGCACAACCTCATGTACACACACAGACACAAACATATATAAATAACAAGTTACATATTTTCTCCACCCTTTTGATGCAGCAGGATTGATATCCTGAGGTCCAGTGGGAGCTGGCTGTCCTCGGATGATGGGAGTCCCTTCCCTCCTCCACGTGTGCAGCAGTTGGTTTGTGTTGCCGCCGCCTCCTCCTCCCCACACGCTGCCCTGTCAGCTGGGACTCGGGAGGAAGTGATGTGAACTCCCTCCCAGCAGGCCGCGGGGGAAGAGCAGATCAAAATGGGCCGCGGAGAGCAGGAACTGAGCGCGTACAAAATGTCAGGGGCCCGGTTGTGGGTTGCGGGGGTGGGGAAAAAAAATAAGAAGCGGCCTGACAGCTGCAATATTAAAGGGCCACGGGCCCCTGATTAAATGTGTATGGGCTCAAGGGGCATCTTAAAGATGGCCCTGCCCGGCGTGAGCGCTGAATGCAGGCAGCTAGCAGCCCAAGCAGCCCTGGATATAGGGCGGCCTGGGGGGCAATTGCCTCCCTGCCCCCCGTCCCAGCCCGCCCCTGGTTTTAAATGTACATTTTACACTGTATTATATTACCAGAGTACGCAGCTAATACTTGCACTTTTTTACACTGAAGTTTTACATTATTATAGTCAAACAACAGCAACGTTGCTAGGGTAAACCCTTTCCTAAAACCCCACCCATTATCTCAGAGCTCCACATAAATAAAACTCACAGTAACAGTATGTACGAGTGCATCACAGAACTTTACAACAACAGTATGTATGAGTGCATCACAGACCTCCACAGCAATAAAACCCACAATAACAGTATGTATGATTGGATCACAGAACTCCATAGCAATCAAACTCACAGTAACAGTTACACATGTGCATTCATTTTCGTACAAATACAATTTCGGCCACAAATTAGTTTTTTTTTTCATATTCATTTACTAAAACGTAAACTAAAGCCCTACATACGAAATATAAATGAAACGAATGGGCAAATGCAGAATTCATTACCTTTTCATTTCATTTCATTCGTTTAATAGACTCCGTGCTGCAGGGGAATTAATGAAATAAAAAAAAAAACAAGGAGGGAGCTGGCAACGTTACCAGCTCCCTCCTTGTAATAAATAACTATTCCTACCCCCTCCCACATTAAAACCTATGGGGGTCACTATGACCCCCATATTTATAAAAGGGAGGTTAAATCCTCCCGCATGCCGCGAGTAGGAGCATGTCACATAAACAAATTTTAAAAGTACTAGTGACTGGGCAGCTCTTGCTACCCAGTCGCTAGGGCATTAAGGGGGGACTTGGCACAGGTCCCCCCACTCCCCCATGGTGGGGAACACAAATACCTAAAATGGGGGGACATAGTGCCCCCCCGCATTCCTACCCGTGCCCCCCCTGGTCCCCACCCATGAGTGGCGGGTGGGGACCCTAAATATATCATGGGGGAGACCTAATGTCCCCACCCATGAGCGGCAGGTTGGACCCTAAATACATAAATAATGTCCCACCCATGATAGGCGGGTGGGGACCACAAATAATAAAGTGACTAGGGGTTCCCAAATCCCTAGTCTCCCCCCCCCCAATAAAAATACCCTATCTACTCCCTTCACCCTAATAATGGTGATGGGGCAATAAACTAACCCTGTAAAATAAAATTTCATACTTATCATTTGATGTCTTCTTTCTTCTTTTCTTTTCTTTCTTCAGCACCAAAAAAGGCCAGATAAAAATCCATAATATGCGTCGCAACTGTCAAAAAAAACAAAACAACCCAAGTGCAAAAAAAAAAATCAAAAAAAAAAAATCCAGACGGTAAAAAGATAATCCATCTTCACCCAGCGAGGGCATGGCGCAGAATGAGCTCTGCAGGGCGGGGAAAGGCTTAGAAAGCCTTCCCACACCCTGCAATTAGGCTCAGTTTGACAAATGAAATTTTTATTTAGTACAAAATTATTTGTACGAAACAAAAATATCACTAGTGCAAATGTAAGGGTATGTATAGGTACATAACAGAACTCCACAGCAATAAAACTCACAGTAACAGTATGTATGAGTGCAACACAGAACTCCACAGCAATAAAACTCACAGTAACTGTATGTATGAGTGCATCACAGAACTCCACAGCAATAAAACTCATAGTAACAGTATGTATGAGTGGATATCAGAACTCCACAGCAATAAAACTCATAGTAACAGTATGTATGAGTGCATCACAGAACTCCACAGCAATAAAACTCATAGTAACAGTATGTATGAGTGCATCACAGAACTTTACAACAGTAAAACGCACAGTAACAGTATGTATGAGTGCATCAGAGAACTCCACAGCAATAAAACTCACAGTAACTGTATGTATGAGTGCATCACAGAACTCCACAGCAATAAAACTCACAGTAACAGTATGTATGAGTGCATCACAGAACTCCACAGCAATAAAACTCACAGTAACAGTATGTATGAGTGCATCACAGAACTCCACAGCAATAAAACTCACAGTAACTGTATGTATGAGTGCATCACAGAACTCCACAGCAATAAAACTCACAGTAACAGTATGTATGAGTGCATCACAGAACTCCACAGCAATAAAACTCACAGTAACAGTATGTATGAGTGCATCACAGAACTCCACAGCAATAAAACTCACAGTAACAGTATGTATGAGTGCATCACAGAACTCCACAGCAATAAAACTCACAGTAACAGTATGTATGAGTGCATCACAGAACTCCACAGCAATAAAACTCACAGTAACAGTATGTATGAGTGCATCACAGAACTCCACAGCAATAAAACTCACAGTAACGTATGTATGAGTGCATCACAGTGCATCACAGAACTCCTTAGTGTCACATCCTGTTCCTCGCTGCGGATCATTCTGGCAATGGCTTCTGGTATCCAGTACTCTTTTTGCTGTCCTTGCTTGGTTTTTCTGGTTTTCTGGTCAATGTCTGGTTTTCTTTATTGCTGGGTTTCTGAGTTCATTCTTATATTCCGTCCCTGGATTTCCCAGTCTCTTGGATTCACTTAAATGTTTGTTTTATGTTTCCACACCCATTTGTTTTCCATTTTCTTCAGTCTGGACCTGGAGCAGTGTTTCAAGTCTCTGCCCTTTCTTGCAGGTAAGTGCTATTGTGGTTTAGTGTGGCTGTTTTAGCATACATTAAGCAGTGTAGGACCTGCCAGATATGGGGTACATTGGAGTTGTTGGCAGGCTTATGCAATGTATGATCATATAAATCCCCATACTTTTTATATATAGTGCTTAGCTATGTCTCCTCTTGTATCTCTTGTCTTGTTTTATTTTGTCTTGTATTCCCAGTTCATGTACAGTTCTGCTTTCTGTCCTGCTCTGGTTCTGGGTTCTCCTAGTTTTGTCTTGTTTTCATGTATGGTGCCTATCTCTAGTCTTGCCTTGTTTCTGTACTGGATACAAACCTGCTGCAGAGCCTCCCTATTCAGCTCCTGGGAGGTCTGCTTAATTTCTGCTCCTTGTTCCTGGGATCCGCATAAGCTGAATCAGGGTTCTAGTATGTGGCTGCACGAACGCTGGTGCTCAACACCAGGGGGCGTGCGGTTACCCTGCTCATCCACCTCCACACTGTAACTCCTACTCTGAACATCAGGCATAAATGGGTCCAGGTCCACGCACCGCCACCAGGACAGTGTCTGGGTCCTGGGCACCAGACCGCTCACCCTGACACTTGGCAATAAAACGCACAGTAATGTGGAGTGTGTTATTTTCTCACAGGGCTCTACAACAATAAAACTCTCAATATTCTGCGGCACTCAGAGGACACTCTCAACCAGTGCAATAATGTTTAAACTTGGTATAGTAATGCAGAAGTAAGAATGTCTGCTTTAGCATATCATCTCAGACCAGAAGGACTATGGCCACTTTACAGCGGCAGATGATTGCTCCACCTAGAAAAAAATACTCTGGTACTCTCGATGCCCATATCACCAGCATAAGACTCTCAGCACCCCTAGACCTTATCACCCATGATCACATTGCCAGTGTCCCCATATTGCCTCCATGTGGAGGCGTGTATTTCTGTGAAGTGATGGTGCGTGAGGGAATATTTCTAGTGAGTATCTGTGTGAACTGGGAGGTGTTTTTCTATTGGATGCCATTGTGTGTATTTGAGGTATATTTTGCCAATGTGTGTACCTGCAATCGGAGTGCACTTTATGTAGAAATGTGGATTTGTTACAGGTTTTACAGGTTTTTGCTTCTCTCCCCTCCCCAATGAAGTACCTTACCCTTTTACTCACTATTTCATCCTTGGCTATAACGTATCATCCCCAAGCCTGAAATAAACACAGCCTGCAACTGAGAATATGATACCTGAGCCTCTTAAAGGAATACAAATATGTAATCCTAATCCTATAGTGACTATTTAGGTGACTAGGCCAGTGCTGCCAGGATTGAAAAAAATATATTTCCTTACCTATTCTCCATCACAGTGCTGGTTCCCTGGGGGAAGCTCCACCTCTTTGCCAAGATCATCAAGATTGGTGATCTCAGCCAATCCAATGCCTGACGCACGGTAAAACACTACGTTGCACCAATGATGAATAAATAGCAGAGTTTTACTCTGCATTTCACAGCAGCACCTCTAGTGGTTATTTTATTGACAGTCAGTAGAGGCAGGTTAACCCTGCAAAGAAATATTTGACATTACTGCAGAATGGCAACGCTTTCAGCTGCAGGGTTAAAACTGGAGCAGAGTGATTTATGGTACCCAAACATCTTCATTGAGATGAAGGGGTGTTGGTGCCTCTAGTGTTCTTTTAGTCAGATAATTTCTTATTAAGATGTTATAACTGAGATTGCCTCAAATGTAAATCTCAGACGAAATGTTTGATTTGACAGAATTAGCACAAAACAGTGGGAAGTCTACCCACATTACATGTAATTAGAAGTTGCATGTTTTATTAAATTGCACAGTACAATGTAACTTTTCAAATTTATTTTTATGAAATAAGAAAAGTGTTTAAGGCTTGATAAAGTAAATACATTGGATTGCTATATACTAAATGAAATGGTCACATGGTTTCATGAGTAAAAATCTGTATTTCAAGATTTATAAAACTGCTTTGAAACTGTGCTCTCTGTGACAAAGTAGTGTGGAATAAAATTTTACTGCATTTCTCCCACTCCCAAACATCACAAGCCTTATCCCTGTCACCAAGAGTGGTAAAACACAAACAAGCAATAAAAAGAAAAAAACAAAAATGGAACAAAGAATGTCATCTATGCACGCCATTGAAAAAATATGCAAACATTGTCTTAAGCGATCTTTGTCACGGAATAGGTTAACCACGGTCCGTTCTCGACATAATCCTGTTAAAAATGAACAGAGATTCTTCTGTGTTGTTTTCTTGATCTTCAACTGAAATCCATGAATAAAAAAAAATAAATATACAAAACCAAAAACTGAATATAGACCAAAAAATCCCTGTTCTAATGGAAATTCTCATTCAGGTGTTCTGAATTTAATTTGTTATATTATTGGGTCTCTCATTCATTAAGATGAGACTCTTATACCATGAAAATCTGAACTTTAGGACCACACTTTTGTTGTTGAGGTTTATTGTTGCAAAAGTGTCTATTGTTGTTATGACAGAAGACTTTTTATGGTCTACAATGTTTCTATGATTCTTTAGAGAGTTATAGGAGCATGACACAAATTGTATTCCACCATTTACAAATACCCCAAATGTGCGTTTAATTATTTGGTGAGTATGAAAAATCTAGCTATAAATATAACTAATGCAGCTTCAGTCAGACGTCCTCTTTTAGTCCAGTGTAGACTGTTTTCTCTGTGCTGGGCATTGTCCAATCAGGGGACAATTTATGCATGCATGCAACTGACCTATCATACACTTATCAATATGTTGTACTGAGATTGGTGAAGCCCATCACTTCTCCTTTGAACTATAGCTCAACGTTTGAGAGGCAGAATCTCTTCCTCAATGTCTGATTGACAGCTGGCCTGATGTGACAAAGGTGTATAATAAGTGTTAGCTCTGTAGAATCAATGTTTTTTTTAAAGAATCCTTCAGATGATGTTGATTTAAAGGACCACTATAGTGCCAGGAAAACATACTCATTTTCCTGGCACTATAGTGCCCTGAGGGTGCCCCCACCCTCAGGGTCCCCCTCCTGCCTGGCTCTGGAAAGGGGAAAGGGGTTAAAACTTACCTTTTTCCAGCGCTGGGCGAGGAGCTCTCCTCCTCTTCTCCTCCCATGCGGCTGAATGCGCACGTGCGGCAAGAGCTGCGCGCATTCAGCCGGTCACATAGGAAAGCATTTACAATGCTTTCCTATGGATGCTGGCGTGCTCTCACTGTGAAAATCACAGTGAGAAGACGCAAGCGCTCTAGTGGCTGTCAATGAGACAGCCACTAGAGGATTAGGGGGAAGGCTTAACCCATTAATAAACATAGCAGTTTCTCTGAAACTGCTATGTTTATAAAAAAAAATGGGTTAACCCTAGAAGGACCTGGCACCCAGACCACTTCATTAAGCTGAAGTGGTCTGGGTGCCTAGAGTGGTCCTTTAAGCCTAATTCCCTCCGGCAAGTTGAAATGCTTTAGTTGCTTGGAGTGTTCCATTTAACCTAGCTTATTAGGCATTAAATGTACATCATTTATTTTTAAAATTAGGGTATAGAGAGTAGTACAAGATGTGTGTGCAGTGTCTAAAAAATAAATAAATAAATATTAAAAAAAACCTGGATGAAATTGACATAGTCAGTCTTTAAAACAAAGTTTACAGCTGGCTGATTGACAGGAGCTGAAGATGGAACTAAACCCCAGTACAAAAATGTATGTATTTCGAAACTGTCAGCTTTTTTTTGCTAAAACGCTGAACAGACAGGGTCCTTGCACCATTAAAATTATAGCTTGCTGAAGTAGAGTAATCCTTTAATTTCTATAAATTGTGCATCTCTATTCTAGATTTGAGGATGCTAAACTGAATAATTGTAGATGAGAGCCAAGTTATTTGCCTGTTTAGACATAACAATAAAAACAAAACAATAAAGGCTATTCAATGACAGCATCACCTGTGGACTAAGCTCCTCCCCCTCCGCTATTAGGACAGGAATATTCAAATTCATTAAAATCTAGATATTCCCCTCCTCCTTTTCCGTAGTCGTTTTTCCTGTCCTCCAGCTGTTAGGCAGCAAAAATATTTTTTCTCTTTCACTGACCTTCCGTTTTTCATGATGAGCCCCCAAGGGAGTTCCGCCTCTTTCCCTGTGGAAGAGCCCAGATACAGCTCAAGCAGTTTGAGACTTCCTGGGTTAAGGTAACTATAGTAACTAATACTTCCTGAAAATATTAATGTTCAATGATGCACCTTTAATCTGGATGTTATGGTCTATCCCATTTTGATGGTAATCTTTTGGGAGCTCAGGTGCAGGTTTCCTTTGTTAAAATGAACTTTTCTTTGTATTCATCATTTTCTTCTGCATTGAAGTGTGGACGTCTGTAAACTTTCTATTTTTGTTTCCTTTATCAGAGATTAAAGAGAGAACATGGGGTCTGGCTTGTCTGTGGATGAATCGGTGAGGGTGGTGATCATCGGTGGGGGCTTTGCTGGTAAAGCTGCAGCCTGTGAACTTAAGTCAAAAGGAATCCCCTTTGTGCTGGTGGATATGAAAGATGCTTTTCACCACAATGTTGCTGCTCTTCGGGCTTCTGTAGAGACAGGTAAATTACAAAACTGAGTCTTCTTCATGCTGCTCGTTTTATATGGCAAGAGCAAGACCATAAAATACATAACGTGCAATAAAGGAACATTACAGTGTCAGGAACACAAACATATATTCCTGACACTATACTGGCAAAAACTATTTAGGTCACCGGGCCCCTTTCCTTGCAGTAAAAAGGTGAGTATACTCACCTTTTTTTCCAGCGCTGCCCCAATCTCGCCATAGCAAAATGATACACTGCGGCAGTGTTAATTTTGAGGTTTAGTCAATTAAAGCTAGACTAAAACTAAAACATTTCAGATGACTAAAATACAACTAAAACTAAAATGGCTTTTTAGTCAAAAGACTATGACAAAAACTCAATTGAAATTTGCCGCCAAAATGAACACTGCAAAGAGGGGCTGTAGAAGGGGTAAAAGAGACAGACCAGGGCTTGGAGAGAGATATTTTGATGGGCTGGGAGGACACAAAGAGACACAGAGGGGTTGGGGAAGGGGAAAAAAAAAAACAGAGGCTTTAACTAAACCCATTAGATTTTGTCATGTCAACTAAAATGTATTGGAGATATAGCCAACTAAAATCCACTGGAGTTGACTAAAACTAAATTGAAATTTGCCGCCAAAATTAACACTGTGCTGCACCAATCAGTATCTCCTCATGGAGACCCTGAATGTAGGTGCTGCACATTGTGCAGCATTGAAACAGGAAGCACCTCTAGTGGCCATCTGAGTGACCGTTGTTCTGGTGACTGTAGTGTCCCTTTGACTGTAGAGGTGTAAAGTCATTTTATTGTGTATATATGAGCAACAAAGCAGAAAAATTTTATGATAAACTGGGGCATTAAAACCATTTAAAACAAGATAACAGAGACAGCATAGACATAAAATGAATATTTAAAAATAAATGTAAATGTTGGTGTAGAAATACGAATAACCATCACAACTGGATGTTTATTTTATATACAGAAAGCATTTAAAGGGGAATCACCACTTCGATGGAAATTACATTCCTGAGGTTATTTATATCATTTGCTAAATATTTTTTCATCTGATTCTCTATTTACTTTTGAACACATATTAAACATATAGCAATTGTTATTACAATCCAGTTCAAACAGGACACACATTACACTGGAGGAGGTAAATCAGAATAATCGGTTTATCTTTCTATACAAATAGACAGTTGCAAATTGTAATACAGTAATAATTGATAAGAAGCCAAGATGTTAGTGCTTATTTCCTGGGTAGAAGTATTTACCGCAGTGCAGAGTTCAGCATTTGATTTAAATTTTAAGGCCTCACAAACACCTATTTTGTTAAATATAGGGGATAAGTAAATGTAACGAAAGCTTTATGATACGTGTCAAAAAGTAGAACACTTAATGCAGTCTTTATAAATCTCAAGCATGTCAATTGTCGCTCATGTCAAAATACCGCTTTCAAAATGTCACAATTTGTCAGGCGTGACATATTGTCGATATTTATTTACAGTGTCATGTTCTTGTATAATGTACATGCATAGAAATTATTCTTCTGTATCATAACACACTGCTACTAGCTTTTAGTTACAGGCATAAACCTTTGCATCACATACATTTTATACATTCTTTGATTTCAAGGGCAGGCTATTTATTTATTTATTCTCACAGTTACTCAGTACTCCTAAATTTCCAACACTTCTGCTCCACATTGCATTCCCTCTCACTCCAGTCCCATATTCTAGCTGCAGGAGACAGCATTTAAATCTTATAAACTTAGAGCAGCAGGCTGCAGGCCTCAATGTGGAGAATAAGGAAGGCTACAGGCCACACTAGGGTGAACAAGGCATTTTTCAAGCCTCACTGGGGAGAACAGCAACAACATATGTGAGGAAGGCTGAACTTGATGGACACAAGTCTGTTTTCAGCTATGTAACTATGTAACATGGCAGGCTGCGGGGATCACTGGGGAGAACATGGCAGGCTGCGGGGATCACTGGGGAGAACATGGCAGGCTGCGGGGATCACTGGGGAGAACATGGCAGGCTGCGGGGATCACTGGGGAGAACATGGCAGGCTGCGGGGATCACTGGGGAGAACATGGCAGGCTGCGGGGATCACTGGGGAGAACATGGCAGGCTATGGGGATCACTGGGGAGAACAAGGCAGGCTGCGGATCACTGGGGAGAACATGGCAGGCTACTTGGGATCACTGGGGAGAACAAGGCAGGCTGCGGGGATCACTGGGGAGAACATGGCAGGCTGCGGGGATCACTGGGGAGAACTGGCAGGCTGCGGGGATCACTGGGGAGAACATGGCAGGCTGCGGGGATCACTGGGGAGAACATGGCAGGCTGCGGGGATCACTGGGGAGAACATGGCAGGCTGCGGGGATCACTGGGGAGAACATGGCAGGCTGCGGGGATCACTGGGGAGAACATGGCAGGCTGCGGGGATCACTGGGGAGAACAAGGCAGGCTGCGGGGATCACTGGGGAGAACAAGGCAGGCTGCGGGGATCACTGGGGAGAACAAGGCAGGCTGCGGGCCTCACTGGGGGAAAACAGGACTGACATAGGGAAGTTAGGTTAACATTGGAAGGGAATGTAGATAAAGAGAGGACAACCCTTGAAACTAACTTACAGTGAAAGGTTGCTCTAGTAAACCAGGTGCTGGCTCATCCACAAGTCCAGTGGAGGTCCACAATCACACATTTCCACCATAGTTCTGATGTAAGTTACATCATGTTTTTGCAGTTCAGCTGTATGAAGGGGTGGAAATATCGTTGTCACCACAAGCTGCCTGTCTGGCACAAAGCAACTACCTCTATACCAAGCATGCCTTCACAGCCACACCTTTTGTAATGTGTGTGTGGAACTGCACTCACTACCATCACTCTGAGCCAGGGTGCTATCTGTACTGGAACCAAACACCAGATTCCCAATTTTGTAGAATAGAATGAAAAAGGTCCAGGCACTCCTTGGTTGAAGACAGGCACTTTATTGGAACCACAGCAATGTTTCAACCAAAAGGTCTTTGGCAAGCCTCAGCTGTCATAACTACCACTACATTTAGTTCCTGAACTTACCATTTGAATATTGTAGGTTTTGAACAAGTACCCAGAGTTTGGTGGCAAACTTTTTTTAAGTCTCAATGAAATGTAGTATTTTGTGAAACAAAAATGTGAAGTTTTCATGTGCGTGACAATGAAATAACTTCTGTGTATAACAGGTTTTGCAAGAAAAACCTTTATCTCGTTTGAAGAAAGTTTTCACGACAGCTTTAAACAAGGCAAGGTGGTGGGAATTAATCTGGAGACACAGCATGTCATACTTGAAAATAATGAGGTAAATAATATATATATATATATATATATATTTTTAAATCTTCTCTTTAACATCTGAAAGGAAAAGAGCAAACACCACAACCATTGAAAAATATTTAAATTTACAGGGCTAACATAAATAGGTAAATAGCAGCAACTATCCAAATAGAAGAACCCAACAACATATTACATGCAAAAAAACAATGTGAAATGCTCTGGAAGTGGGGAAAAAACAATCACAGATTGTAAACAATGTAAAAAATTAATTCAGCAAACCGTAAAACATTTTATAAGGAGGGGGAAATGCAAAGAATAGAGGCAGAAGTATCCTGTGCGTAAAAACCACACATCTTCATAAAATGATTTCCTGTGAAAATGAATACTTTATTTGCAACAAACATTGTAACCAACAAGCAAGTCTGTATAACAACCAAATTCCTCTTATCTGTATACCCTGCTTCAAAGTCCACAAGAAGCTTTTATAAAATTGTATTTTCATGAGAGTGGAACTTATGTTCTGGTGTTGTATGCTGGGAAATCCCTGTATACAACTTTTTGTGCAGCATAGAATATATGGGTTGCTACAACATACTGGAGTTGGGCAAATTTAGCTTAAAGTATGTTATTGAAGTAATGTGAAGATTAATTTTAATATCTTGTGTATTATGCAAATATAAGGTTTAACAGAACATCCACCTTCATTAATATGCATAGGCTTGCATTTAAATCCATCCATATTTTAGATTCAAAATATGGCATGGGTAAAGCTTCCTTGGGGAATAAAGCATGTGTCATGATCTGTGGAATAATCTTATAATGGATATTTTGTTTTTAAAGAGCCCTTGCATTGTTGAACCTGCCTCTACTGTGCTACCAAAGTCAGGACTTGGAGTCCAATCAAGCCTGGACAAGCTGAATCTCTCTGACACCTGTGGACTTAGTTGTCGAGCATATAGATAAAAGGATTTTTTTTTTATATTCTATATATAAAATATATATTGTCAGTTGTAACAATTTAAAGGGACACTATAGTCACAAGAACAACTACAGCTTATTGAATTTGTTCTGGTGAGTAGAATCATTACCTTCAGGCTTTTTGCTGTAAACACTGTCTTTTCAGAGAAAATGCAGTGTTTACATTACAGCCTAGTGATAACTTCACTGGCCACTCCTCAGATGGCTGTTAGAGATCCTTCCTGGGTCATGGCTGACTAAAATGCATCTAAACATTCAGTATCTCCTCCCTCTGCATGCAGACACTGAACTTTCCTCATAGAGATTCATTGATTAAATTTATCTCTATGAGGAGATGCTGATTGGCCAGGGCTGTGTTTGAATTCTGCTACCCTGCCCCTGATCTGCCTTTTTGTCAGTCTCAGCCAATCCTATGAGGATGTATTGTGATTGGATCAGGCTACCACATCTGATGATGTCAGCAGACTGCTTTTTTTTTTTTTTTTTGCTTTTTTTGAGGCAAACAGCATGCACATCTACAGCTTATGGCTTGAATACAGTAAGATTTTGCTATATTTATGGAGGCATGAGGGGCCCAGGATGGCTAGATGGTGGGTTTACCACTATAGGGTCAGGAATACATGTTTGTGTTCCTGACCCTATAGTCATCCTTTAATTTGTTGCAAATTATTGTTATTCTATTTCACTTTATGTGAGGGGGTTTTTTTTGTGGTTTTTTTTTTTTTTTTTTGCACTGACTTCTTTCCTCTCTTCTTTTGGAGCCATTGGAATGGTCTGTCTACAAAAAAAGGAGGAGGACTCAAAGTTGTTTTATTTTTTTTATTATTATTTTCATTCTTTTTTAAAAGGGAGTGCTTTTTGACCCAGGTGACATTTACACTAAGGAGTATTGCAACAGTTCATAAAGTCATATGGCAAATGTTATAAGTGACTGCATTTCTGCCTCCTTTATGGAATATTTGAGGGTTTGCTGAATTTATAAGTCATTAGATTGTCTGTAATTTGTTTTTGTTAATTTTTAAAGCGCACATCCTGAATATTTGATATTAGTTTTTACTATATGTACTGCAATTTGCTGTAGCATCTATGGTGCCCTGATGCCCTGCCAGGGTAAATAGTTACACTGTTTAAGAACAGTTTGACAACTTACCTGGGTCTTCCAGATGCCAACACAGTATATGGCTTCTCATACAGTAGGAGATGGATGTCTCCTCTAAACTGACACTCTCCGCTAATGAGAGCGACCTTGATTAGCTCAATTGAGTGAACTTGATGCTCCCTGTTCTTCAATTGTGTGACTACTTACTCTGGTGCATGGAATTCCTTTAACTATATTCCATAATAACAAATGCGCAAACTGTGTTTATTATTTTCTTTTTTATATGTACGGTCATACAGTATTTCACAGCATAATAGTGGCAAACTTTATGCCTAATTCCTTTCCTTAAAAATGGGGGTGCGACCATTATGTGAACCTTTGATTTGTTTTTTTTCTAACTGCTTTTTAATAGTTGCTGAAAATATTATAGTTGCTAATAACATGCTGCTGACAACTAGCATATTACATAATCAGAGTTCATTACAAGAACTCTGATCCTGATCCCTGTCTCCCAATTGTGATCCTGATCCCTGTCATGCACTAAAATACAATAAACTAAAAAAAAAAGGTAATCATGAATAATGTTGTAAGAATATGAATGTCTTGCAACAAAAACAGTAATGGTCATTTATGCGACTATTACGTGATGAATTGGATTTCAACCAGTTGTTGGAGTGAAAAACCAGGGTGTGACTATTATGCGGTGAAATACTGTATTTTTCAAGGTTTTTTTTTTATTTATTTTTTATTTATTTTTTTTGTGTAGCCACTACTCCAGTTAGTCTGAAAATAAGAGTCCACGTTGACTCTGTGGAATCATACAGTTCTTGCAGAATATTCTCATACATATTCATACTCACATTCCACTTCATCCCAGTGATGTTTGATTGGACTGAAATTTAGCTTTGCGGTAGGCCATTTAGAGTAAACTGATAGTCACTGTCATGTAACCACTTCAGACGGCATGTGTTTTGTGACATAGAGCATTATTGTTGCTGGGAGTTCACATTTGTAAATTGAAAGGTTCTGGAAAGCAGAGATACATTTGGTCAGATTGTTTTGTTATAGCTCAATTGATGCTATGTAGTGGTTATGGTGCGGTTACTTACTCCACAAGAGTAGGTAGTCAAACGATTTCAGAATGATTGACAACTTACCTAGGTCCTACCAGGCTACCGCTACTACCTCCCTGCTGCAGTAAGCTCCTGCATGAAGCTTCCAGTTATCTCTACTGAGCTAAGCTGACTCTGTGGGACCACACTCACTGGCTGAAAGCATCAATAGAGCATTCTCAGCCAATGCTTATCTCAGTGGCAGGAGCTTCCAGCGGCATGTGAGGTGGTAGCAGACATCCGTTGTGAACCTGATAAGTTGTCACACCATTTTTTTAACCGTTTTACTTTAGTATTTTTCTTTAAATGATGTATAATCATGTGTTATGTATATATTATAGACTGTGGGAAGCTCTTGCCTCTTATTTAAAAGATATGCTTCCTTAGGAACTTCCTTACTCTCATCTGATCATTGCAACGGGTAGCGATGGGCCTTTCCCTGGAAAGTTCAACAAACTAACTTCTAAAGAAGAAGCGATTCAGGTGTATGAAGATCTGGTCAATGAGGTAAACCTTCATAAGAGATTTTTTTTTCCATCTAAAATGTACATAATGTAATAATCAGGGAAATGTTAGTTGCCACCAATCCTCAATTCCAGTTTGAGGCCTCTTGTGTCCTATCTCTCATGTACCTAGGTTTTTTCTTGTCTTTATTTTATTACTTGTTTTATTTTGTCTCTCAGTAATAAATCTGTTTTATACTGCAGTTGGAGTCCTAGCCAATGAAATATCTCTCTGGATTGGCTTCCTCTACACTTCAAAGTCTCCATATGAGCTCTGATCAATAAACAGATTCATTATTATTACAATAAGTTAACAAGACCTAGCTAATTAAACTACAACTCCCAGGAAGTTATAACATCATGTACAACTGTACAATTGAAGCAAAATGGGTAAACTCTACAGCAGGATTGCCCAATAGGTAGACCCCAACATCTTTTAAAACTACAGCTTCCATCATGGGCATCTGCAGGAATTTTTCCGGGGGGGGGGAGGCATAAATGTAATGATATCCATGCTCGGCCCATTTTTGCAGAGCTGGACTGGGGATACAAAGGAGCCCTGGAAAAAAACGTACGCCAGCCCCATACGCTATTGTGCCATATTGTGTGTGTGTGTGTGTGAATATATATATTTCACTGACACAAGCTCATCCGCCCCTACTTAACGACTGATGCGACTAAGGTGCTGGTCCATTCCACTGTCCTTTCTCATCTTGACTACTGTAATCTGCTTCTCAGTGGTCTTACGTGCTCCCAACTTGCGCCGTTACAGTCCATAATGAATGCGGGGGCGAGGCTCATCTTCCTGTCCGCCCGCACCTCCCATGCCTCACCCTTCTGTCAATCCCTACATTGGCTTAAGATATAGAGCTCAATTTAAAATTCTGGTTCTTGCTTTGAAATCTACATAATGCTGCTCCCACCTATCTATCCTCCATTATACAGCCCCTTACCATCTGCTGAAGACTTACATCTATCTTCTGTCCGTACTCCCACCTCTGATGCTCACCTTCAAGATTTCTCGAGGGCTGCACCATTCCTGTGGAACTCTCTTCCCTCCTCTGTTAGATGCTCACCCAGTCTCCACTCCTTCAAAAAATCGTTAAAAATCCACTTTTCCATAAAAGCGTATCAATTGAACTGGTAATAACTCCTGACTGATTCCTCTTCTGCAACTGTCACTAGCCTAATCCTTACGTTTTTTTTTTTGTCATTTTACCCCACTCCCTCTAGCATGTGAGCTCATTGAGCAGGGCCCTCAACCCCTCTGTTCCTGTGTGTCCAACTTGTCTGGTTACAATTACATGTTTGTTTGTCCACCCATTGTAAAGCGCTGCGGAATTTGATGGTGCTTTTTAAATAACATCGTAATAATAATAATAATAATAATAGATACCACAGGCTTACAGACAGACAACCTCATTGACACACATAAGCTCATTGACATAAAAACACAGCTCACTGTTACACACAAATAGGCTCACTGACAGGCAATCCCATAGATACACAGACAAGCTTATTGGTACACACATTCAAACTTAGTACAAACTCTGACACTCACACAAGGTTACTACAGACAAACACATTGGTATACAAACTTACTGACACACACATGCTCATTACAGAAAGGTTCACCGGCACACAAGATCACTGACACATATACACATGCCCACTACAGACATGATCATGTACACGCACATGCTTACTGCAGAAAGCTGACACACACACGCTCACTTAAACATAAGCTCCTGGACACACACATGCTCCCTTCAGAAAAGCTCAGTGACACATGATCATTATAGACACACAAGCTCAACAAATCACATACAGATACTCACTGACACACACACAAGCTCAATGACACATACAGATGCTCACTACCGACAAGCTCACTGACACACACATCCTCCCTACAGATAAATTTACTGACACACACATGCTCATTACAGACAAACTCACTATAAATAAATGAGGTAGAGGCAAACTGTCTGCCTACACAAATTTCAATATGGACAAAAAAAATCTCCACATTGCAGCAATATCCCCAAACTGTAGTTCCAACAGTGTATAATAGCCAAACAGGAAAAAAGATAGGAGTCTTGCGCAACTTGAATTTGCAGTGCACCCCCTGGTGCAACACCTTTACTTTCAGAAGGACAAAGTAAAACAAACGTTTTGGGCACTAGCCCTTTATCAATGCTAATGTACAGACATACTCACTGACACACACGTTCACTACAGACAAGCTCACTGATGCACTCAAATTCTCACTATAGAAAAGCTCACTGACACACACAAGCTCACTTACAAACAAGCTCACTGACACATATACACATGCTCACTACAGACAAACTCACCGACTCAAACATGCTCACTACAAACTCACTGACATACACGTAAGCTCACAACAAACTCACTGACACACACACACACACACAAGCTCATTGACACACATATACTTGCTCACTAATACACATGCTCACTTACAGACAAGCTCACACACATACACTATCACTGTCATGAGCTGAAGCCTACCGGTCACAGAAGGCTGTGGGAGACTGGGCTGTTCTGTCGTCCTGCTTCTGGCGAGGTCAGCAGCATGAGTGTGGGCGTGGAGCTTGTGATGGGAGGGGCTTGCATTCGGGAGGCGTGACTTGAATTCAGGGGCAGATCATAGAGGCACCAATTGCAGGGGATTCGGAAGGGAGCCTGACAGTGCTCCCGCCGGCCCCCCTATAAGCCTAAATACGGCCCCTAGCACCTCCCTCCAGACCACAGCACCACTCTTCCTCAGACTCAGCTGTCACAGTAAGGGGCAAGTCCCCTCTATTGTCCCTCTCTGTAGACGCCCATGGCTTCCATGATGCTTTGTCATTCTAAAGACTTACAAAGGATCATGGGAGTTGTAGAACTATGACATCTGAGGAAAAGAAAGAAAGAGACTGTAATCTAATCTACACATTGTGCCTAACGCATATGGTTTATGAAGTCCCTTTTTTGAGTGACTTTTTTCCACATTTTATAATTTGAATATATATCTATATAGTTGTGCAATTATGCCCTCTGGTGGGCTTTTGAAAGATAATTATAATTAAATATATAATTTAAGTAAATACAAAAAGAGGGCAATCTGACACAAAAAATATACTGAAGCCTAAACGGTTAACTCAAACGGAGATAACACAAATGATGTAACTGCAAACAAATGAGAAAAGAACCCTATATGGGTTAAAATCTCAATAGATTACCATCAAGTTATAAAACACTTTTTATAGGTAATCCATTTAGATTTTAACCCATATAGGGTTCTTTTCCCATATGTTTATAATTCAAGTATTCGCTCCAGATTTTGTTTTAAAAGGAGATTTGTTACCAACAAGCCAAGAGACCTTCAATCAAACCAACAATAGATACTATAAACACAACTTTTTTAAACTTTGTAAACTTGTAGATTTTACGGAAATTTTTTTTTGCTCATTTAATATCTCGAGCTGAAAATTACACTAACCTTAATGGTTAAATGTCACCTTAGATAATTACTCCAACAGTGTGCATCTACATTACAGAGGTCTCCTGTTCTCATAAAACCAAGGAAAATGCTTTGCTCATGGCAGATCCACATATTTTTTTTTTTTTTTTTTTTACGTTTGTGTATGCCTTAGCGCCAAGTCTCTGGAAACATCATAAGACACCCCAGTGCTGCCTGAGATTAGTGGGTCATACAATCCAGGCAGCAGCTATTTCAGCTGCCTTTACATTAGTTACTCAAGTGTTACTAATACCCGGGAGACGACATTAAAGAGCACACTCGTAGGACTTTAGTACCGTGCTTTCATGTGCTTTTAACCCCTTAAGGGCACATGACATATGTGACATGTCATGATTCCCTTTTATTCCAGAAGTTTGGTCCTTAAGGGGTTAAACTGTTTTAATTAAAGCAGACACAAATCTAAATTCACAGTTGATTTGTCTGCTTCAATAAAATCAGCTTTGCAGCACTGTACCAAAGTCGTACAAATGCACTCTTTCATTTGTTCTGTCTCCTAGTTGGAGTTGAGAGCACCTAGGCACTGATCTGTGATGGATATTTGAATGTGGAGAGAGAGATAACTAATTAAGTGCTTCTCTCAACCTCATATTTTTTTTTTTTTATTTTTTTTTTAGCTCACAGCATTAGAGAGCTACAGTTGTAGTAAGCTCTCCACTGTCTGCTCAGTATTGTTAAGCACAATAATTAAATTCTAGTTTAGTCTCCACCTAGGGAATTATTTACCTGCAGTGATTCATACATTGCCTTGGCAACGGTTCCTTTAAGTAGAGTGAGCAGGTGAAGTGGTATCAGGAGATCAAATTATAGTAATAATAGCCCCCTAGCATTTATCATTAGTCCTCTGCAAACGACATAATATTGGATTAATAAGAAAACCATTGTACTTTATGGTCATTGAGAAAACAATGTAAGCATTACAAACTTGTTTGTGTAATTTCATGTTTTTTTTAGGCCATATATTGACAAAGTACTAGCCATCTTTCTAACTTTCAATCCAAAGTAATAGTTCAGATTTAAATCAACTTCAGGTCTGTTTAAATATGAAATGGTTCCCGGAGTCTGTATATGCACCATTTTGCTATGAACCCCTTTGTTGCCAGAGGTGTGGCTCCATCATTGGAAGTTTCATTGTGGCGTCATCAGCAAATTCGGGACAAGAGCTATGGGGTACCCTCTCCATGTCACCCATGTCTTCTCCTCAGTTTGTTCTCCCCCTACATCATCTCTTGGCAGCTATAGAGACTGACATAAGAGTAGGACTGAGGGGAGAACTTGCACTCAGCTCTGCAACAGAGAAGTTTATTTTTTTTATTTATTTTTTAAGTTTGAGAGAGGGACCAGGATTGGAAGAGCTATTCTAACCATAACCAGTATTTTCTTAAAACACACAGGTTTTTTGTTGAAAATACCTTTAATCACATACATTAATGATAGTATTGGTCCATCATTGCTTTTTAATTAAGAAAGGCAAGTAATTTGATGTGGATCAGGGCAAGCGGTGGCTTGCCAGATGACACTGACCTTCAGATCCCTTGATCTTCAGCCATTCTATACTCAGACACATTCTGACTAAGATCAAAGGTAAATCTGTAAAGCTCTGCTTTTGACCTCCCATTACTGGGTGTCCAGGACTAAATATTGCAAGAATCATGTAATTCGTGACTATTTTAGGTGATGTAGATTACTTTTTATCTGTAAGTATACAACTTATATGTATATCAAGTATTAAAAAAAAATATTTTCAAATTTTATTAAAACATTCCAAAAATGTTAAACTTTTTTAAATATACATATCTTTTTTTAAAACATTTTTTTTATTAATATTGTTAAGGGAATATTACAAAAATTCGATGTAATGGGAGATTAACAAAAATCTCAGTTCGCTTCATTGTTCCAAACAAAACTGGATTGACTGATTCCATGTGCAATCAACTTTTTTTTTTTTTTTAAAGGTTAAGAAAGCTAAGCACGTGGTGGTTGTGGGTGGTGGATCTGCAGGAGTCGAGATGGCTGCTGAACTGAAAACTGACTATCCAGAAAAAGAGGTAAAGCATAAAAAATGGTGTCTCTTGATTTTTTTTATTTTTATCTCTATAAATTGTAAAAGACCTAGTATTTCAAATGTTATATATTACTAACAAATATTTAGTTTAATGTATTTTAATGCTTACATAAATGTTTATTTTGTCCTCAATATTTTTATGCGAGTCATGTAATTGCACAATGTCCAGTATGGGCAAGGAATGTGTTATTTTAAAGGGAAAGAAACCCATGAACCTGCTTAGTTCTACCGAACTTGCAGATTAAATAGGATTTTAGGGATATGGGAAAATAAGTTTGAAAAACGAATAAATTGCATTTTAACCTGACCTTTTATTTAAAGCAGCATGGTCACCCTCCCCACCGCAAAAATGGCTGCATGGAAATTGCTGTCTACGGTGGGTCCCACAGTCGTACAGGATCCTCCGTAGACCTCAATTCTGTACTCTTATGTATGCGCGAGAGTACAGCAGTAACGTTGGCACCAGAAGTCGAAGATGAGCTGGCCGATAAAGATGGAGCTGTCCGTGAGGGATGTAAATCTGACATTACCCGCCCTCGGCACCCCAAGACGGTGAAAGTTCCACTTTAGTAGCATCACGGGGGGTTAGAAAGTATGAGTATTTGTTCTGTGACATTTTATTCTAGCAGTTTACTTTGATAAAAATCTAGAATTGGCCCCACACTGCGGAAAAATGTGGAGCAACCAACCACCCATAAATGGACCCAACTAAAAATTCTATTGAAATACATATACTGGAAACTGCTGTGCCTAGGCTGTATTCTATTGGGGATTGTTTAAAAATTGTCAATATGCTACAAAATGGATGGCTTTGCTTTGTTTGTGCAGGTTACTTTGATTCATTCTAAAGTTGCTTTGGCAGATGTGGATCTGGAACCAAAGGTCAGACAAGCTATTAAGGAGATCCTCTTAAAGAAAGGAGTGAAGCTGGTATTGGGTAAGTTGCTGTTTACCATAATGCTAATTATATTAATGTATTTAGAAAACTGAGGTTTAGAGAAGCCCTGTTGTTACTATGCATCCTATTCAATTTATGTCCCAGATATACGTTAACTAGACCAGTCAAAACAGAAAACATGCACAATTTTCAAAAGGCAGAGTCCAATTACCAGACTAACAGGAATACGTGCTTCTCACACAGAGAACCTAATGTGCAGAATCGGATCTAATTAGAAAATTGTTTCCAGGTGGGTATCCAACAGGTTCTGAATAAAGTAACAATCATGATCTATGTGGCTTCAGATCAATCCGTGTATACAGGGACCTAAAATGGCAAAAATCAGTTCAGAAAGTTGAACAAACTAGTCTAATAGAGTTATTCACTAAAGTGAGAACTCAAAGTGAATTTAAAATTTAAGGCCAAAAAAGCTGAAATACTGGAAAAATGCTCTGAGTCAGCCATGCTTTTTTGGCCTTAAATTTTAAATACACTTTGAATTCTCACGTTAGTAAATAAGCCAGTGAACGTTGCAGTCAATGTTTTCTTCTTATTTCTGGCCCGCTTAGTAGCTAAACCCTGACAGTGTTTTACAGCCACCAGTGCTTAATATCCCTATTTAGAGGATTAATGTGATCCCATATTCCAGTTTTATCACTAATTAGTTCATTTTACGTTTTTTGCAAATGAAAATGTCCATTTCATTAATGTTCTATATTTAATATTGCAGGATTATTTCACTCACCATTTCTTCTCCTTATAGAGGTTTTTTTCTTTGTACAGCATTTCATATGTGTAGCATAACCACTGAAACATGTTGCAGTGGTTAGGGTGCATGGTGTAAGCAGACAAAACATTTTGTAATGGTTCATTTTCTTACCTAGAGTTTGCCAAATTCTGCTCCCTGCCTTCTCACATCTAGAAACTCTATCCGAGCTAAGCTCAGTGGTGCAGGTTTTACCTTATTGGCTGAGAGCCATCAGCTAATGCTCTCAGACAATGAGCTGACCCTGCATTGCACAGCTTAGCTCAGGAGAGCTAATGGAATCTAGAGCAAGAGCTGCTAGCTCTCATTTCCAGCTGTGAGGATGCAGTAAGCAGAGCCCAATAGATCCTAGGTAAGAAGTCAAATCATTAGCAAACAGTTTGACCACATACACATTGGAGGTGTCAGGACACTGCTGGCACCATAATCACTACAGTGCACAGTAGTGATTATGGTGTAAGATTGTTTTCCTTTAATAATAGATAAATACATAAAACACTTGAATCATTTACAAAAACAAGAACTTGTAACTTGCTTGCAGAAAGGAAATTGAATTTAAAAAAAAATCTCAAATTGATTCTATATTAAAACTAAGTTACAAATTTAAAGGAATACAGCAAGCACCACATTTACTGCAGTGGTTATAGTGTCAAGTAGTAAAACTGTTTTACAAGGGTTTGAGTTCTTACTTGGGATCCGCTGGGTGCAGCTTCCGGCTTCCTTTACAGTTACAAGATAGCCGTCAGAAGCACTCTGTCTGAGCAAAGCCAAGCAGTGCAGTGATCTCAAGGTTTAATGATTCAGGGGTTAGCACAGGAAAGCTCCTAAGCAGGAGCGTCTGACTTTCCTGTAGTTTTAGTGGAGGTGATTTGACTACTCCTGGACCATATCCACTCTAGCATGCTGTAGTAGTTATGGTGCTCGGGGTGTTCTTTAAGTATGTTCACTGTGTGGAATAGGATGCTGTCGATGTCCTCTTATGTCTAGGCCATAGTTTCTTTGCTCATGAAAATATCAACACAGCTCTTGGTACTGATGTAATGCCATTACATACAAACGTTTTTTATTTATTTTATTTTGTTTTGAACACTACATCAGTAGGAAACAATCTTATCATTATAAGCTAAAGTAAATTAAAGAGCACCACCAAAAGGATGGATGAAAGTTCAAATTAGATTTAATTTCACTTCCCTGCCCTTCTTACCTGTTTGTCTGGTGGAAAAGTCCCATGGTATATGCATCTATAATTTTCAACAGGGCAGAGAGTCAGCAACCTGGATGAGTTGACTTTGAATGTATCTCAAGAGAATGTAGCATTGCATCTGGACAAAGATTCAGAAGTGATCAACGCCAACCTGATTATTGCCTGCATAGGATTGAAGATCAATTCATCTTGCTACACTAGTGCTTTTGGTAAGAAATCCTAATATTTAAAAATCTTCAAATGATATAGAGGCCAAAGATAGTCTGACTAGCATATTATGATTATAATAAATTAAAGGGACATAATAGTCTGCAGCTTATTGTAGCTGTTCTGGTGAGTATAATCATTCTATTGAGGCTTTTTGCAGCAAACACTATTTTTTTCAGAGAAAATGCAGTGTTTACATTACAGCCTAGGAATATCTCTACCGGCCACTTCTCAGATGGCTCATAGAGGTGCTTCCTGGGGTAGTGGAGACACTGAGCTTTCCTCATAGAGATGCATTGATTCAATGCATCTCTATGAGGAGATGCTGAATGGCCATATCGATGTTTGGCTTTGCCCCTGGCCTGCCTCCATGACAATCTCAACCAAATGCTTTCCTATGGGATGTTTTTTTTTTTTCTTTTTTTTCTTTTCTTTTTTTTATACTGCATGTAGCATAACCACTGAAACATGTTGCAGTGGTTAGGGTGCCTGGTGTAAGCAGGCAAAACATTTTGTAATGTTTTCATTTTCAAGCCTTCCCCCTCCCTGCAGAGCTCTGTCTGTGCTGAGCCCTCCATGGGTGAAAATGTATATATATATTTATTTTTGTGACCCCTAGTCACCTGGGGAGGGGGTAAATTTTTATTTAGTGCCCCCACCTGCTGCTCAGGGGTGGGGGCCAGGGGGAGGACATTAGGTCCCCCCCCCTTATTGTTATTTAGGACCCCCACCCGCCGTGCAGGGGTGGGGCATGGGGGAGCACATTAGGTCTGCCCCCCTTATTGTTATTTATGGCCCCCACCCACTGCTCAGGGGTGGGGGCTGAGGGGGAGGACATTAGGTTCCCCCCTTATTGTTATTTAGGGCCCCTACCCGCTGCGCAGGAGTGGGGACCGGGGGGGAGGACAGTAGGCTCCCCCCAAAATTCTTATTTATGGCACCCACCCACCACTCAGGGGTGGGGGCAATAGGTTTTTTTTTTTGTTTTTTTTTAACCACTGGCTGCTCACTGTTTACTAGACATGCCCTACTCGCGGTATAGCGAGTAGGGCCTGAATTTACTAATACTAAGTAATCTTTACTTAGTATTAGTAAATGAGGCTGAAAGACCAATTTAGGTCTTTCAGCCTTTTGATAGATAGCTACCTAATACCGTGGGAATTAGGGAGTTATCTACTAAGCGGCTGCTTATTGTTATTTTTAAGTGATTTCTCTATCCACATTTGTGGCACTTGTCCTACTCTTACCCCCATTTTACTTCCTTTTGCAGCCCTCTAGCCCTTTCCAGGAGTTTTTTTTAGAGCCATTTTTGTGCCCAAAAGTTCGGGTCCCCATTGACTTCAATGGGATTCGGGGTCAAGTTCGAGCCCGAACAAGGACTTTTAAAAAAAAAAAAAAAAAAAAATTTTATCTATTTTTTTCAAAGTTCGCCCGGACCCGAACATCCAGGTGTCCGCTCAACTCTAGCAATAACACTTTTGGAATCACATTGCCACTATGTTTTCTGAAATTCTTTATAGCCGATGTAGAATGTGAGTTTGTATTTTAAGTAAGTTACAAGTTATATTTTTGATTTATGTTGTAGAATTAAACTAGATTTTGTGATTTAGGTGACAAATTGGCAAGTGATGGCACTCTTCCAGTTAATGGCTTCCTGCAAGTGGATGGACATGACAATATTTACGCAGTTGGTGACTGTGCCAATTTAGCAGGACCCAAACTGGCATACCTTGCAGGTTTACATGCTAAGGTTTCTGTTACGAACATAATCAACAGCCTAATGGGAAAGCCACTTAAACCTTTCAAATCAGGTATTGTAGACTTAATTTATCATGAATTACTTATCAGTAATGTAATATGAACAAGAATAAATGTTGGAACACATATCCATAGTCTACTGAATTTTAAATGTAAATAGTATGTGTTCCAACAATCTTTGAAATAGTTCAAATTAGCATAGTTAACAACCATTATAATTTATATGGACTTAATCACACTGTCTCTTGATAGCTAAATAAATGATGTGATTGTACATAGTTTTGTGAAGTGTGACTCTCCGTATTAAAGTCAAGAACTACTGAAGAAGGCAACAGGCTAAACTAAGAACATTAAAGTGACACTCCAGTAACCAAAACAGCTTCATCTAAATTAATCCCCTGAGGAACAGTGCCTCCATGGGCCTCCTGGCACCATAGCGGTGCCAGGAGGCCCATGGAGGCACTGTTCCTCAGGGGATTAAATAGTTTTCGAGCGATATAACCCCAAAGTTGCGTCCAGCAGCGATGTCCCCTCTCTCCTTGGCAGCATCCGGCTTCTGAACTTTCAGATTCAGGAAGAGCAAGTGCAGGGCAGGGTCGCCGCTGATTGGCTGAGAGTGGTCAGCTGACACTCTCAGCCAATTAGTGACTCCTCATTCACTAAACTAGATTGGAAAAGGTACATTTCTTTCCAATCGAGTTTAATGAATGGGGAGTCACTGATTGGCTAAGAGGGTCAGCTGACGCTCAGCTGAATCTGGATCCCACAAGGAGGGAGCCCCCTCCAGGGGCCTTCTGACACCATAACAACTTAATTTTAGATGAAGTTGTTTTGGTGCCTGGAGAGTCCCTTTAATAATTAAGAACATAATGGACAAATACAGCAACACTTACACTAATTGGGAATAAATATCCACACAGAGGTGGAATATATATACTCAGTCTTACTGTATTGTTTAAAACTGCTTACTAAAACACGCAGTGGAGATATACATTAAGTCACTATTTTTTTTTTTTATTTTTTTTTTTTTATCAACGTGACTGTTGTGCCCCATGCTATCTTGTGTCCAATAAAACCATTGACTTAGAGCTCTAACAAGTTGAGATTCCCATGTGGCCATTAATTAAAACTTAAAATTATATTTAGGTGGAGCATGCATCTCTCTAGCAAATCTTCACATGAGTGTAACATTTATAAGTTGCTGATTAAAGGGACACTGTAGTCACTATAACCATTTCTTGTCTTTGAATTGGTTATAGTTCCTGGAGCCACCAGGCACTGTCCCTCCATTCAGTGTGAAACAATTTTAGAGCAGTTTAACACTAAATAAGGGTTCCTGGCCACTTCTGGAGGTATAGCTAGGGCATAGATTACACACTTCCTTGTAGTCGTCATACCGTCAGCTCCAATAGGAGCTTGATAGGCTAAAAGAGGTCAGCTGACACTCTCAACCAATCACAGTGGCCTATTGCTGCTCAGGCTAATATTTTCTCATTAGCCAAAGCAGAACAGAGGGGAGGGTCTACTGGGGACACTCATTTAGCGCTAAAACATAAAAACCTTAAAAGCTGTTTAATGCTGAATGAAATTATGTCACCAGGGGATTACATACACTATAACCCAGGGGGGCCTAAAACGTAGATCCCCAGATATTTTAAAACTACAGCTTCCGTGATGATTTGTCATACTAAAGGCATTCTAAGGACATGCAAAGCATCTAGGGAGTAGTAGTTCTACAACATCTGTGGATCCACCTTTTGGGCACCCCTGCTAAAACAAGTTTAGTAAGATTAAACAGATATGGTGCCTTTAAGGAAACATAGGTGTACTTTAAAAATGTTCCACTCATCAAAGTGTACTTTGGCTTAAAAAATGTTGTTGACCATCTGTCTATGCTGTATATAACAGGAATCATTTATACATAATGGAGTCTACATCATATCAAACATTTGGACATTTTGTCAGAGGTTTTATTTCTTCCATAGCATGAAGTGGCTTTATTCAGATACTTATAAGAAATTATCAGCATGCTATCTTCTCCACAGTCACTGAAATCTGGAAGATATTCATTTGAAGTCATACTGAGATGATGTCTCCACAATTATTAATACATATCTTATGTAATGCTTATGATGTTCTCCACCTCCATTGCTCCAGTGTCACCCTTCCTCTTTTACATGACTTACTCTATTTTAATTTTTATAACATTTCTCTTGCAGTATTTCAACAAATTGAATGTAGAATGTGTTGCACACTGATTTCTCCCCTCCCCTCTCTCCCCCCAACTATTCACACCATGATGTAACTGCTAAAAATGAATCCTTCTTGATGCTTTCTCAGTGCTTAGTCTTGCCACTGCCAAGTGCTTGTTCCAGAATAATCCAGACCAGGGCTCCTTTCCTGACATTTTTTTTTAAAGATTTAAAATATTTTTATTTGTCATTTTTATTTCCATATAATGCATTAGAAAGGAACTGGTCATATCTTGTCTGGAATGTCCCCTAATTAAGTTAATCTATTTTCCATGGAACGTATGATCTTGATCTTTGATTTAACATCTCAAAATGATGCATAAATTAGGACAGGGATAGGCAACCTTCTGCACCCTAGATGTTGTGAACTACATATCGTATAAAGCTCTTACTGCCATAATGCTGGCAAAGGATCAGGGCAGATGTAGTCCATAACATCTTGAGTTCCAATGGTTGCCTACCCTTGAATTTGCCAAAGTATAGAAAAGAAAAACCAAGGGGTAAACCGTTTAGTAGGTGAGCCCCTTTGGAAAGTGAGTAACCCAAATTAAAACGTAACTTTTAATAAATATAGTAAAAGAAATGAATGAAACAATAATAAATCAAATATAAAAATAGTCAGCAGAATAAATATAACTTCTGCCTGTATAAGGAGAAATAAATTCCCCAAAGGTGCATAAAGCACATAGAGTATACAAAGTATCTGAGTAATACTGTCAAAATAAATATTCAGGATGAATAGATAGAAAATTTATTAATTGAAGCAAGAAAAAAAATATATAAATGGAAAAACTCCAAAAGAATTTAAATATCAGTCCAATGATGTCTCACTGTCAAAACCGTGATAGTTGGAAGCTTAGATCGACTACTGCAAGGAATTGATACAGGATTAGCAACAAATGTAACTACAAACTGAAGTCACATATGTTGCTTGTCAAATAACCCAGACAGGGGAGATTACATAAATGGTAGCAAAATGGTTAGTCCTGCCAGAGATCGAGGTGGTTTTCGAGGAGAAAAAGTGGATATTAAAGACTAGCTTCCCTACTCTGCTGTGCCTTCGAGGGAACCCCTTAAAAAATGCTAGTAACCCCCTTCTCTTTTCTAAGTTGAATAAATGCAGTATGTTAAACAAAAAATGATAAATAGAGAAATAAAATAAATCTTGTATGGGTGGTGTAATCTAATCGTATCAAGGCATTTCCCCTTATCAACTGGACCAACACAATGCAGAGTAACGTCCCGACGCGCGTTTCGCCGTTAAGGCTCTTCCAGGGGAACAGAATCATTTTGCAGTGATTTAAATAAGGCGCCTCTGTCCCTAATTGGATTTCCATTCACCAATACATGAACGGATTAAATGTAGTGGGTGGAGCCAAAGCTTTGTGTGTTTTAACCCCTTGGGTGTAGTAATATTTTAGTACAAAAAAGGTTTATGTTAAATGTTTGTGGTTCCTGGTGTCACTGAAGGAAAAAAGACTGCTATCTAAACAGATTATTCATAATATTGACATATGGTAATTCCCCAAATAAAATGACTAATAGTAAGACATGGACACAAAACTATTGAAACAAACATAAAAGCCAAAAAGGTAACTGTGTGAAGGACAATTAGTTCATCTTGGGTAATAGTTGTAAAATGCTGTCCCTGCTGTATAGGTAAGGCATTGAAAGTTCTATACTTTGGCTTATTCATACTGGGGGTTATCCCCCATCACCTTAGAGTAACCCGACACCTTCTACCTGATCCTTTTTTTGTTTATATTACCCTTGAAATTGGAACATGAAGAAATTAGAGACACGCAATAAAAAATAAAATGGCTGCAACTGTGTTATCAGAAACCTATTTTATATAATTTATTTTAAGTAAACTTCAATGCCCCTGAGCTGAATTTATACAAAACAATTAAATATTTTAATATCTCTTTGCAGGATCACTCAGTATGCTCTTATCAATGGGACGAAATGATGGTGTTGGCCAAATCAATGGCTGCTATGTAGGTAGTTTTATTGTGACCAAGGCTAAAAGCAAGGACATATTTGTTGGACAAAGCTGGAAAGAAATGGGGCAAAAAATGCCTAAATAAAGATGTAGAAAGTTCCTTGCCTGTAACAAATCAGTTTTATTGTAACATTTTCTCCAGTGTTTTATTTTTTTATTGGAAATGGACACTTTATAGTGTTGTGCATTTAACAAACATACAACTACCTCAATAACAGAAAAACAGTTTTGAAATTGACACCATTCAGAACATATGTATGGATATTGTTTGTACATTTTTCTACTTACCATTATCGTTAAGCAACAAATGTAAATGTACAGATCTATCGTTTGGTTACATTTTGTTTCCATACTGTAATGGCACTTGGAGGGTTCCATTACTCTGGCACATGGAGGGTACTAAGTGCCTTTCCCTCTCCCCCTTTTCCCTGTTTTGTTGTTTCCAGCAGGGTGTTGTCCCCTTGTTTCATGGACACTTCCAGACTAGCTCAAAGTGGCTGCCCTGACACTCCTTTACATCTGTTGTCCTCATCCCATGTTATTGTCTGTCCCCACTCTTCCTTGTAAAAACAGTGGTGCATTTACACTAATTTAATGCAGTTTGGGAGGAGTTACGGTGGAGAGCCTGAAGGGAAACTTTGTCCACCACTGTATCCATATTGTATGTAAATTAGGCTGTTTTCAATAAAGTTCAGTTGTGTTTTACCCTATGCTATGTCTCGACTAGGAAATGGGTGGAAGGGGCAATATGGCTATAAGCATTACCTTTTAGAATTGCCTGCTCTTTGAGAGAAAGTCTCCAGCGTTATATTCACTGGAGCCTGGTCTAGTGGAGGAGGTTCCCAAAGACCCCAGTCAAGCTTCGGCGAGTTTTGGAGTTCCTGATAGCAAGGAGGAAGGTGACATGGTGAAGGTATTCAGAGTGTGGGAGCTCCATCGCACATGCCATGCCGATATCTTTGCTTATATTTTAGCAAGCTCTGTGAAATTGGTTGTTTTATAAATCAACATCAAATCTTATTCTAAACAATTCCTTTCATTTTCGAGTAGACCCACCATCTAATTATTTTTATTTAAAGTAAGGGGACTATCCATTAAAATGGGCGGGAAACACATACACACACTAAATATATTGATTTCTTCTCTGTTTTGTTTTGTGACTTCTTGACCTTACGCTCTTTAAATTTAAATCCATATAGGAATATAAAAAAAGTGTGTGTTAAAATTTTATTAATTAAACAAATGTTATTCAATTAATAGCTGCTACCACACTGAATGTGCAAACCTTTAAAAACATACAAAAAGTTAAATTTCAATAAAAAATAATGGAGCAATATATACCTTGAAAGTGCAACAAGTGTACAGATCTGTCCTTATTGCAATACTTCAACAAGTTACTTAACTGGCTTAGATGAAAAATTTGTGGTGAACCAGCAAGTATACCTTGAACAGAAAAATAGTAGACAATAGTGTAAAACCTTATTATGTTTTAAGATATAACATTTTATGTGGAACATTCACAGGGTCCAGAGCTAAACCTAGCTCTGGTGTGTACAGCTTTTAGGTCCGTTAGGGCAACCTTTCCCCTCTTTCGTATTGGTTCTTTAAATGGATCATTTTATCCAGTGATGGAAATAGTGTTGTGACGAAAGCAACTTTAGCCACTGGATTTTGGAGGGGCCTGTTGCCAGCCTCCTACCCTGGGACTATTGGCCCTGTGATAACCCATGTTCAAAAGTACTGTTTCTGCCCCTTGGACTTTTAACTGGAACAGATTCAAACATGTGGCGGTGGCCATCTTAAATTGTCCAGCAGTGTTTTGTCGTCGAGTGTATGGAACTGTTTTGGGCATGGGACCATGTGCATGGTGGGGCAAAAATAAGACTTCCAGGAAATTCCTGAAGCCCTGAACTGATCTGGGTGATTTTTGAATATGTTGTTCAGTCAGATTGGGGCTATCAGGGGATGTGACTTTTGTGGGGATATGTTGTATTTTGGGGTACTTTCTGGGGTTTGTAAAAATGTATGTTTTTTCTGTTTAGAGTTAATTGAGTTAGCCCATTGTCTTTGTTAATTGTATCACAGGCAGAGGGGAGGGATTGTGTACACTGTAGGGGAGTGTCTACATGTAAGACTGTTTGTTTTTATTGGTTTGTTAATTCTGTGTCCTGTGCCCCACAAGGTTCACCTGGGCATCAACCTTGTGGGGAAAAACTGTATAAAAACTCAAGCTGTTCAATAAACCTTCAGACCTTCTTACCCTCATCTCGCAGCATCATCTTGTGTTGTAGGGTACTGCTATATCATACTGTGGATTGCTATACTGTGTATACTCCCCTGGTTGCTAATCACTAGCTCTTCCTGAAGAGTGAAGAGCTGTTCCTGCTTCACTCTCTGAAGGAAGAGAGGTCCCCTGGAGCCTTGTCGTAGGTCCAGGGTGGGTAGACTGCCACCAAGCTGCAGCAGGTCGTGGGGTCTGCAGTGCTTATGGTATCTGGTGCGGTGCTGATGGTCCTTGGTAAGCACTAGGAGCATCGACTGACGGAGGATCTATTACAAGTGTAATGCTTTGAGAGAAAAACTAATGAGTAATAGTAGCTATATTCACAAGCATGGAGCCTAAATCCTGGCTTAACATAAAACATCCTAGTGTATGTCTGATACTAAAATTTTATCATTTGGTTTCATCAGGTTATCAATTGAGATATAACCTTACAAAGCATTTAATGTTTGTTTTCTTTAGCTAGGTATCTCTGCTATATATCTCTGCTATATTTCTAGGTATCTCTGCTATATTTCTTTTGTTATATCAAAAGAAATAACCCTGAACATTCAGCATCAGATACACCCTTAGTCCTAAATCAGACTGTACACCTTGGGTGGTAAATTCCTTTTGCCACAACTGTGCTCTGTGTAGCCAAGAGGACACATGACATGTGTGACATGTCATGATTCCCTTTTATTCCAGAAGTTTGGTCCTTGAGATAGAAGGGATTTTGGAAAAACCAGGTAATCCCCCTATGCATTTGATTAAAGACTATCTATGGATCACAGTGCAGTTAGAATGACCATATTATGTTATAAGCATTCTAGTAAGTCATGTTTTCATGTTTTATTTTGTTTGTGTGCTATTGGCAAGCCAAAATGATAATGGTGAAGCGACCTATCTAGAGGTAAAAATACAGTTTTTTCTGGGGTACAACTCTATACCATGTACATGCATTTTATTTTTTTTCATACATGTAATCTTCTTAAATCTATTTAATGACTTAAAAAAAAAATCATTTAAGCTTAAAGGGACACTCCAGTGCCAGGAAAACAATCTATTTTCTTGGCACTGCAGGTCCCCTCCCACCCCCGGTTGCTGAAGGGGTGAAACCCCCTTCAGTCACTTACCTAAGACCCCCGCCGATGTCCCTCGGTGGTGGTTTCTGCTCGCCGCTGCTCCTCCTCCTCCTTACATCAGCCGGTGGGCGAGACTGATCCCGCCCGCCGGCTGAGGAGACCTAATGCGCATGCGCGGCAATGCCACGCACGCGCATTAGAGCTCTCCATGGGAAAGCATTGAAAATACTTTCAATGCTTTCCTATGGGGAATTGAGCGACGCTGGAGGTCCTCACACGTGTGCTATAGACCAGGAAGTGCCCTCAAGTGGCTGTCTAGTAGACAGCCACTAGAGGAGGAGTTAACCCTGCAAAGTAATTATTGCACTTTATAAAAAAACTGCAATAATTACACTTGCAGGGTTAAGGGTAGTGGGAGTTGGCACCTAGACCACTCCAATGGGCAGAAGTGGTCTGGGTACCTACAGTGTCCCTTTAAATTATAAAGTGAATATCGTATGTGCTCTCTCTCCCTGGATGTTTTAGTCAGTTGGTTACTGTCACTGACCCATCCTAGTTTAGAGGGTTTAAAAAAAAAAAAAAATTTCACTACTGCCCATGTTCTTAATTCTTCTGCAATACAGCCAGTTATGAAGTAGCCAGTCCATGCAATCTTTCATAGTATCACTGTGTCTGAAAAAACACCTCGCGGCTAGAAGACTCCAGATAGTCAGGAGAAAGACTTTTCCATATACAGGTATCCTATTTACAGATGCTTATGGATCAGTTAAACACCATAAGCAAAGATCCTCGGCAGACCGTATATACTTTTAATGTACTTCTGTGCCAACTGTTCAAGCATCTTGGTACCAGCTATTCAATAAAACTTGCCTGGTTAACTAATAATTATAATGTATTTTCAATATTGTTCATCACATTTAAATTGTCATTATCAGTCATATTATTAAAACTATCGACATAAGCTGTGCCATCAAAATTATACCAGTAATAGTGGTTCTGTTACCAAGTAAGGAACAGTAAAAATGCAAGCCCTGCTAAATGTATTTTTTTATTTTTTTTTTTTTTTTTTTTACAACTCATAGATTTCTTAATAAAAAAGATTTTATACCTTGTTCTTTAGCACGTCTAATAAAGCAGTATTGCATCAGTCAATTAATAGCAGTCATTTGACCACTAATCAGAAAATATGGCTTATATACAAAGGGTAATTCAGGAGGAGAATTCTAAATTGTAGCAATCAACATAAACGTTCCATTAGATTCTATGGCAATCAATGCACTTTTAAAACTTTTCCACAAAACTGGTCTTCATAATCATTAAAGTTTTAAACATGCATTGCAGAGCCACATCCGTCTCCTTAAATTGCTTGACAAAAAAAACAAAAAACTGAACGCATAAATTGTACTGAAGTGAGTCTAAGGTTTTGTTTTTCCACATTGAGTGGCTTGAAAATATAAAGCAATCAGAAAGACAGATGAATTTTAAACCAGATGGAAATGAAAGTAATGTTGAAGACTAAGCAGCACAATAGGATCTAAATAGGAATCAGTGATTTCCATCCGCTATATAAACTACATATGTTGCTCGGGGTGTGACTAAGTTGGTGCTTTGAGAAATATTTGTGAATTTGTAGTGTAAATCCTTTGCTTTTGCATTTCAGCATTTACTGGAAATGAATAAAACAGCAGAGTTAAGTAGAAACTTACCTTGGATACACCTTCAGTAATTTGGAAGTAAAATTGAAATCCAACCTGGATAAATTCTCGCACCAGGTGAAGGTTAAAAAAACACCAGAATTTTTTATGAGATGTCTCAGATTTTGAAAGGAGGAAAGTATACCTCTGTTCTTGCCTTTTATTGGCTTTACCCCAGAGTCAGATTTTTCGTTTCACTCTTTTTTTGTCTTCAGTAATTATGATCTAGTCATTAATAAAGTTAATATTTTCTCTTTTAAAATGCATAGTCTGTGATCTCCATCCCATTACCTGCCCTCTGATTTCAGCAGATGAGCAGTTGGGATGCTGTCGTTTTTTTTTTTAATGTTATTGTAGAGTTATCCCCTAGTTGAGAGTACAGCTAAGGTGACCTTCCCAGATCTAGGAAGTTTGGACAAGTGGATTCTCCCTTAGCCTGTGACTTGTGTCCAGGGACCATCTTGTCTTCTCTCCTGTGGTCTTATATAGCTTATAAATAAAAAATAAACTAATGAGATTTAAAAATATTAGCTAATAATAAGGGTTAAGCATATATCACTTTACAGAGAAGAGCGCTAAACTTCCATTGAAACGTTTGGGATAATGTATCTATCCACTGAATTATTTTACAACTAATTTAAAGAGACACTATAGGCACCCAGGTCACGTAATCTCATTGTAGTGGTCTCAGTCTGTCTGTTTAACACTGCACTGAAAAATATTGCAGTTTTTGAGAAACTGCCATTTTTACATTGCAGGGTTTACTCCACCTCTTGTAGCCATCTTCCCGAGGTGCTTCCGAGTCCCTAACAAAGTTTTACTTCCAGAAACAATGTTAGGCATCCTCGCACTATGCATGAGGATGACCAAAGTCTTCAAATTCCCCATAGGAAAGCATTGATTCAATGCTTTTACTATGGTAAAGCATTAATGCATGTCACACTTGCTGCACATGCACATTAAGCATCCTCAACAACGTGACATTGAGAGAGGAGGAGAGCTAGCCAACACCAAGGAAGCTTTGGCGCTGAAAAAAGGGTTTTGACACCTTTCATGATCAGAAATGGGCACCCATTAAGTTAGGGACATGACACTATAATGTTAGGAATGCAGGTTTGAGTTCCTAGTACAATCCTATTTAAAAATAATATATACATTTTTTTGGAATAAAATTCTAGATTTGTATTATAGCCTGAATTATGGCAAGAAAGCCATTTATTCATTATTATATTATATTTTATTATCTACACACTGAAAAGGTAACCCTCTTCGAACTTCCACCTTTATTGTTAAGCCAATGTATTAATAATATAATAGGATAATGAATATATCTACCTATCAATAAAAAATATGAAGTTATAAGGAAAATTTTTACAAATTCCCCTCTTTATAATAAAGCCAGTACTTAATTACGTGGACTGCACAAATCAATGTTTGATTCTGTAAATTAAAGGTTTTAGTGTTTTTGACGTGAATGTCAGTTTTAACTAGTGAAACAAATAAGGAAATACTTATAACCACCTTGTAAATACCCTCTCCCCAAATAAAGGAGTCAAGAGACACAAAATATAAGAAGTTTGCTTAATTTTTTAAATAATTTCATGGTCTTATTTCTCTTGTAAAATCCAATACTACAAATCTAAAACAAGTTTTTTTTTTTTTTATCCAGCTGTTTTTAACACTAAGTCTAAAATAATAAGACAGACAAAATAAGTAAGATAATATGACGGGAACAACATCCTTAACATCCTTGGAGAAAAAAAGAAATGGTGACAACAGAGGAATATATTTCTTTGTTTCAGCTTCTATAAAAATGCAAAGGGGTGCTGGCTTGTTACAGAAAGAGAATAAATTCACAATGAGGATCATTTAGGCAAAACATACCTCCTCACCCATGGAAAAAAAAAATAAACTCAAAAGCTGTCCTCAAAGCACAAAATTTCAAACAAGGTTCACAGCTTCTTAACAATAAAATATCAGATCTATGTCTTTCAATCATCTTGTTACGGGTTTTTAACGGTTCTGGTCTGTGAAGCTGGTCTTGAATCGTCCCTTTCTACTTTGTGTCTAGCTTTGCCATTTCTTGCACATAGATGCCGATGCTTTCGCTGTCAAATAAGAGGAAGTAAATATTCTTCACAGTTGAAGAGCTGGAGGAACCGAAGTGGCTAGAGATTGCTCGCAGGATCACTTGAGCGGCTGTCTGCTTGGGAAACCCGTTTCTACATGGTTCAACATAACAGAAAGGGATATAATTACATAATGTATGCACAAATAGTTAATTTATCTTTCTAATTCTAAGGTCTTGTTCTAATGGAGAAAAAAATAATAATTCACAAATGTGAATTTGAAATACCTCAAATTTTGTTTAATATTAAAACTTATGCAATATGATTTACCAGCAAAATCAAATTAAAAATTAGGATGGTTTCACAAGGTAAAGTCAAATTCATTTACTTGCTAGTTAGCTACTACATTTAGTTAAAGGTACACAATTGCCAAGAAGTTTTTAACCCCTTAAGGACGGAGCCAAATGTACACGTTGTGAACAAAACAAAATGTAAACAAAACCTGGCATTTGCGCTACATGTCTGTCCAACTGTAATTCACCTCTTTCATATTAAATGCACCCACCCTTATTATATATCATTTTATTCAGGGGAAACAGGGCTTTCATTTAATATCAAATATTTAGCTATGAAACATAATTTAATATGAAAAAAATGGGAGAAAATACGATTTTTTTTGATTTTTTTAGTTCTACATGACATTTTAACGGTCAATGTCATAATACTGTTTGCTTTTACTGCAATAAAATACACATATTTGTATTCAGCAAAGTCTCACGTGTAAGACAGTACCCCCTATGTACAGGTTTTATGGCGTTTTGGGAAGTTACAGGGTCAAATATAGCACGTTACATTTGAAATTGAAATTCGCCAGATTGGTTACGTTGCCTTTGAGACTGTATAGTAGCCCGGGAATGAAATTTACACCCATAATGGCATACCATTTGCAATAGTAGACAACCCAAGGTATTGCAAATGGGGTATGTCCAGTCTTTTTTAGTAGCCATTTGGTCACAAACACTGGCCAAAGTTAGCGTTAGTATTTGTTTGTGTGTGAAAATGCAAAAAATGCCAATTTTGGCCAGTGTTTGTGACTAAGTGGCTACTAAAAAAGACTGGACATACCCCGTTTGCAATACCTTGGGTTGTCTACTATTGCAAATGGTATGCCATCATAGGGGTAATTTTCATTCTTGGGCTACCATAGGGTCTCAAAGGCAACGTAACCAATCTGGCGAATTTTAATGTGAAAAAAATGAAACGCAAGCCTTATATTTGATGCTGTAACTTTTGAAAACACCATAAAACCTGTACATGAGGGGTACTGTTGTACTCGGGAGACTTCGCTGAACACAAATATTTGTGTTTCAAAACAGTAAAAAATATCACAGCAATAATATTGTCCGTGTAATGCTGTTTGTGCGTGAAAAATGCAAAAAACGTCACTTTTACTGGCGATATCATCGTTGTAATACATTTTACTGTTTTGAAACACTAATATTTGTGTTCAGCGAAGTCTCCCAAGTAGAACAGTACCCCCCATGTACAGGTTTTATGGTGTCTCGGAAAGTTATAGGGTTAAATATAGTGCTAGCAAATTAAATTCCCTTTACTTTCGGCATGGGTTGTCAGGCAGGTCCTGCTAATTGTAATTAATTGAGACACCTAATTATGTAAAAATATATATATATAGTGATATATACGTATATATTTATGTATATAGATATATATATTATTTCGTTCTACGTGTATTTTGAGATATGTATATATATTTCACAATACAGTTAGAACGAAATAACACACATCTATATATTTAATTATTTTTTTAATTTTATTTTTTAACGTATTTACATTTTTTTTTATATTATATATAAATATATATATATAACAATAATTATATATATATTTAATCAGTATCCGTCTACGTGTAATTTGATATTATATATATATTAATAGTAAAATACACCTAGATGGTGTACGTGTGTGTATGTATATATGTATATATATACTTAGATCATATATATATATGATCTAAGTATATATTATTTTTTTACACTATTTATTTATTTTATTTTTATTTTCAGCCAGCAGGGGGACCACCTGTCATTACAGGCAGTCCCCCTGCTGGCAATGCTGCAGCCCCGGCCATGTGATTGTGGGGTCCTCGTAAGGACCCCACTCTCACACGGCCGGGGGGCTTCGAGGAGGACGGACGTGCCGCGGGGGGCTCCCTGGGAGTCCCCCCCACCGCGATCGCCGGCGACCGGGTAAGTACCGAAAGACCGGAGGGCGTACTATTACGCCCGGCGGCGTTTAGAGCCGCTTAGAATAGGGCGTAATAGTACGCCCTCCGGTCTTAAGGGGTTAATAAACTGCAATGTTTATATTGCAGAGTTAGGTCCACCTCTAGTGGTTATTAGCATGACAGCCACTAGAGGCGATTCTGCTGTACTGACTAAGTAAAACTCAGTCACGTAACGTGGAAGCCCACATAGGAAAGCATTGATTCATGCTTTCCTTTGGGAAGGTTTGAATGTCTGTGCAGCTCTCGCCATGCTCTGTGAGGAGCGTTGGAGATTGGATCATCACGGAAGGCAGAGAGGCTTCCTCAGCGCTGGAAAAAGGTAAGTAAAATATATTGTTTAACATTTTATTGCACCCGTGGTAGGGGACCTGACTACAAGTAGGGAAAGGGACTGTATAGAGTTAGGAATACAGAATTGTGTTCTTAATGTAATAGTGTATTTAAATAAAACGTTCTTGAAAAAAAATGTCAACACATGCTTTTGTGGATAATTTAAAAAACATGTTATGTCTAGAGTTGGGACCTTGAAATAGGCAAAGAACTAATTTTGATAATGAAATCCTCACTAGCAATACTGGTGGGCATAAAAAAAAAGAAAAACAATTAAAATAAACATAAGACTGCTATATGTAACCCACCAAGAATGTACACCAGGCAAGGACTGGCCATTGAGCATACCGGGCAAATGCCCGGTGGGCCGCGATGTCCCTGGGCCGAGGCTGGCAAGGGAGATCACAGGATCTCCCTGGCTGGCACATGCAGGGCCCATGCTACCCGAGCACCGGCCCTTCTGTGTGCCTCCATAGGCCGGTGGGGAGATCAAAGATCTCCCTCACCGGCCCAGAGGCACTGCTATGCGGCCATCGGCTGGGGATTGAGGGAGGCAGGAGAGGACCCGGGGAGCTCTAGGCAGCAGTTCCACCGGGTTCCTCTCGTGAGATTCTGAGCGTTGCCGTGGTTACCATGGCAATGCTCAGATCTCGCAAGAGTTCACTCTCACCACTGAGACCACCAGGGAAGGCAGCCTGGCATCCCCCCAAGCTAAAGGTAAGAAGGGAGGGGGGGATATAACTTTTTTTTTTAATTAATAATAACAAAATAAAAATATTTAAATTCAGATATAAAATAAATTCACACTCACACACACAGCACCGAAATCACAAACAGCACCCTCAGACACACAAACAGCACCCCAGACCCACACACACACACACACAGCACCCTCAGACACACACACACAGCACTCTCACTCACACAAAGCATCCCCATACACACACAGCACCCCCCCAGACACACACTGTACCCCCAGACACACACAGCAATAAACCACACTCTGCACACACGTAATCCCACAAGCAGGCTCCAAACACATGCGCCATACGCTTTCCTGGCCCTTTTGTCCTCTGATATCCCATTTATGGAGACACCAAAGACAATTCAAAAGCAAACAGAGCGCAAGCATGTGTTTTAAATTTGCTTGAGCTGTGCAGATCAAATACAGGCCTTTTTCTAATGCTAGAGCTCTTCAGCAGGGCTCTGCGCATTGACCAACATGCTCACTTTGAGAGAGGGCGTGCTTGTCATTAGTGATCACAAAACACACCCTCTCTGCCCCCCTCCCCCTTCTTATGGGGCCGCTCTGATTGAAAAATGCCCGGGCCAAATTTTTTTCCCAGTCCGGCCCTGATGTACACCTAGAATTATTTACATTTATACATTGTCTATTGGTCCAAAAAAGTGCAATTTATTATTTTCACATGCATTTGAGGAGTTTGAATTGTGTAACACAAATGTCATCTTTAAATAAACATTTGCGGTAACGAGGACTCACCATGATGAATCTATTTATTATTATTGACTTATATTTTATGAAGGAGTTCACTTTTTCTTTATAGTAATACAACTGACAAACTGTAAGGCTACATGTATGTGATTGAAGCATGTCGCATACATGCATAATTTGTTGTCGCTATTCTGATGTTGTACGTCATTCTTGCATCCATACGGGCTCTGAATGCTCTGTAGATGTGTCATTTAATAGGGTCCCTATCATGTGTCAGTATAATGACGTGGCTCTTTACATTAATAGCTATAGATACATCAGTCTGTCTTATGCTCTCTGCCAGGCTTTGGTTCCTATTTCCTATGTTCACAGTTTGATTGGTTTTCTGGTATTTGACTTGGCTTTCCTTGACCATTTAGATCTCAGTCACCCTTGACCTGGCTTTGTCTTTCACTTACCTGATCTTTGGCTCTCTCTTACTTTGGCTTATCTACGACCTGTGTGTTATCATTCTGTTATCATTCACTCCTAACTACTTACATTAAAGGACCACTCCACACCCCAAAAGTACTTCAGCATGCTGAACTGCTTTATGGGTGAGGAATACCCTAGTTTAACCCCAGTTTATAAAAGTATGGATTTCTGTGAGAAGTCAGCAGGGAGGATTTCTTCCTACTTCAGTTAGCTCCCTTGAGTTACTTGAGGGTGCCTGCCTGCCCCTCCCTCACAGACCTGAGACCAGCTCCTTAATCTCAGCCATGCGCGCATGTGCATGCTTAGGCACACATGCACACAGCCGTGTGCACGAGCGGTCACGTGGGGACCAAGTCTCCACTGTGAAGAGACTAAAAGTCTCTTCTGAGAAAAAAAGGGAGAGCTTATGAAGGCTGCAGTTATAAGAACTGCAGCTTTTGTAATCTCTTTTAGACTATACTACCCCCAATGAATACATACATAAAATATGCTTGCATGTATTTATTTGGGGTATAACTACTGAACTGTGGGGGGTGGGGGGGTAGTGGTTTTTATTTTTAAGCGTGAATGGAGTGGTCCCTTAATGAAGCAGTGCTTGTGTATAGATTATGCATCTGACGTCGCACTGCTCAATTCTCTGCCATTTAGGAGTTAAATTACTTTTTTTCTGCTTGTGCATCCCAAGCCACACCTCCCTTGGCTGTAACTCACACAACATAAATGAGAAAAAAAAGTTTAATTTTCAATCAGATGTAACTTACTTTAAAAAGTTTTTATCTCTGCTCTGTAACTTGAACTTTGATTACACAGATGGCTCCTGCAGGGTCTAGCAAGCTATTAACAGCGCAGTAGATGAAAAATTCTAAATTAAACAGAATTTGCAATAAAGGAAGTGCAAACATTAGATGACTCTTTACAGGAAGTGTTTAGGAAGGCTGTGGAAGTCACATGCATGGAGGTGTGACTAGAGCTGTATAAAGAAAGTGATTTAACTTCTAAATGGCAGAGAATTGAGCAGTGAGACTGCAGGGGCATAATCTATACACCAAAACTGCTTCATTAAGCTAAAGTTGTTTTGGTGACTATAGTGTCCCTTTAAGACTGGCCATTCTAAGGACCAGTAAAATGTTACTGTATTTCCTTTGACACAAACCTACCATTGAGGAAAAATGCAAAATCCTAGATACCTACCACTGGGAAGGGATGGACATGACATCTTCCTGTAATGCCAATTACCTGTAACTAGGGAAGGATGAAAATGCCACCTACCTGCCACTGGGGAAGGATGGAAATGCCACAGACTTTAGCTTCTTGTCCTCAGCAATAGATAAACAGTTCTTAATGGTCTTCTCCAGCTGCTCCTCACATTTCTCTGATCCCCACTGAGGGATGTGGCAGTGGATGACAAACTTGGCTGCAATTCCATTTGACTGGCTAAGGGCAGCTACATAGGGAAATGTAAATACATGTTTTGAAAAAAAATATTCAAATACTCTGCACTGTATGCATTCTCTATTCTGCTTGTCTACTGCAAAGAACAAAACTTATAACAATGATTGACAGGAAGGAAGGTGGAGGTGTCAAGTTCCAGAATAAAAAGGTGTGGATTTTATACATTTTATTTTTCACACTATATATTTATATAAAAATTTTGGGAAGTGGCAATTCCTCTTTACGCTTAACTATGAGAGAGAAAAAAAACAATCAGCCACCATCTAGTATTGGTGCCCTGGGAAACATAGAAGAGAAGAATAAATAGTATAAATAAGAACCAGCTGTCTTTTCCAAAGTGTGCTAAAAAGTTAAACTATGGATGCTAGCATATGCACAGCTAAGACAACAATAAGTTGCTCTGCAGCTGCCATACAATTACCTCCAGTGAGTTCCAAGGGTCCATGAGCCTTGCGCAGTTCTTTAACCGCTTCCAGGAATTCCTTTCCACCAGCCTTTTCCAGGGCATTTCCTGCACAAAACAACAGAGTATCACTGTACAGTAGGATTTCAGGTAGTAAATGGCCAATTCATTTTAGCAGGTTCTAGCTGCAGGTGGAAATGTTAACTACATATGTGTTCAAAAGAAAGAGCAAGGTTGGGGATTTAGCAGCGATTACCACTGCTAAACAAATCAAAATCAAAGAGCTAGTAATAGCACTAGTTTTCTAGTTACATTGACATTAGTGTTATAAAAATAAAATTATTTGTACACATGTGAACATGTGCTATATTTAGCAAGATAAACTGGATGATGCAGTCGTTGATCACATTAGACAAAAGAGAAATCAGAGTTTCACCTATCACAGGAATAAGCAGTGTATCAGAAAAAGGAGTGTATTAGAAATAGTTTTAACAGTGACACATGTATTCTTTACAAATATCCACACAAATAGTACAAACCTTGCCAAACAATGTTGTTATGTCAAACAGAAATGTAAAAGCACTTTTATAAAAACCTTTTTTTTAATTAAGCTACCAACCTGTTCATTTCAATAGAAAGCTTACCTATGTCTTCCTTGAGGTCAATTTCAGCAGTGGTAGGATGTATAATGCCTTCAACTTTCATTGATCCTATGTGAGCAAGATCACTCTGAGTCAAGGACAGCTGGTTAATCGAGAAAGAAGAACAAGATTGATTCGTTTAACCAAAACTTGTGACTCATATATCACAATCGGGACAGACAATGGTAAACAAGAGACTGGGAGTTGAGAGGGCTAAGTAATTGATGTAATAGATAAATTCTTGCTATTAAATCATTATAATACCTTTTGTCAATGAATGTAAACTTATTAAATTAGGAAGGCCTTTCTGAATAAAATTAATCCTTCGAACCTCTCTTTGAGCCCCAGCAGTTCATTTTCACTTCAGTATTTAGTGTACCAATAAAACAAACTCACTAAGCCATTTATGCCGGCTGGTATACATTAATGCAGTTTCCGCAATTGGCGGACTTAGTTATTAAATAATAACTGTGACAGTGTATAAACATATTAGTTGTAATTTGTATCCAATCATTGCTACACTTTATCAGTGGTAATTTATTTGCTTACATTATTTCAGTACACTGAATCACAAGAAAGTACATTGAAGTACTACTGCAAAGAGCATCTCCTCCCAGTTGTCTCTCTTTTCTTTTTTTGTCGATCATTATTTCATTCGTGCAATAGAGTACACATAGTTTTGCAAAGCCACAACAGCAAAGCAAGCTTTCAATAAGACACATGTTGGCATATTCAATAAGACATATGTTGGCATGTTGGCAAATGTACTAGCACATTTTTAGGAAATCAAAAAGAAAATAAGAGAAAAAACATAAATGCAGTATCAGATATCCAGACACAGGCTTCAAGCTTAGGTTAGATAAGACGAAAACTGTCTAGTATGAAACTAGCATTATAGGTCGATTAAGGAGTATAGCACATATATGACACCTGCAATGGTACCAAACAGATAACTACATGAAAACAAAGCATGATATTGGCACCAATGACTAGTGGAGTAGAGTATACTGACTCATTTGTGAACACACAAGAATAAAATTAACCCATAAGCTTAATGTGCCACCGGGTTCTATGACCACAGAAAAAAGCAGGACTAAACTGCTGCACAATGCATATGGAGAGACATATTTAAATTAGACAAAACACAACTCTGCTATAGAAATTAAGGTTGGGGATCAGCCTATTCCCTTCACCCAGCACGCCCTACCGCGGTAATGTATGAGCCCCATGGCCCTGCAGCAATCAAAGTCACACCACCAGCCCCAGAGTTCAAGATGATTCGGTGCACCTATCCCACATGTACAGCCACACCCGGCTACTGCAACAGGATCCCAGATTCTCTCTTCAGAGTGTTCTCGTCGGTAAATATCGTAGGTTGCTTGTGGGTGTGGGCTGCGCTGAGGAAACTGACCCTGAGCAAATTGTGGTCTAGGTAGGTGGCGACTAGATGCTAAGTCCCCTGTAATGCAGATTTCGCTGCTTCCCCTTCCTCCACACTGTGAGCGGCCTGGTTGAGCAACGTGTAGTAGGCTGAGCTGTGTAGAGGTGACGTTGAGGCCTGGGCTGAGGGGCTTCAGTTCTTGTGGACTTCACCATCCGTCATCGTATCCTTGCCCAGAACTGCGACCACAGTCGCGAGAAGGCCTGGTTGAGCTGCGCCTCCAGAGAGGCCTGGAGCAAGGGGGCACGAGAAGGTGAAGGTTTGTAAGTGGCAGCCATTTTGTGACTAGGCCTTAGGCGACTAGCCCTGCGGGAGCAGCAGAGTCTCAGGTCAGCACTCCAGTGGGGACCGGGATATCCCCCACCGGTCCAGAGTGGAGAGAGACAGGACTCAGTGACAGGCAGCAAGCACTGTGGGCAGAGAATCGGTCGCTTCCCCTACCTCGAGTGTAGCCACAGGCCGCCAAGATGATCAACACGGGTAATGTCTAGCCAGGATAGCTTAGACTGCTGTCTCAGTGTAACCCGACTGGTGTAGCAGAGATTCAGTGAGGAAACCAGCAACAATATCAGTCTAAATGTGATGATTCTGGTTTTCACTTAAGAGCTCAAGCAACATGCAGCCATCTTGGTCGGCTGCTGGCCCTGCCCCCCGTCTTTCTCTTTTCATCACTTTATTTAACTTTTTTGTTTTTGTTAGTGTGCGCACTGTAATACTGGAAAAAAGGGGGTTCACGTTTACATGTCTTCTTTAGTGGTTTTAACTTATATTATCAATAAAGTAATTACATTTTATTATTATACCCATCTCCACCTCTGTTTTTTAAAACCATCCATTTAGGTTGGTCCTGTTTAAAATATTTGATTGACATTTTAGAGGGTTAAACCTCAATCCGAAGAGCTCTAAGTCATGCAACCCCACTGTTTTTATTCTATTGGGAAACAGTCAGGGTATTTTTACCTGACCTATTCCACAACAGAATATATGCTATACAGACAATGGTAAATGGCATATGTAAACAGTTAAATAGTTTTGCATTGATGACACATGCATTATAATGTATTTATATATGTTAACATACATATATAAAACAATAAGTGTTTAGAATTGAGCATGAAAATACTTTTCCTGCAAAATTCTATACTGATGAAATAGAACATAGATGCGTAGGGTAGCTTTTTATTTTACTCAACAGTTCACTCACACATCAAATGGTAAAATATACAATATAAAAGGCTTCTTGGACGGGAAACTTGAAAACAATAAATAATAAGCCTATTTTGAATAGTTTCCATTGACATTTTCTAAGAACACAATATCTGACTGGTATGAATGGACAGGGATGCACTACTTACTACTGACTATAGCATTTAAAAAATGCTTAGACAACACACACAGGCCTTCTAAAGTTATGTAATAAATATGTACAAATATACAATATGTTCGCCATTAACCATTTGTTTGTCAAACAGTTTGGGGGAGGTTAGAAAAATAATGATGATAATAGGTTGAGAACCATAGGAGTGCAGGTCAAAATTGTGGCAGATAGAATGGAGGTTTTACAAGATATGGGTACTAGACAGAGACCTGTTTTTTCTCCAACCATACAGTGGAAATGGCCCCCATAAGACTTGTGCAAAGATGTGTTTCAGCTGTTTCAAACAAATCAGATTTTTTTAAACTATGCTCAAATTAATTGATCCATCCAGCATTTACCTATTGAGTCGTATTCAATCAAAAAGACTTTACATGTAAATCCTGTATAGATTGATTAGTTCATGCATAGAATAAAAATAATTTGATTTGTTTTAACCACCTGAAATGCAGAGAAAGTCTAGCACCCATAGTCTCTAAGAAGAAAATTCACGATGCAGAATTGCAGAGGTTATATTGCTTCCCATTCTCCAATAATTAACTGTTATTTAAAGTAAAGTAACTACTCCCCCTAGGAAAACTATTTTTTACTTTGATGAACTCACCAACAAAACAGCCAATCACATATAACTATCATCCAAGCCTGGCCTGTTGGCTGGGCATTTTCTTACTAGAGAATTGTTACATTTAAATTGATTTATGTAATAAGTGCATGGCTGGTGGTTCTAGAATCAGTGTTGAGCCTCTTTAATGTCATCATATCCTTGGAATTAGGGAAATTCCCTTAAAGATCAATTAAATCCAACCCTTCCTATCACTCTCTCCCCTAGGTTTCCCATATAGCATATCTGTCTCACTCTGCCATTGTGAGGGATGCCTCAGGAGACAGGTTGGCATGTCTGAATCGAACATCTGTTCATTTACCCTACTCTTAATATATGTATCACTTTTTCTCTTCATTCTATCAACAACCATAGTTTATTTACATCTCACATTTAGTGTTAAGGGTATCTATAGTGTTTGTGCCTTAGACATACTGTGAAATTCTTTGAAATGGTTAGTTAAAAAAAAAGCAGCTAGGCATTTATGGTCAGGTATTATCTATATCATTGTTTGGATGTTTTCATAATATTAGTAGATACATATCATTTATCACTCTGTTTACAGCATGCACCTCTTTAGATACCAGATAATAGTGCATATCAATATCAATTCAAATAACAACTCCCTTAAATCCAAGGCTAAGTGTAAATAATAAGCTCAGTACTATGCCATGCAAAACATAGTCTAAAATTACTTGATTTCATTTAAACAATCTAAATGATGATTCCTATTATTTTTGGGTTGCACCTCTACATAGGCCAGCAGTAGTTGTCCTTATATGTATACTGTCCTGAAAAAGTGACAAGTGCAGATGCTGGTCCAACCTGCAGCTCTAAGAAGTCTGTCTCATGCACCCTCCGTGTCACACTAGAAGCTGTATTAACCGTTCTGGCACCTTTCTTTATATAAACCAGCCAGCTGTTGATCTTGCACATACTCTCCTCTGTATATTCCCACCAAACTCAATATTAAAAATGAAATCCGCACAATGCGTTTCACCATTTTCTTAGGGCTTTTTCAAAGTGCCTTGTAAAAAAAATATTTTTTCGCAACAGAATTAACGCAATGAGTAAACGTACCTTATGCCATGCACAGAATAACAAATGGATAAAGAGATTAATTAACAACAGTTTTTATAATATATTATCAGTTTATAGTGATTGGTTGTTGTAGGGAGTTTACTATAATTAAAACCTTATCCATGTAAAACAGCACTGATCTTATACACACCCTTATCTGTTTATTCCCACTAAATTTGATATTAAAAATTAAACCAGCACAACGCATTTCATCATTTAAAAAAAAAAAAATCAAAGTGCAACTCTAATAACATATTTTTTCGCAACAGAAGTAACACAATGAATAAATGTGCCCTGTGCAGTTCGCAGACTAACTATTTGATAATGAGATTTGTTGACAACAGTGTTCATAATCTATTATAATTGATTTTGTTGATTAGTTGTTGCACCTCTATAGGGAGTCTGCTATCACAATAACCTCGCAAAATCATGGCTCAAAAAAAATTATTTCTATGAAATAATGCTGCAGGTTATGCAAAAAGTTTACAAATAAAGAATCCTAATAATACATCTACCAAAATATTTGTTGTTGTCTCCTTAGATAAAGGCACAAGGACGTGTAAAAATGTAATGTATATAGACTACAGACTTTTTTATGATTACTTAGCTCTCAACTGGCAGTAAATGTCTCATGGTGTTACAATAGGACTATTGCGGTTTCTCACAAATGACATGAATTATAACTTTTAGAAAAGACAATCTAAAATTTCAAATGTTACCTTCTGTCCAAGTAAAAGACTCTTAGATGAAAGGATGGTAAACCCATCCCCTGGTCCATCATCTGATGTTGAACTTGACGCACCTTCTTTTCCATCGACTTGTTTGTCCTTTTAGGAGAAAACAAATCATTTTATATAGCAAGTCAAAACCATTGGTTCAATAATTGGGGCTCCTAGCTCATATTATTTTGTTATAGTTAAAATGTATATTTATTTTTCCTAAATGAGACTTACAATCAATTGACAAGGTATTTTTTTTAAAAACTTAATCACCCATTGTAAAATAAAATATTGTATACTTGATACTGACTAAATTAAATACTCTTATCAAGCTTTAGAAAAAAGAAATAGGTTCCCTAACCCCTTAAGGACACATGACATGTGTGACATGTCATGATTCCCTTTTATTCCAGAAGTTTGGTCCTTAAGGGATTAAAGGGACACTCCAGGCACCCAGACCACTTCTGCCCATTGGAGTGGTCTGTTTGCCAACTCCCACCACCCTTAACCCTGCCAGTGTAATTATAGCAGGTTTTATAAATTGCAATAATTACTTTGCAGGGTTAAGTCCTCCTCTAGTGTCTGTCTAGCCACTAGAGGGACTTCCAGGTTCTTAAAACCCAAAAAGTGTTTTAAACAACGCTGGATGGCCTCACACTATGCATGAGGACCTCCAGCGTCGCAGAAATCCCCATATGAAAGCAATGAATAATGCTTTCCTATAGGGAGGTCTAATGCACACGTGCGGCCATTGTCACCCATGCGCATTAGGTCTGCCCCGCCGACAGAGGAGCGTGGGCAGAACCTGACCCAGAGCCGAAGGACATCGGCACTGGATTCAGGTAAGTCACTGAAGGAGTTTTAACCCCTTCAGCAACATGGGATAGGGGTGGGAGGGAGAGGGGCACTGCAGGGTCCTGCAGTTTCAGGAAAACAAATATGTTTTCCTGGCACTGGAGAATCCCTTTAAGTCAACAGTAATGCTATCTGTACTGGTTTGTTCTTGGATTTTGCCCAATCTTAACATGAACAGTGAAACTAACAGTTAATTTGGACTCAGTTCCACAATAATGGTCTCGATGCAATCATCCTTTAACAAATTGAAGGAATAGGTACTTCATTCTATGAAGTTATCTTGTGATGCCAATTCAGCAGATGATGTGCTTGACTCAGTAAATATATCACAATAAGCCACTATGAAAGAAATACTTCAATATAGTCAATACTTATATATAACCTTAAAGAATTACTGCATTTTGGTGAAGCAACAACAAATTATAAAAAATAGAAAAAAAAATATTAAGTATAGGAGTATTTTTCTAACTCTCTTATATTGGTTGTAATTTTGGAATACAGTTGCCAATTCATGACAAATCAGTGTTTAGTGAAAAAAACTTATACTAGTTGAAACATAGACTGCAAAGTTCATCTTCTACAACAATAGAACATATTCTACAATAGGGTTGTGTGTTTTTGTTTGTTCTTTTTTCAACTCACCTTTTTAAGAAGTTTATTTTTCCCAGATTTAGATTTTTTGGCCAGAGTTTTGTCCAGTGTCTTGCCACCTTTTTTCTTCCTTTTCTCCACTGGCTGAGAAAGAATGGTCTCCTTGCCCCGGGATCCTCGTTTTTTAGCTAGAAGCTCAGGGTGAATTCTTGGAAGAACACCTCCACTTGCAATGGTCACTCCTCTGAGTAACTAGAAAAAAATAAATAGTGATTTACAAGTATGTAAAATATGTATGTAAAACAGCAAGAAGGGGCATACTAAATAAGCTACTGTATCTACTGGTCACTGGAGATTTAAGATCTTTTCAATAGAGAAGCTCTGATGTCCATTTAATGCAATACTTCTTTGTGTTTTATATATATGGATGTCACATGCTTTGAAAATATGTAGCAACGGGAGATGCAGCATGAGGGGAATTACATTTTCCTACACTACATTTTCCCATTTGGTGTATTGATATTCTTTATTTTGCTTATATGAATTCATATATGACTCATTCCTTTCAAGCGGAAGTGAGAACTAACTAAAAAAGTAGCTATGGGTTGTGCTATTTCTTTGTTTAAATTCTTACTATTTTTTTTTTATAATTTAATCTGCCATTACAATCACCATTACCGCTTCACTGAATTAAAATGGTTATGGTGCCAGCTGTGTCTTTTTAAAACCTCTGCTGCCAGTGGTGTAATTCCACATCACTGGGGCATTATTATCACTGACCAGGAAAATAATTCCCATCCTCTCCCCTCAGTCCATCCTTCCTGATCTTCATCCCCCACCAAGAAGGGCAAGTGATGCCAGCCATGGAGGATCAGGCTAGAGGGATAACTTGGCCTCCACAGGGGATTACGCTGTTTTATTTTGTTTTTGTTTTTTTGTTTTTTTAAATTGAGGTGGGGGTAGACTAGCACAACAAGGGTTACTCTAACTAGAAACAGTGTTATATGAAAACACTGTTTTTTTGTTGTTGAAGTAACCCTTTAATAGGCACATAACTCTGTAGCAAATTATGCTCATATACAACACTGTGGAATTCCAAAGAGAGCATGCACCCGGGTTGTATTTGTATGTTGAAGCCCAAGACATAAATGGGCATTAGTCTAATTAAAGAAGGTCAGTATCATTTTTACTTACCTCAACTGTTAGATTCACTCCAGTAGTTGCTTCAATAGCATTTACTGGGGTGCTTGAATGAGGAACTTACTTCCAGAGAAGTGATAAATCCGTTTTTTGTAAAAATTTTATTTAGGATTTAGTTTACAAATGACAATGATACGGAGGTATCAGATAAATTACAATGGAAATAAACAAAGAAATAACACACATCTTCCAAAAATCAGAGCAGTTATACCACTTACTGATAAAGAAAGAAATAGGAAGAAAAAAACAGTAGACAGGGAACTAAACAGGGAAAGAAAGCAGAACGTAAGTCAACTCTTCAATAAAAGTACAAAACAATCAAAAGTAGCAAATTGAAGATAAACTTAAAGGTACAGATCCAACAACTTACAAAAAGAGTGTCTAGGGATCCAGAGGACAATGTGTAAGTATCTCAAGTTGTAAAAATAATATAAATAGCTGCTTGCTTATATTTATTATGTGCAGATGCTACAAAAAGTTTTGTAGAGAGGATCTATTCAACTATGATTAACCATGAATGGAGGACACTCTGTTCTCCGGTATATAGGGAATAGGGTCTTAGCCATGTTAATGAGATGTTTTAGTAGCAAGTTTTTATACACTTTAAATGGGAGATCATGATGATGTAGCACAACTAAATCACATGACACCTGAGAAATAAGCTTTTAAATTACAGATCAAAAATATGTTCGCTCAGGACAATCTCACCAAATATGTATAAAGACACTCCTCGCTTACCAACCACGTTTCATTCTTATGGCTTGGTGGTAAAACAAATTGGTCGGTAAGTGAGGATGCGTTAGTAAGCATGTGCCAGAGAGCAGGTCTACGTTTTGGGGAGTTCCCAGAACATAGACCAGTTGTGTGGGTGCTGTTAGCGTGCGTGTGTGTGGGTGCTGTGTGTTTAAGGGTGCTATTAGTGTGTGCTGTATGTGTGTATGGGTGCTGTGTGTGCTGTTAGTGTGTGTGTGTGTGTGTAAGGGTGCTGTGTGTGTAAGGGTGCTGTTAGTGTGTGCAAGGGTGATGTATGTGTGTGGGTGCTGTGTGTATTTTGTGGGGTGGGGGAGCAGATTAGTAAATAACCCCCCTCCATTCTTACCTTATGTAGGGAGGAGGGACCGTGCTGGTGCCATCCTTGGTGGTCCAGTGGAGAGTGAACTCTAGCCTGCGGAGCTAGAGTTCACTCTCACAAGATCTGAGCGTTGCCACGGCAATGCTCAGATCTCGCAAGAGGAACCCGGCGGAGCTGCTCCTCTCCTGCCTCCCTCACTGCCTGTGGGCCGGTAAGAGAGATCTTTGATCTCCCCACCGACTCATGGAGGCTTGGAGCAGAGCCGGCGCTCGGATAGCGCAGGCCCTGCATGAGCCGACAGGGGAGATCCTGAGATCTCCCTTGCCGGTCTCAATCCATAGGCGTGCGGCGGAGATCAGGGTGTGCCCAGGCACACCCCGTGTGCACGCCTATGCACTTAGAACTATATATATATATGGAGTTGAATGGATCCTCTTTTCTGTGCTTATTAACCTAATAAGGTAAAGTTTGCGGATGACTGACAAACTCCTGTATAGTTCTTAATTCCTCCATAATCAGTAACCCTTCGTATGCCGTAGCTAGATCTACCCAAAGGAATGGAACACTGCAGGGAACCCTGTATTCATTCATCAGACTCACTCGAGAATCCTAAATACAGTTTTAATATTTTTAGTCCGCTACTAGTTATATAAGGTTTATCTCTTTTTCTTCACATTGTGCCTTTTTTGGCGACAGGACTAATAAAGTTACATAATTTTTGTGTAAGGATGTGATAGATTTTAGAACAATTGGTTCTAAGTTTTCCCTCTTGTATATACCTACCATAACCAAGCTAGTGACATAATTGTATACTATTCCAAATGTGTTTTTTCATTTAGAATTACTACCAGCATTAAGGACCTCCCAAGTTGGAGATTACCTTCCCTTGTTTTTCTGAACCTCGATTGTTACCATTAATTATCACTGGTAGCATTTAAAAAAAAAGTTTCTAAAATTAAAATAAATAAGTGGACATCCCTGTGGTGTATCATACCCCAGGGGCGAACAAGAAGAACAAATAATTAAACCCTTGAGTATTGCTTTTCCAAAAAGATATCCAGGCCTTTTTTTTTTTTTTTTAAATATCTACATAATCTGATAACATAACCTCTTTGGGTGTTACTGTAAAGAAACATTTTCTCTGCCCATCTTCCAGTCTGTTGTATATTCCTGATAATTAATTCCAAAAAGTCACACTGTTACACATATATTTTGAGTTGTATTTTTTTCGATCAGTATTACAGGGAACTTGAGGTAGCAATGAAATTATGTAAAAATGAGACTCTACCTGTCCCAATAGAAAGAAGCCACGCGAGAAGGCAGGAAAGTGGTTTCAAAATAGCCTGGACCCCAGGGATCCCACCTTCCCGAAGCACAGAGGTAGGCGGCAGGGGGAATTGCAGAAACCAAGTCTTATGTCTGTGGCAGTTGTATGTGTATGGTAGTGTGTGTGTGTCTGTATGTATGAATCTATGCATGTGTGTGGCAGTGCATATCTTTGTGTGTATATGTTGGTGCAGCACTTAAGATCCACTCACTCAAGCATCGAATACGGACTTCAAAGTACACAAAATGTTATAGTTGTTTTTTTTTTTTTAAATCTAACTTAGGCATTATATCACCATTATTTTTGCCTAAGCCAGGTGTTTTTAAAAACTACGCTTTGTGAACTTTAAAGTTGGTGTTCAGTGAGTAACGTACACACTAAGTATAGGATCTTGCATGTTGTATGTTGTATTAATTGGCCCCAGCAGCATACTTATAATGTAAGCATGTTTAGGTGAGAGCAGCCCTCTTGGTTTCATATGTGAATGCATTTGTGTGTGTGTATGACAGTGTGTGTGGGTGTGTATGGAAATGTGTATCTGTTTATGTGCATTATGTATCTGAGTGTGACAGGACGTATCTGTTTGTTTATGTATGTGGCAGTGTTTATGATGAGTATTTATGTGGCAGTGTGTGTCTACAAGTGTTTGTGTCTCTGTGGCAGTGTTTATCTGTATGTGCAAGTATGTATCTGTAAGTCTGTCTGGGCATGCATATCTCTGTGAATATGTATCTTTGTTTATCAGGGTGTGTACATACATTTATGCCTGCTGTTGTCTGCCAGGGGGCCTGGCTTATGTTTTTAAGAGGCCCCAAGAGTTCTAATAGCAACTCTGCATGGATATTCTACTCTGGGACCAAGTACTACCTGTGAATGGGTTTTCTATGTTGTTCTATATGTGTTGCACATCTGGCAATTCTCTTATGAATACTGAATGATATTGGCTTTTTACTTTGGTTAGAATCTAGCCTTTAAATCACCTTTCTATGCTTTTGTGATATGAGTTTTTCAGAATGCAGCATTTACCTTCAGTAGATTCAGTAGAGCAGAGAATATTCTCCTCTTCATTTTATCATAAATACAAATGCTTTCTATTAAACATTATATGTTTTCAATCTTTGAGTAAGTAATATTTTATAGTATACCCTTGTAGCAGGTAAAGAAATTACAGAAACCAACCACAAAACTGTTGCTGTGATACACAGATAGTGGCCGTTTAACCACTCTTTGTGGTTTGGTGATTGCTATAGTGAAAGACCTCCAGATAATGAATAGGAGTTTTGTATGTAACTGACCAAACATTAAGCACCTGTGCATTAAGTCAATTAACATGCATAGTAATTTACAGCAGAGATATTTTCCTTGAATAATGCTGCTGTAACAAATGAGATGACTCACTGGAAGTCACCAGGAGAAGTTCATATTCCACAGAAAGCAATTTACTGTTTATTTGTGTCATGAAGAAAGAAAATTTACTAAAAATAATAGCTGTTTTGATAGATGGCTTAACTTGTGTGTTGCAAAAGCATAAGTTAAATTACTTTTATGTGAAATTGTTTAGGCATGCATGCAACATAAATCAAGCAACAACGAAACATCATCTTGAAACAAATGGTTAAAACAAATGGTTTGTATTTTTTATTTAAATCAGGGAAATGTTTATTTTTACCTGTATATTTTCACAATTTAAAAACGGCTTATATACCAGTGATATATCTTTATGTTATCTCAGATTGCTTCCTACAGAAATTATGTCCGCATGAAATATTCTCCTTATTTAGAATTTAAAGCTCTAGAAAATGCTGTCAATGTTAAATGAGTAGGACATTCCATTTTGATATGGGATTTTTTTTAAAAGAATATGCTATTATTATGAAAATGTTCCTTAAAGGGTTAAACAAAGCAAAACTATGGAACACTTTGCAGAAGCTGCCAACAAGCTTGCAGATTGCAAATTCTAAACAGAACTGTAAAACGTGTATGCCTGACGCTGTAGTATTAAAAACACTATTTAAATCCTATTTAGTTCCCTGACCACCCTCACCTCCCTTAATTAAGTCAAAACGTACCTTTACGCCAGTGCTAAGTGGGTCCGCTGGCGCTGGCCTTGCCCATGCTTCACCTCCTTGGCTGAGGTCATTAGGAATTGACAATCTCAGCCAATCCAATGCATTCCCATAGGAAAGCATTGGGAGGATATCACGCATCTGTGACAATGCATCTCAATGGGGAAAGTTTAGCACCTCCATGCAGAGCATGTTGTGCAGAACTTACCCAAGAAGCACCTCTAGTGGCCATCTGAGTGACTGCCACTGGAGGTGTCCCATAGTAGTCCCCCGGTAGTCATTGAAACACTGCCCTTTCTCTGAAAAGGCAGTGTTTACAATTAAATGCCTGCAGGGACAGGCTTTACTCACCAGAACAACTACATTAAGCTGTAGTTGTTCTGGTGACTATAGTGTCTCTTTAAACGGAGTTGGGAAGCTTATTGTAATTCAAGCACTTTGACTTAGATTTTGCATACAAGCACTCAACTATCTATAACTCTATGAATTAACCTGTTGCTACCATCTTCTATTACTTATACTTATTACTTATTACTAAAAATGCTTAATTCATAGTTTGGTTTTAAGGTAGACAATACGCTGCACACTATAAAGCTGTCAGTAGAAAAGTAACATACAACAAATACCATAAATGCCTGAAGTGCAATATGCACAATACTTAATATGTACAGTATAGAAAGCCATGAAAGCATTAGAAAATGCATTAGCCACTTCTTGGTCCTTGTAAGAACTCCGTGCAGAAGCTGCAATTCCTAGGTTTTTCCTGGAAAAGCATCAATTACAAAGCATCTCAGGGTATCGTTTTCATATTTTCATTGGTTTACTGTATTTTTATTGATCTATATAGTTAATATTTTACTTATAATGCAGAACATTATATTTAAGTATCACCTGGAAGATTGAAAATTACCCGTTTGAGAACAAAGAAGCTACAAACCTCATTTATGGTATTTGTTTTTCAATCATGTAGTCTTTTGACTGCCACCTATTGGCGTGATCATATTAATACCTGGTTAAGCTCTTCATCATTGGCGACTGCTAGAAGAATATGTCTCGGGGTGATTCTGCCTTTTTTGTTGTCTCTAGCTGCATTCCCCGCTAACTCCAAGATTTCAGCTGTGAAGCAAGAAATAAACATACAAACATACACTTTAGGAAGCATATAACATAATTGCTCTCATCATATAAACTTGATCTAAAATTAAAAGCATGCTGTGAGTTTATCTAAAGTCTTGAGGTGAAGCCTCCACTGCAATGTATGGAAACTCAATTTTTCTAGTTTAGTTTTTATGGAAAGGGCAACCTGTGACCCTGAATATCTGCACTAGCCAATCAGCATCTCCTCATAGAAATGCATTGAGTCAATGCATCTCTACGTGGTAAAGTTCAGCGTCCCCAGGCAGAACATCAGCCCCCTTAGAAAGGGTTAAAACTTACCTTATTTCCAGTGCCGCGTGTCGGCCTCCTTGCGGACATCATCAGAATTTATGATTTTTAGCCAATTAAATGCATTCAGAAAGGAATTCCCAAAGGGAAAGCATTGGTTTGGTTTAAATTGGCAATAAGGCAAATGGCGGCGGGGCCAAACACTGGCTTGGCCAATCAGCACCTCCTCGTAGAGATGCACTGAATCAATGCATCTCTATGAGAAAAAATCAGCATCTCCATACAGAGCGTGGAGGCGCTGAACGGCACTGCTGCACTCTGTGCAGCACTGCCCCAAGAAGCACCTCCAGTGGTCCATCTGAGGAGTGTCCAGTTGAGGTGTCCCTAGGCTGTAATGCAAATATTGCCTTTTTTCTGAAAATACAGTGTTTACTGCAAAAAGCCTGCAGGAATTGAATATACTTACCAGAACAACTACAATAGGCTGTAATTGTTTAGGTGATTATAGTGTGATTTAAAATATCCCCTCATTACTCTGTAAATGAACAGCAACAATGCCAATCTTATGAGGGCTTGAGATTATATATGGTCTGTAGGGAATCCAGAAACAGCAATTGATGGTCAGGTCAAAAGTGTTTAAACAAAGTGTGTGCTTTTATACCAATTTGATAATGACTCTTAACAAGTCCTTTAGAAGCTAAATAAAACCAGATATTTGTTTCTCTCTCTCTATATATATTTTTAATAAATAATTGTAGCACACCAGAATTGTATACAAACTTTAATCTGAAAGCTACTGATAATTTATAAATTGCAATGCTGAACAGAACGCTGTCATTAACACACTGTGTTTGCTATTTGGATGTAAAGCAGCACTGTCATCCCCCTGAAAAATTAGTATTTCACAAAGATAGAATCTTTATCAAATACTCTTTATGGCTGTTTTAGAATTTCACTGAAATTCCAACTCAGTCAAAAGATATACAGAGACAAAGTAGGGATTACTTTGTCTCTGTATTTCTACTATGCCTGACTTTCTTTGACACAAGGTGAAGCTACAGAGTGAATCCCTGTAGCCATCATCAATGCTCAACCAAGATGGAATAGGTAAGTAACATCACCTTTAACTGCCCCCCTCAGCCACCGGACCACCAGCGGCTATGTCACCGCTGGGGGACTTTTCAAATTTAACAATGTCCCCAAACGTTGAAAGTCAGCTTTACATAAGCTTGAAAATGTATCACTTCAAATAGTTCTCAGAAGTTTAAGTGCTTTTATTTCTATATAATAATATTTTTGTTCATTAATAAAAGGTTGAGTTCCAGTATTATGTCCTTGTGCTTATACTGAACGTCATTTAAATTGCTTAAAATGGCACGTTGTTGGTAAAAGTGTTGCAATTATACTTGCAACAGGGGAACTGTTTCTGGTGATAGTTCTGCTCATGCAAATTACTGGGATATTGGTGAACTGTTAGAAAAGTGTTTTCAGTGGATACTCAAGTATTCCATAGTGTCTATTCGCTTAATGTCCAATGGTACCATTACTGGAAGGATTGTGATTGCTTAAAAAAGACTATTCAAGGTATACAACTCTTTTTCACGAAATTGACAAAGGACTTGATATCATTTTTTAGGGTAAGCTTTTTCAAATGAACATTTTTGTATAAGATTTTAATTTAATTTTTTTTTTCAAAATATTAAAATATCACAAAATATATAAATATTTAAAAAAATATATAAATATATAAAAATATTAAAGCAATATTGAAATATTAAGATATTTTTTAAAATATTGAATCATTTGAAAAATAACATTCTATTCAAAGTACAGACATAATAAAACTGCACAATAGGTACACATTAAAAGACTAGCTTTTAAAAGGTTCCTATCTGATCATCTCAGCTGCAGCTTTAACTTACCTGCTAGGTACTCTATGACAGCGGCCATGTAGACTGGTGCTCCCATGCCTATTCTATATTTATGAGTCCCTCTTCTCAGGTAACGCATCATTCTACCCACTGGAAAGATCACTCCCGCCCGGGCAGAGCGAGAAAGTTTGGTGGTTTTCTTCTTCCCTCCTCGAGCAGACATTTTTGCTTTGTGTGGTGTCTGCTTTGCTCAGAAGAACAAGAGTATTCGGTTAAAGTATGACTGGAAAAAAAAAAGAAAAGAATGCAGGTTACATTTACAAATAACTAGATCACTGTTTAGCAGACATAACCCATGGCCCCATATCGTGCTTCCTAGGTTCAATAAAGAACTATATTATAGTTCGTTCTATATTGAACTAATACTCCAAACACTTAGAGCATTTCAGCTTGCTGAAGTGTCTAATGTATAAAGAGTGGGTCCTCTTATAATTTTATAAAAGTGATGATTTATTTGCAAGTGTGAAGAGTGTATCCTCCTTTTTAAATTTTATAAAAGTGTTGATTTTAATTGAAATCTGCACTTTTATTAATTAACTATGGTACACCTCTCCGACTGGAGGACTACTTCCTGGTAGTGCAGTTCCATGTAGCTAACCTCAAGAGGCAGGCAACTGCCTAGGCTAGGGCATATGGTTTGACCAGACTTCTCAATGAGCTGTAATGCATGTCTGACAGATCACATAAATAAATATCATTTAATCAAAGGAACTTACATGACCCAAATGGTTAAGAAGTTAGGAAAGTAAAAGCAAAGGAGGTGTGCCTTTATAGGTAGAAAAAATATTTCTCTATTTATTAGCTCGTTTGGATTTTGTAGTAATTTTCAAATTTTCATTTACTTAAAATCATATGAAGATGCAATATATCAAATATAATTTATTGATAAATTAAAGCATTGCTTTTTTAAAACAGAGGTGGCTCATTACTGGGCCATATTAAAAATTTTGCCAGATAGCACATAAAACATTTGTAGACAACATAGTGATACACAAAAAAAATATTGAGTAGTTCACTACATTTTTATTATTATTATTGGTATTTATATAGCCATACAACTGACCAGGCAACATAACTTGAAAATGTCTTTGCGAAGATTGAAACGTTTGACAAAAGAGGTCTCTTAGAATTAGTAATTCTCACAATAGTAGGCATTTGGATATTCGAATAGGACCTGCAAAAAATGGAATACAGTGGGACCTCGGTTTACAAATGACTCTGTTAACATAATTTTCTGTTTACAAATGAAAAGCCATTGAAAATAATGCCTCAGTTTAAAAAAAATTTTTTCGCAATACACAGCAAGTCTCACTAGGAAGCATTGCACCTGGGAGGTTTAGAGCATCGCCCTCTGCATGCTGGAGCCCGTGGGCAGCACGTGGCGGAGCGGCTTTTACATTGAGTTTTGGAGCCATTCTGGAAATTGTTTGCAGTTGTTTTGGGACTTTTTGGTGCATTTCTCAAGCTGTGGAAAGGTAGGGAGCTGAGCTTCGTCGTTTGCATGCCTTTTATTGTGTTCTGCATTGTGGGTTGGTTTCCATGCCAGCTCATTTTGACTTTTTTTTTTTTACCTCCAGAACGGATTAATTGGTTTTCAATGCATTCCTATGGGAAACCGTGTTTCAGTTTACAATTTTTTTGCGATAAGAAACGTCCCGGAGAATGCATTAAATTTGTAAACCGAGGTCCAACTGTACTTGTAAATATGGTCAGGCATGTACAATGTGTGATTATATACTGAAATTAACTCCCCTAATAAAGAATTGGATGTATGTGTGCACTGTTTACAGGGTGGCCCAAAAATAGGTATACACTTGAATCAATTAAATTCATCACAACAGATTATATGGATACACATACACACTGACACACAACACAGTGACAGTTTTATGGATACACATACACACTGACACACAACACAGTGACAGTTTTATGGATACACATACACACTGACACACAACACAGTAACAGTTTTATGGATACACATACACACAACACAGTGACAGCTCCATGTCAGGCATTTAAAATTCAGTTTGGCAGTTGAAAAGAATCGTGGAGGGCATATAAAATATTTTTTCTTTATGGTTATTGTGAATGAGGACAGCGAACTTGAGTCAAGAACAATGAAAGTAGATGCTAAAGCAGACTAGGACAGGGGTAGGCAACCTTTTAGCAGCACTGTGCCGATATAGGATTGTGATGTCCCGTAGCGTGCCGATCCTATTTTTTTAAATTGAGGTGTGTATGCTGCCGTATTCTGCTTGTGTTATTTTTACTGTAATTGCTTTGTATCATTGTATTTGTGCGTATATGAGGTATTATATTGTATACACATGAATGTGGGCTGTGTATGAGGGCTGGTTGTGGAATTGTGTGTGAGAGGCTGCATGTGGGATTGTGTGCATGTATGTGGATTGTTAGTGGTGTTGCGTTTGTGGGTGTTATGTGTATGTTTGTGTGTGGGCTGTTCGTATTATTTGTATGAGGGGAGGCTTATTCTCCAGGTCTGTGTGTATCTAGCAGTGTGGGTGGTTTCCCTGGGTTCCAGTGGGGGCCAGGCTGGCCAGGTATAGGTCAAGGACAGGATCTGAAACAGCAGCTGCGGGCTGCTCTACTACTGTGTGGATTTCCATTCACAAGTGCTGAGAGGAACTGATCTGAGATCACTTCCTCTACGTGCTGCAATGCATAAATTGAGGATTGTCCTTCACCACCTTTTCATATTAGCAGATATTGGAAGCTTCACTGGGACTCCTGATAGGCCAGAGCCTGTTTGGCTCTATCAGCCTTGAGTGCCATGGAAAGACACCTTGAGTGCCGTGCATGGCACTAGTGCCGTAGGTTGCCTACCCCTGGACTAGGACATCCATATTTCGGTGATTTAACAACTGCACCCATTCCTTCAAATTTATCTCCAGCATGATAAATAGTCAGACGTGTTGGCGGAAGAGCGTCAAATACTTCTTGCCACACTTTTGCGCACCCACTCGCCATTTTCAGTATTAAAGTACTGCTTTAGAATCCATGAATTTCATTGATTCAACTGCATCCACCATTTTGTGGAAACACATTACATCTACCATTTTCTAAAATATATATATTTAAAAAAAAAAAAAAAACACATAATATATCTCTTAACTCCAAGAAACAAAATATTCCATATAGTAGTATAACTTTCAAGCAATGTTTTTGCCTTTTGACATTGGGATGTTCTCCCTACCAGATTAGGGAATAAATGTTATAGGATATGTCTGAGCAGCTTGGCCCCGCCTCCTGTCAAACAATTGGTCTCTCCCACTAAATGACAACCATGTGGCCCCCTTCCCCTATCTGACAACTACTCCCAAGGGAAAAGCAATAGTACACTTCCTGAAACAATTCCAACAGATATTAACAATCAACTGACAATAATCTTAGTCAAATTACTGTTTACACAATTTTTTTTCAGGGCCACCACATAGATAGGAAGCCACAAGACAAGTGTTCTCAGAACTGCTCTTCTCATAATCTCTGCTTTCGTTGCAATGCATTTACTTAGGCTCCACCTAAATTAAAAGGCTAATCCAGACCTGGACACCGTGGGTCATTGTGCCCAGAGGGGTATCGGCTACATCTCTCTGATGAGGCCCAAAGAAGGCAGAAACGATCATCCGGGATTACTGTATCACTTGTGCAAGGGGAAGTTGCCGGTATTTTGGATCTGAACTGCCCTCGTGGGCAGGATCAGCCTGAAATAGTATATGTTTTCTCAAAAAAATTTAAAATATGAGCAGGGACTAACCAAAGGGCAAGGTATTGAAGTTTCTCTGTTGAGCTTTTGCCCCTTCTCACAGTTCTCATATTCTCTGTAACTGTTCTAAAGCCAGACTCCCACACTCTTTTTAACACCCTGACTAAGGGTTAGTGAAAACTATCCTAGCAACCTACTTTTCTATCCTTCCCTTACTTTTTGTGCCACTCCCTCAAGCATGTAAGCTCAATGAGCATGGCCCTCTATTCCTGTGTATCCAAATCGTCTGGTTATAAATATGTGTCTGTTAGTCCCCCCATTGTACAGCGCTACGGAATTTGTTAACGCTTTGGAAATAATGATAATAATGTGGTCACTCTGGTAAGTCAGCAAGAGGGGACCTCATAAGAAATTGGTAGTAAAATAAAAAAGATAAAAAAGAAAAAATTATATGAGGTAGCAAAGAGGACACAGACAGGTATAGAATAAGATATCAACAGGAAGAGATGAGGACATTGACAGGGAGAGAAGGTGATAGGGAGAGATTGGATTATGGGCAGGAAGTTACAAGTGCATTAACAAGAATATAATGTATCTTGCCTTTGAGTAATATATGAACCCATTAATACCATTCTTATGGTTTGTGTATTAAAACATAGGTTTGTGCTCTTTAATTTTTTAAACTGGATACACCCACTTCACATACATTCTTTACTTTAAAGGGTCAGTCTATGCCCATAACCACCTTGCATCATTCCGATTGCAGAAGTAGCCTGTACCAACCCACAGATTCATATCTCCCAATGTTGGGAGGTAAGCCATAACGTTTCTTTAAAGCATATCAGGAAACAATGTATACATTTACTTTCATTGCGAAACAAAATCTGTTAGTGAAAGGGTTCTTATTTCATTATTTTTAGAGACACTGAAACCACATTTCTTATTTTAGTTTTCTCCCCCCTTCTCTGAACAAATGATGCAATTACTCTAACACAGGCTCTACCACATCCCCCCTGAATGGATATTTGTTGGCTATCCTCAAGTACCAGAAAGTAGATTTGCAAACTGCAGGATGTCTCTGTGTCTCAAAATACAAAAAGGAGATTTTAGATTAGATTTTTTTTTTTAAGGTTGTATAAACAATATTATAAAGGGGAATGAATGATATTGGAGCACCTATAACATCTATATTTTGAGTAAATCTTCTTTATGATGTGTTTTTTTTTTTTGTTTTTAAAGTATATTAGAGATTTTGTAGTTGACATCACAAGCCAGTTCCGTCCTGACACCATGAGGCTGTGAAACATTGATCCTCTTTCTCCACCTCCACATACGTATGGTCAATAACATAAAAGGCCAGAGCTTAGAAAGATAATTTACATATAAACAAGATGGAGGCACACAGTCCCAGGATAGAGTAGGTATTAAATTAATAGCAAATACAAACATACAAAATTAAGCCCTGCACTCAAACTCCCACTAGTTGTGGTAGACAGCAATAGCTACAGTGAACATTAGCCAGAATACATACAATGAATCCCCCAACAAAGTTACTTCACACTATCCCAAATGCCTATGCATATTTAAATAACTGGAGGTGTTTTAGTATCACTCCAATCAGTTAAACCACCGTATAAAACTATTAAAGTGTCACATGTCCAACACCAATTAGAGCATCGACACCCATTTATTCACACCATGCATTATTCTGAAATCATTTGTGATGGGGATCACTCTACCTGGTGTTTTATATATTTTTAATATATATATATATATATATATATATATATATATATATATATATATAGCGAGGGCTTGCACTCCTGGTGTAATCCTGTGGTGCCCGGTGCTGGTCTGGCAAGGATCATGTAGACATAGCAGAAATGACCGCACTCCAAGGACTTTATAGAGATTTTCAAATAAAATGTAACTTTTATTCAATCCATTTAAAAAGTCAACATTTCAGCTCCCACATGGAGCTTTCATCAGGACAAAACATGTCTCTATAAAGTCCTTGGAGTGCAGTCATTTCTGCTATGTCTATATATATAAAATATTGTGTTTTGTGTTTTATATATATACATATATATATATATATATATATATATATATATATATATATATAGATATATATATACATACATATACATACATACACACACACTAATAGATGAAGAATGTACTGCACTCTCGGACTTTTCATTTCAAACAAAGGTGCTTTATTCCATAGATAAGAAAATCGACGTTTCGGTCCACGCAGGGACCTTCATCAGGATTAAGTATATATATATATATATATATTTTTTTTTATGCCACGCTAGTTTGCTTCATCGCAAAGATATTAGTCGTACACGTTTTTGCATCATTTGTGCCGCAGTCCTATCAGAATGGCCTAATGGACTTGGAATTATTTAAAGGAACAGTATAGGCACCCAGACCCCTTCATCTCATTAAAGTGGTCTGGGTGAAGTGCCTCTGTTCCTCGTTTCAGAGAAAACGGCAATGTTTACATTGCAAAGTTGAGACGTCCTCTAACTCTACAACTAATCCTTAACAGAGAGAGAGAGGATTTAAAAATAAAAACCTGACTGCTGCCCATTTCCATAACTTTTTTATTAATGAACCAATTATTACATACAATGAATTCTTGACGTATAGAGATTTGCTTGGATAGGTATGACATCTTTTAAATGAGCTCCATTTGCTGCCTTGCAAAGTCAGGTTCTTTTGATTGCATTGATAACGTTAATGTTTGAGGCTCTAGTTCTCGAATTTCTGCATGGATATTCTCCTTGAGCTGCTAAAGTGTATGTGGTTTGTTTAAGTACAACCACTACATCAGATATCCCCACAGGAAGTAATCGGGAGCTAAAAGGTCAGGCGAACATGGCTTCCAATTAATCTGGAAATTTCCTGAAATGATCTGCTCACAGTTGTCTCAGGAGGTCCATTGTGGCCTTGGCTGTATGGACAGTAGCCCCATCCTGTTGAAATCACATTTCAGGATAATTCTCCACTACAGGATGAACACAATTTTCCCATTTTATATACCGATATCTCACACCAGTAACTGTGAAAAAAACACCACCATCAGTTTAAAGGAAAGTTGGGCCCGATAACTTCCTGTAAGGTCATCCTGCACATCACAGCACGTTTGGTAAGATGCAATTGGTGCTGATTAATTATCTGTGGACTTTCTGTACCCCAGAAATCACAGTTTTGCTTATTGATAAAGTCCTTCAAATAAAAATGAGCTTCATCAGACATGATGAGCTGATGAGTAATTTAATTGTTTTTTTCTGGTTAATTCTTGTATGTGAATTGCATAATTTAGGCGTTAATTTAGCCATTGATGGTAGTCTATACATTTCAGTTTCTGCACCAATTGTATTTTATATGGAAACACCTTTAAATATTTTTTTTTTAAATCCACCTTAAAGATGTTCGGGACAACCCTAATTCCCTAAAATGTCTTCTCTTTGATGTTTGTGTTTTTTCTTCCATACTGGCTCTACCTCATTCAATGTTTTCTTGCAAGCTGATCGTGGTCTGTCAGTTTATGGAAGGTTCATCAAAGAACCTGTTTCCTCAAAATGTTGCATTAGTTTCCAAATCATAGTTACTCGGGGTCCATTTCTTACACTCATGTGGTGTCAGTAAGCTTTTTGCATCAAAATAATGGACTTGTAATTTTGAAAACAAAATGCCACTATGTTTACTTGTTGCTCCTTCATGAAATTACCCATGGTGAAACTATCAAGACTCAGTTATAATATGTACCTGCAACAAAAAAGATTGAACTACTAACAAACAAGTGATTTGCCTGTCAAATCCGACTCTGAATTTTAGCCCAGTCTGTATAAAAAGTGTAGAGATGACAAGGGGCTCCAATAATGTAAAACCTTTAAACAAATTAAAAGAATGTATCTGTACTGACATATGAGGTGCTTATATACAAGCACTATGTAATCAGGAACTACTACCGGTGTGGCTGCAATGAGGCCTGCAAGCTGCAGGTGGGCCCATCTGGTACCATCACACTTGGCCCAACTGATGGGCATCTCTGATCAGGGCCTGTCAGTCAGCCTGTCAAACCAGCAGTGCTGGAAGGAAGTGAGGATAAGTCTCTCCCAGCTTAAAGTGAGAGTCATGCAAGTTAGATGAAGGCAGGAAAAAGGAAGGAGAGCATGAAACTAAAATTAATATATGTAGAATTATCTTTAAAACCTTTTATTTTTACGAAATCTTACAAAATATTTTTAAAGTGGCCTTGAATGTATTTAAAAAAAAATTAAATTAAAGGAAGGAGTTGTTTAAGACATATAAGTCTGATGTGGCATAAAAACCATTTCTGTTTTTGTGTGTGTTTCATTGACATCACAAACATGGAAGCATATACTGCAAGGGCCATGCTATAGGGACTGTTTACAACCACAAAACAGGATCTGCAACAGTTTCACTCTTATTGTATTACACAATGTAATTATTATCTTGCCTCACTACATGGTATTCAAGAATTACAAAATATTCAGGTCAAACTGTCAGTTTTTTGGCGAATATCATGTTAAGAGCCTTAATGATACGAATATGATAAGATAATGATATAAGTATATTCATACAGTTATGTAACACTAAAATGCAAACCAGTGTAATCCAACTGATATGTTGGTTAAATTTGCTGTCTAATAGTAGAAGGGTTAATAGGGAAACGTGTATGATAGGCAGTATAATTGCTTAGCAGTATAATTCATTTGTATCAAAACTTTCAATGTTTTTAACTAAGGTTTTTAAGGCCAGCAGGTGTGTAAAGAGTTACCCTCCTCCCAATAAGTGTCAACCCTTCTATGCTTCCCTATACTATACCTATTAACATCAATATTGCATAGTTACTTGTTCCATCTATGCACAAAAGTGCTGCTTTGTTTGGCAAGACATTCCAGGTTTCAAACACGTTGTGCTTTTTTTTTTAAATAAAAGCAGTCATTTAAATGATTAAATAGTCGACTGATCCCCATTGTACAGCGCTACGGAATCTGATGGCCCTATAAATATTTGACTACAAGTACTTGGGGTGGGCTAGAACAGCAACCTTGGCCATCTGCCTGCCAACATTTCAAATTAATAAAAGGTGTGGCCAGGGGTGGGGATGTTCTGAGAAATTTTAGGTGACTTACTAATAACAGTTTAGACAACTAAAATGTAATTTAGAACCGGAACATTGTAACTTATTTACACAGACTGATTTCTCAACATTTTTATTGTTGTTTAAAGGCACAGAATAAAAAGTATTAGTGCTGTGGAGCTCTGTGATACACCGAGACACACCAACAATACTCATAGAAAAGAGAAACATTAGGATAGAAAAGAGGAATCTAGGTCCAAAATAGGGATTTTCTTTCCAAAATAGGGACACCTTGGAAGTATGGAATACTATGCAAGTTGGAAGAAATTTACATTGATAACTGATTGATTATCAATGGCTGACATAAAATGCCAGAGACAGAAAAAAACTAAAAATTAATTTTGTGTAATAATTTCCTTTGATATTACATAATTTAAGTCACTTCACCACAATAGTTCTTACTGTGAAGGTGTCTGATATGCCCTTTGAACTTTTTTTTTTGCGCAAAAGAGCGAGTACAGTACAGCAACAATAAAGCTGCTTAATTTACTCTACAGCCTAAAATACAATACCTAATGCACTGGGCAATGAAAAAGAAAATGAATCAAGCTGTTTCATTATGATGTTCTCTGGACTAATTGCAATGTCTATTATTAATGAAACATCATCCTTTCTTAAAATTAATTCAGGGAATAGGGTCACCTCCCAGGTTTTAATATGATTGCTTACTTATTTAATGGAATCATTTACCTTAATGTACAGTGATGATTAAACATGGAATAAAGTATTGCAAACAAAAGCTTAAAGGGACACTATAGTCACCAGAACATCTTAGGTATTTTCTCTGAAAAGGCAGTGTTTACATTGCCCCCTAGGGACACCTTCAGTGGCCACTCCTCAGATGGCCACTGGATGTGCTTTCTGGGGCAGTGCTGCACAGTGGGAGTTGCTGATTGGCTGCCCATTCCACCTCCTTGCCAATTTCAGATTGGTTAAAAATCATAAATTCTGATGATGACAGCAAGGAGTATGAAAATAAGGTAAGTTTTTTTTAACCCTCTCTAAGGTGGCTAAGGGAGGGAAGCCACCTATAGACCCTATAGTGTTCCTTAAAGCAAGAGCTTAAAGGAACACACCAGCACAATACACACTATACCCCACTGTAGTGATTATGGTTCCGGGAGTGCTCTGGTGCTTTTAGGAGAATCTGGTTACTTCTACTGAGTTAGGCTTGGCGAGGCAGGACTGACTACTGTGGACTACTGACTACTCGCAACCAATGAGCTTGATCCTATATTGCAAATATAGTTACTTAGTTTGATAAACACATATGGCTTCTGATGCAGTAGAGGACCAGAGGACCCAGATAAATTGTTCAAGTGTACTAAAATGGTTTGATAAACTTAGCTGTGATGGTTATGGTGCTTGGAGTATTATTTTAAAGATCTCAATCTTTGTTTTGTTAGTGACAATCACATATCATATTATATGATCCTTTGTTAGTAAAGGTAATAAGATATATAACTAAAACACATGATGTCAGGATGTTATATAACCGGATTCATGTCTTGTGTCCCATAAAATTATGTCAAATGGGCTATTAGTTAAGGGGATAATAGAAGAGTGTCCAGAAAGACATGGTTGATTTGGCAACCCTATGTACACCACATCGGCAAAGAGGTGAAAACCACACTTTGTCTGAATAATGCATAAGCCAACACTGCTGCATCCTTCTGACATAATCTATCCTATTTGTGTTATGCACGCAGACCTTTGAACATCAAATGAAATATGCCAATTTGAAGACTTGAGAAGGCTGCTACTTAAAAAAAAATGTATTGCCCAAAAGAATAAGGAAGAGGCAACCAAAATATGTTTTATTAAGTGTACCAAAAATAAGAAGTCAGATCTAAAGTTTATTATTCTATTATCTTCTTTTTCCTTTTGTTACAAAAGTCAACAATTTTGTTAAAGGGACACTCCAGACCCCTAAAGCACTTTAGCTTACTGAAAAGCTTTATGTGTGAAGAGTATGTCCTGTTTTGTTTTTTTTCCATTTTGCAAAAAAAATGCATGTTTCAATAGAAATTGACACTTTTATAAATTAACCTGGTTACACTCCCCTGGCTTTCAAACAGAGAACAGGTCCTGTTACTTTCTGGTTTGGTTAGCTCAGTGGATCTATACACAAGAGTCAGCAATTATCCAGAGCACTTGCCTTTCAAAGACTTCACATTGGGTCACATTGGGAAGTTTTTGGTTGGACAAACACAGAAAGTCTGGCCGGGGCTAGAAGGGGTGGGCTTGAAAAGGCTTCAGACAAGAGAACTGTACATTTTGCACACCATTTCTTGATATACAACAATGAAAAAAATGCATAATTTAATGCTTGCTATTTAAGTATCTACAAACATTGATTTTTATTTATTTTATATTTGGGCAATGGAGTGTCACTTTAAGGTGGTTAACATTCCAGAAATCCCAAATATGGCAAATTTCACAAAGGATCAAGCAAGGACCTAGATACAACAAAAGGACTCTAAGCACCAACACTAAAGTTCATTGAGTCTATGCCATAACATTTTTTTATTTTTGTACAGGGAAGAGCCCCGTTTTTTGTTTTTTTAAATCAAAACTCTCCATGACTTATGATTTTTTGATTGATCCTTTAAGAAAAAGCTTAACATGGGAATATGGTTTTATTCAAGCATCCGCAAGTGGAAGTTAAGATATTTGAGGTGCATTTTCAACCTTGTTCCTACTCTTTAGCAACAAGTTACAACTTGTTATCATGCCTGTCACTACGGTTAGTGACTAGTGAGTGAGTAGTGGCTATTGTATGTAACAATGGGGAGCTACTAACTACTGCTTCTAAAAGCCAGTCACTATAAACAGCGGCTAATAGCTCCCAATTTGTATACGGGAGTCAACACTAAAAAAAATTTTTTTACGGAAGCCAATAAAGACTTTCTAGCAACTGATACTAATCATATCATTACTCATTACTAGGTGCCTCTTTAGCAAAAATAATAACACCAGCCCTATTTGTAGCCTGTACTACAAGCTACCTGCTATAATTAATAACAAGGTTGTAAATGAGCCATTTCTGACTAACTTGCTAGGTAAAATTTTGCTTGGCTGAAAAAAAACTAGATCCTAATTTTACACATTGTTGCTCAGCGTAAATTTCTCTTTTCTTTTGATTCTTTTGCTAGTCATGTATTGGAATCATTTACAATGACCCCTTGCAAAATAAATATTTATAACCGTTGCCTTGACATGATTTACAGGAAAATAGGTTTATACAACACAGCTTGACAGGGTCTATTTTATTATCACAAGCTGTCAAGAGCGCCTATATTATTCCTCAGTTGTATTAATACTGCTTTGTGCAATAGACAAATCATTTCATTACAGAACAATGAATAAAAGAGACATGAAAGTTGACATATTGAATGTATAACACCAACGTTCTAGTGATTTCCTGGTGAAAAGATATTTTGATTACATCATTGTAAATGTAATTTCATTCTGTTACACTCACATTTGTGTTATTTTATGATTTGTTTGTGTTTCAACTGCTCTTTTTTTTATTTTTATTTTTTTTTATTTACACATAACTTCCTTATCACCCCCTCAAATAAATAATTCCCGGTTACTACGATTAGAATGTCTTGGCCAAAAAGAGAAAGAAAAAATGTTTTTATTGTAGTATTTAAAAATTACCACTGTTAAAGCCATAGTTGTTGCTATATTAATGCAAATTAGATATTTGCCTCAAAACCGTCATCTGAACCTCCACGGGCCAATGATGAGATAAAAAGAAAAGGCTTCCTTGAATATAACCATCCTATGGCTCCATACTTTTGCAAGGAAGTGTGTTCGTGCTGAAACCTAACTATTATCAATAAGACAAAAGGAAATACACAATATGGAGGTAGAAGATCCTAATGTACTTTAAAAACAGAGAATGAATGGATGTAAAAGAGGACCACTGTCATATAACTCCACCACACACGCAGCCAGCCATACATATGTAGTCTCCACCAAGTCGTGTCACATTGAATACCTAACCACGTAAAGCCCCTACCACACACATGCTGCTCTCACAACACAAAAGCCCAAGACCATCAAATACATGCAGACCCACAAAGGCATGATTCCCACCAGAAGCAGTCAGCTACCATTTTCCATATGTCTATCTCTAACTTTTCCCTAGAGGAAAAAACAAATGTGGAGATAGCAGATTTTTGGTTAGGTACGGTACTAGGAACCGATGGAAAGCACTAAGGCGGAGACTTATTAATGTTATGGAGAGCATCTTTAAATCTGTTTATATTTATTAAATTGCCCAATACAGAAAAGATCACCAAATGTAGAGTGGTGGAAAAAAAGAGAAGTGAGAAAGAACACTTTTCTGGTGACAAAAAGTGAAAGAAAGACTGATAAATCTGCAGCAATAAAAATGATGAATTAAACAAAATTGAGGGTTAGAGACAATAGAAGCAACAGATAATGAAAAAAACAACATTTATTAATGTGCACCAATAAAAGACAAAGAAATGTAAAAGAAAAAAAAAAAAAAAAGAGTAAAATAATTTCCGACACTGTGAAATATCTACTCTACTCCATTGAATGGATAAATGTGTATAATGGGACTATAAGAGGAAAGTGGAATAAAGATTGGATAGCAGAAGGAATGAACACTGATCATTAGACAAGGGAAAATACTGGTCATGGATGGGGGGGAGGGGAAGGGAAATTGGTTAATAGAATAGAGGAAATGGTAGTACTAGGTTTGAAACAGACTCTGATGGAGAGGGTAAAGACTGGCAGATAATTAATAGGAAATGAGCTGTAAACCGAGTGTGGGAGATAGACTATTGCAAGATGAGAGAGAAAGAGAAAGTCAAAGAAAAAAAGAGATGCAAGTAGAAAGAATGAAGCAAAGAAACTAATTAGAGAGGCTCTCGCTAAAGACAGTCCAGTAGGTGAGGTGGGACTGATGAGGGGTGGCAAACTGTGTTTTTGCGTAGGGCATGAGAAATTCTTCATCTTGCCATGCCTTCATATACCGTGTTGTACTTAGGAATAAAAACATTATTTTTTTATTTTTATTTTTAAATTAAGTTTTAAAAAGTCTGTTCAGGGTTATTCGCTTTACTCTGGATTATACCAAAGTAAGGTCTCGATTTAATTTTTTTTGGATAAACTTTAACAATTATTTGTAAAAAAAAAAAAAAATGTAAATATCAAAAAAATAATACATTTATAAAAATATATTTAAACAATATATTTTTTGCAATTTGTATTTGCATATTAATTAAAATATAATTTTTACAAGCACGCAAATGTAGATAGTTTTGAGATTTGTAAATCTCTTCTCTTTATGTTTGGTTGTGTGCAGTTTACAACTGCACACAACCAAACATACATCTGTGTTCAACATAAGTGCCGACATTATACACCTACATTTGGCCTCTCTTAACTTCACTGGAATAAAACTGTGAGTGTAGATCCTGATTAGGTGACCAATATGGTCGCCTAGGGCCCAGGCTCAAAAGATCTTCCTGCATGTATTTTTCCCTTCAAGAGTGCCCATATGGTCCCCCCGGCAGTTCTTGATGACTGAGTGCCACAATCAGCACTGATCAGTTATTGATCGAGTGCTGGTACTGTGACACTCTTAAAGTGGTCTCTTCCTGATATTGGTGCAGACAAGTCCCCCCACTTCACCACCAGTGATCCAGCTCAATATTTACTAGTCACAAGTGATTCTGTTCACCCTCCACTGGACCACCAGGGAGGAACATACACACTCAGCCACACTCTGGCTCCCAAACACAAACAAAATTTAGCCACCACACACAACACTCAACCAGCACACACAGACACACTCAGCCTTCCCCCACACAGCCCTCACCCTCCTGCCACCACACACACACACACAACACTCATTCAACACACTACTCACAGAAACAGAGTTCATGGCTGTATTCTAGGGCTGTGGGCAACCTTAATTCAGCTCTAAAGGTGTATGTGCGCAAGGAGCTTGCACCGCCAATATTTCACCATTGTAAAGCAATTAATGCTAAAGTTACACATTTACATTGAATGGCATTCAAGCTTGTGTGAACAGTGATTCTTAAATGAATCTCTGTGTATGATCATTATTTGCTGATGTTTTGAGTCACTGATTCATTTTTGCTTTAACTTGAATCTTCCAAAGAAAAGGTAAATTATTGCACTAAAAATAAATGCATTAAAAAACCTGCATAATATATTAAAATGTGTGTGAATGTGAAGGACTCTGGAATGCTCTTTCAACAGAAAATCAGTTTGAATTTGATTCAAAGCAATATACAAAAGGGTCTTCATTTGTCAAATATATATTTTACCAAATCACATTGTTTTGACATGCACAAATTACCATTGGGGTGTAAGTGACTATTGCTTTGACATACTGTCATACATGAATACTCAGCTGTCAAAAATGACACATTCAACATGTTGATTTAAAATGTAAAGAATCACATACATACACACACACACACACACACACACACACACACACAACACATCTGGAAAAAGGATACTATGAGAAATGTACAACACTGTCAATATGTGTTTGTATGTACAGTTTGTATAAACTGCCAGGGAAAAAAAATCAACAGTGACAGATGTGAAAACGGATGACAAGTGATCTAGTTAATGTTCTAAAATGCTGTTATAACATAAGCAAAGTTCACTTGATTGCACTAGCAATAACATTTGCTGGTGTTATCTGCAACTCACACAGAAAATTAGCAAATTGTACACTAAAGGAGGAGACTTAGCAACAGAACCACTACAGCTCATTTTAGTGGTCATGGCATCTAGCCTCTGGATGCCCACCCCCAGTTCAATGCAAACTGTTTAGAAACAGTTTGACAATAAAAATTGGCTTTCCACAGCACCTGGAGACTGGGGCCTCCTGAATATTTTTGATAATAAAAAAGTGACGCTTCTATTTTTAGTGCCAACTATGTTTAATGTGGACGGCAGTAATTGGCAAAGAAAATGATGGATGCTTACTGTGCCAGTGATAACAGTTCAGCTATGTACAATAAATGTATTTTAATAGTTATGTAGGTTGAAAAAAAGACTCAAGCCCACCAATTATCTTTTTATACCACTTATACAAAAGTCCCATTTAAGTTAAAGGAACACCATAGCGCCAGAAACACAAACGTATTCCTGACCCTATAGTGTTAAACCCACCATTTAGGTGGCTTGCCCCCACCTTAGCCCCTTAAAAGGAATTAAAACTCACCTTATTTCCAGCGCTGCTCGGGTCCGCCGGTGCTGGCCCGCCCCAATCCACTTCCTTGGTGACATCAGCATTAGATTGGCTAGAATCGGCAAGGAGGTGGGATGGGGTGGGGCCAAAAGCTGTTTTAGCCAATCAACACTTCTTCATAGAGATGCATTGAATCAATGCATCTCTATGAGGAAAATTCAGCAGTGCTGCCTACTGTGGAAGCATCTCCAGTGGCCATCTGAGGGGCAATGTAAACACTGCCTTTTTCTGAAACGGCAGTGTTTGCATGAAAATGCCTGAAGGGAGCTATTATACTCACAAGAACAACTACATTAAGTTGTAGTTGTTCTGGTGACTATAATGTCCCTTTAATAAACCCCAATATTTATAGCTGTATTGGGAACAGGGGAGCAAGCGAGGCTTAATTCTCAACCAGTTACTTTTATTAGCCCGTTATTAGGGTGTCAAGATTTGTCCAGCCAAGTATTCCCAGGGGTGCTACATTATCCACCTATTGTGATTCATGCCCGTATGTAGTAACTGATTTCCCAGTCCTCCCACATATGAGCCAGACACTGGATGCAATGCAAAAAGAACGTGCATTATTTAGCAAACCCTATTATGCATACATTATCAGGGTTAATCACTAAGGTGAGAATTGTGGAATAAGCAAAGTAAATTTTAAATTTAAGGCATAAATAGTTAAAGGGACATTATAGTCACAAGAACAACTACAGCTTAATGTAGTTGTTTTTAGTAGGTATAGTCAGTTCCTGTAGGCATTTTAATGTAAACACTGTTGTGCCAGTGAAAATGCATTGCTTACATTGCTGCCTAGGGACATCTCCAAAGGCAGTCACTCAGACAGCCAATAAAGGTGCTTGCTGGGTCAGTGCTGCACAACATGCAGCACTGATGTTCAACATCTCCATGCTATGCATGGAGATGCTAATCATTCCTCGTAAGGATGCATCGAAATAATGCATCTCTATGAGGAGATGCTGACTGATCATTGTGGCATTTGGCTCCATCCCTCTACCTGCTTCCTTGGCTAAGATCATCAGAATTGACTATCACAGCCAACCCAAAGCTTTCCCATTAGAAAGGCTGAGTTCATCAATTTCAAAGGACAATCGGGGCGGCGCTGGAATAAATGTAAGATTTTCAGTTATTTGAGAAGGGAAGGGAGGGCCAGAAACCTAAATAGTGTTCTTAACACTATAGGGTCAGGAATACACACGTTTGTATTCCAGACCTCCCCATGGTGCAGAAGTGGTCCCTCGGCACTGTTTCAGGCTCTGCCTTTGCTCCTCCGCAGACATCAGGTGGTCGGGGAGCACCTAAGGTTTAAAGGGCCTGCGACACTCCACCCAGACCACTTCAATGAGTTGAAGTGAGTGGTTATGCAGGGCCCCAGTGCACATATTTGCCTGAAGGCCTAAACTGCAGTTAACATGGCCCTGCTGCCAAATCATGGAAAGTGTGGTGAGGAGAGGCACATGCTGATGCAGTGTGAGGTTGAGAGTTTACTTTCACAACTTTTCAACACCCACTGCACCCTACTCTGTGCAGCATGGATGATATCTGTCACTGAATGGACAGCCAGAGACAGCTGCAGCTCAGTCCTACTAAACAGGATGGGGAGACATAAGCTGTGGTTGTGAAAGACCCATGGGATTGGTGTAGAGACACACAAAGCATGCAATGGTAGGCATGGAGAGGGGTACACACTAGGTGAAAATGAGGAAGGCACAATGTGCAGAACTGACGTTTAGTGTCTCCATGCTTTGCGTGGAGGGGCTGAACTTTACCCATAGAGATGCATTGAGTCAATGCATCTCTATGAGGAGATGCTGGTTGGCACAGCACAGTGTTGTGCTGAGCATATGCAATAGCCTCCTAATGCTTTCCAATGGGAAAGCACTGGATTGGCTCAGATCATTAAGTTTGATGATCTCAGCCAGAGGGGTGGAACATGGATTGGGCTAGTCATGACCAGACCCTCGAATACAGGTTTTAACAGGAGGTAAGGGGGAACCAGGGGCCTAAACAGTTATTTACATCTATAGTGTCAGGAATACACAGCTGTATTTCTGACACTATAGTGTTCCCTTAAGTTCAAGCACTATTGGCAATGATTACGACCTCAAGTCTTTTTGGGTATGATGAGACAAGCTTTAACCAAATGAATTTGGGTAGCTTCTGCCCTTTATCTCTGCAGAATCTGCCAATCTCTGTCAGTTTGTCTGGGGACTATTTTCAGATCTTTCCAGACAGGTTCAAGTCTGGACTCTGGCTGGGTCATTCAAGGACATTCTCAGAGTTATCCCTAAGCCACTCTTGTCTTGTCTTGGCTGTGTTCTCCTATTTTCTTGCTAGAAGGTGAACCTTTGGCCGAGTTTGAGGTCCCGAATGCTCTGGATCAGGTATTCATTACAGGGACACTATAGGCACCCAGATCATTTAATATCAATGAAACCGGCTGTGCGCACTGTCCCTGTCCTTGTGATCCTGCAATGTAAAACAATGCTTTCAGTGCAAGGGTAAGTATGACAGCCACTAGAGGCACTTACGCTGCACTGACTAAGTAAAACTTGTTCACATGACATGGAAACCCATAGGAAAACATTGAATAAAGTGGTTTCCTATGGGGAAACTTGAATGCGCACACGACACTTGGGGTGTACATCAGGTCCTAAATACTCCACTAGAAAGAGCACAGGATAGGATCATAGTGGAGGAGACTGTGCCTCATCGATGATGTTGCAGGAGGCAGAGGGGTGGGCAGCATCAAATGAGCCTCGGCACTAGAAGACAGTTAGTATAAACCTTTACTTTATTATTTTTATGGCAAATGGGGTGTGGTGGGACCTTAGGACAGGGACACTATAGTATTAGGAATATCTTCATAAGCATTCAGCTTTCCCTCAACCCTGACCAGTCTCATGGGCCCTGGTTTAGAAATACATCCGCACAGAAAGATACTAGTGCCATGCTTCACCATTGGAATGGTATTGCACTGGTGGTGAGTTGTGCCTGGTTTCCACCAGATATGATGCTTTGAATTGATGCCAAACAGTTCAATCAGGCTAGAAAGTCACAGATTCCTTTAGGTTGTTTTTTTGCAAATTCCAATTAGGTTTTAATGTGTCTTCCAATGAGGAGAGACTTCCATGTGAACAATTTGTTATAAGGGCCAGATTGGTAGAGTGTTGCAATGGTATTTGTCCTCCCAAAAGTTTATTTCATCTCCACACATTATCTCTGAAACTCACCTAACATGATCATCAGACCATTTGACCTCATGGTTTGTTTTTTTGATTTGACATGCATTTACAGCTATGAAATCTTATATAGGCAGGCGTGTGACTTTCCAAATCACATCCAAACAATTGAATTTGCCAAGGGTGGACTTTAATCATATTCTAGAAATAACAAAGATGATCCAGAGAAATGGGATGCGGCGGAGCTAAATCTCAAGCACATAGGAAAGGGTCTGAATGCTTAAAGGCACCCAGACCACTTAATCTCATTAATGTGGTCTGGGTGCAGTGTCCCTGTCGTCCTCAGTCCTGCAATGTTTTCCAGAAACTGCAATGATTACTTTGCAGGTCTAAGAATGCCTCCTGTGGCTGACAGTCAGACAGCCACTAGAGGTGCTTCCGGAACTCTAACGGACTCTGAGTCCCTTAAACCAACAATGCTTGATGTCCTTGCGCTCTCCATAACGGCATCCAACGTCAGTGGTAACGATGGCAATGCTTTCCTATGGGCATGGCCTAATGCACTCACAGCGTTCACACATTATGTCCCCCGTTCTGCTGAGGCAGTGAGTCGACCTAGCACAGAGGGACATGAGTGGAGGAATCGGGTTTTTTTTTACCCTTCATGTGCGAAGGGATAGGGGGACCAGAAGGTACAATAGTAACACTACAAAATCTCTTTTACTCAATGTGATATTTCAGCCTTTTCTTTGTAATACATTTGCAACGTTTTCTAGTGTTTGTTTTGTAATTATGGGGTATTGAGTGTAGAATGATGTGAAACAAATAATAAACAACTGTAGCAGACTGAGAAATAAAAATGTAAAAAAAGAAGGTGTCTGAATACTTTCAAAATGCACTGTATGCATCTGTATAAATTGAATAATTCAAAAGTAAACAGGACACCTAAGTTCACATACATTGCAAATAACTGTTTTACTGAGAGTTTAAAACAAAACACACTATTAAACATAAATACAGCAGAACCATGGCGCTCATAATATTTTACAGCTATGTAATATACCTTTCAATCATTAGTTTGTAAATTAGGTCTTAAAAACAATACAAATAAAATGTGAGATAATCGCCACTGTATTTCTTGCGATAGGTGTCTGTCTATATACAGCACGCTAACCAGTCATCAGGACACACAATATCATATATACAAAATAAAGAGCATTACAGAAATATGATTTAAGAAGTATGCAAAGTATAAAATAAACCGCTTAGAATAAAAGTGCATGGTTTCGCATTTAAAAGGTTTATAAACACAAATAGTAGTTAACAATCCTTTTAACATTGCGTTACACATTATGAAAGCAATTATATTTTCAGTGTTTTTATTTCCAATCAAAAGCTCCAGACACACCAAAACAACAACGAAAACATTTAGAAATTATAGTCATTTAAGAACGGTTTTATACACTTTAAAATAAGATCAATAGATTATTATTTTTTTCCAAGTTATTTTTCAATCTAGCTCTTAGAGATGAAAGTAAAAACACCAACTGGACAATGAATGAATGAATGAGTCTCAGAAAAATATCTAATGCAGGAAAATGTTGTGTGAGGGCTGAACGATGCAAGAATTCAGTGCATAGTTATCTTAGGAGCCGGCAATAAACAGAGTACCCTGTCTCTTTAAGAGGCCTAGCAGTAAAACCACAAGAAATAAAGCCTTCCAAATCCGGATTACCCGGGGAAATTGTACAATAATTCTATATACATTCAAACAAATCACATCATAAAATTATTTAGACATGTTTATCGATTATGCACCCATAACACATAAAATAATATAAAATTAAATTTAAAAAAATAGAAAAATTTAAAATAATAGATGAAAAATATAAATAAGCATTTCTTCATTATAAAAAACCAACAGTGCACAAAGTGTGTAAATGGAATGTAAAACACAATTACCCAGGAAGCTAGCAGAGGTTGGAGGTGCTGTGAGGCCCCAGGAGGGTTATGATGGGGAGGGGGATGGGGGGGTTGTACAGAAACGCTGTAAAACTACAAAATAAGCTGTGTTTGCATGGAACATAGTGCTTAAAATAAACAGACATTGTTACAATCTTATGTACCGATCCGTAGCTTTATTTAACTTGGGCATTTATTGTTATCTGTGGGGGGGTTAGAAGAATGAAGCGGGAATAGGTGACGGGGAGAAAGAAGGAGGAGAGGGGGGGAGGTTAAAAAAAGATAGAGAGAGAGAGGGTGAAGCAAGGGAATGAAAGAAAAAGGCCAATAAAATATATACAATGTTACACTAATGTAGCATGCAGAGCAGATTATGAAACAAATCCATATTACTGTCAAAGACAAAAAAAAATGGCAACAAAAACAATCTTTACATGTCACTGCTTTGCAAAAATAATAATAATACAGCACACATTTAAAAAAAAAAATGCAGGACTATTTAAATATAATCAAAACAAAAAGTCTCTTTGAGTGTAACTCGCTCTTTTATAGCCAATACGTGCAATATCATCAACCAGATATCCGTTTTATTAAAATGACCAATAAATACATAAAGCTTGATTAGTGGATGCATGCTTACTGTGACGTGTATAATAAAGGGATTAGCTTGTTCCCCCCCAAGCAGTGTAAACAAGAGAGGGGGGACTAATAAATGAGAAGAAAGGGGGTTATTAAAGTGGAAATATCATGCATTACAAGGGGAGATCAGCTCACAATCCATCTGTCTCCTCCCCCTTTAGTGCTGGGAACTCTCAATATTGTATGTTTAAATCAAAATCCATAGCAGGGTGATCATCATTTTATTTCTATCACACCCATGCTCTGCACAGCTTGCAGGAGTGTCACTGCCCCTTTAAATGTATGCATTTGTCTCGCATTGTAGCGGTCAGGTTTGTGCTTATTAATTTGCAGAGAATAAGCCATTCATTTGCAAGAGATCTGAGCCCCCAGCTTACCTTTCTAGTCTATTTCTATCACCTCCTGTATCTTCTTTCAATGAGATGCCAGGGCGCAACTTACAGGAGGCCGAGTCTTCTTTTGTTTTGTTGGGGTTTTTTTGTTTAGATTTTGTTGTTGTTTTTGGTTTGGTTTTTTTTTGTATGTGCTTTTTTGTTGTTGCTATTGTTGCTTATTGTTTTGCCTTTTGTATCCTTTCTATTATTTTGTATTCTCTTCCCTCCCCCCCCGCCAGTGTGTAAATGGAAGCTCTGAAAGCTGATAGTAAAACCGGGAGGTGGGACACAGGGCAGAAGATGAAGAAAAAAAAAAAAAGAAAAGAAAAAAAAAAAGAGAGCGAGAGAGGGGAGGAGGAGAAGGAGTGAGATTGAACGATAGAGAGGACAGCCCTAAATGGGGATTCAAATTCTAATTCCACCCATAGGAGGCGTTCAAAACACTGATGGCTGCTGAGCTTGCTTTCGTTTTGTTGTGTATTAACACCTCTGTGTCCTCTGTGCTTCACAAAGAAGTCAATGGATTCTCAACGCATTCTGTTTAAAAAAAAAAAAAAAAACAACATTCCATTTTAGAATAAATCGGGTTTTTTTGGTTTGTTTTTTAAAGAGGTTGTTAATGATTAACTTTGTTTTTCTTTTTTTTTTTTTAATCAAAGAAAAAAAACGGGGTTACCTTTGCTTTGTAAGAAAAAAAAAGGAGGTAAACTAGTATTTGAGAATTTATTTTTTTGGTGTGTGTGTGCTTATTTAAATAGGGTTACACGAGGTTAGGAATTCGAGTTTAGATTGGAAGACAGAACAAACATTGCACCACTAACAGGGATAGGCAACCTTCGCAATCCAGATGTTGTGGACTACATCCACCATAATGCTCTTACACCCGTAATGCTGGCAAAGCATCATGGAAGGTGTAGTCCAAAACATCTGGAGGGCCGGAAGGTTGCAAATGCCTGAAGTAGGTTATGTCCAAGCTGACCTTCTTAGGACCAGAGTCTACACCCTGTAACAATCCTGGCATGTCAGTGGTCCGTGTGGGGTTAATTTAATCATCTTGTGTGTATTGCAAAAAAAAAGGCTGTGAATTAGAAAAAAAATGCACAAAAATGGCTTATTTAGTCATGTTTTTTTTTTACCCTGTTATGCGTATCAATGAAAATATATTTGTTATCGTGGTGTTTGAGATTGCCCTTACTCAGTCATGCCCCTTTTGCACCATATACATTGAAGATCCACCACAAGCCAATAATGACATTCCTTGGAAATGATAAGGGTTAAAAACAGCTGATGTGATTATTAACATTTTAGCACTTTTTTATTAAAATAAACGCTACAGGAGAGAAAGCGTTAACTTACAAAAAATAAAATCTCCCCGCAAATCATTACAACTTCCAAAAATGTGGCAAACATATTGGCAGTGTTATGTCATATGTCACTAATGTGAAAACCCTCTGCAAAGTGCTCTGAGCTGGGAAAAAGCTTTATAACTACAAGGATATCCTAACCCTTTTCTTACTGATGTAATCATATTAAAGGAGCATTCTCGTCTGTGGGCTATGGCTATGCACTTTGGCTATGGGTTGTGATATTTGTTTTGTTAATATCAAACTTTAAAAAAAATGTTTTTATTTAAATCATATGCTAGCTTGAACTTGCACAGTCGAAAATACTATGCACATTTAATTTAACCCACATAGTGCCATCCATACAGTTGAGTGTGTGTGAAAATGACACTTTTGACTCAATGTGCAAGCATGTATGTGCTCATTTGGCCTTTTTAAGCAGATCCCAAATATACATAAATGTTGCTGCAGTGTAGTGGATCACTGAGGTCACCCTAAAAAAATAAGAGCTTTAGACTTACATTTGACTCAGTAAGCTATTCAATATTGTTTACTAGGGTGAGGAAGTGAGGAACTGCCACTTTCAGAGACGTGACAGTTCCTCTTTAAATCCTATAAATGTCACTTTGTGTTCCACAGCTTTTAAAAGCAGAGTGCACAGACATATATGTATTAAAGGAATACTCCAAGCATCATAACCACTACAGCTTCTTTGCAGCCTTCAGGAGATCTAGAAGCCAGAGCCTTGGAGGCTTCTGTTAGCTCTTCTGAGCTCAAGCTTGTACTTCAAGTCAGCTCCTTTGCTGTGAGTGTCAAATGATCGCTTTAGTGGTTATGGTATGCGGACTGTTCCTTTAAAATAAATAAATAAATAAGACATCACTATTGTTAAGGCATGCATATAGCAGGACTTGACCAACGTTGTTTGTAGAGCATTTTGAAGATGAGAGGAAATTAAAAAATAATATAGAAAACATTTTTGCTTTGTTGTTTTTTTTTTAATAAAGTTTCCTCAGTGCAAGCATTTCCCCTTATGTTGACATCTTAGCAGCAACAAGGAAGTGGCCCAACAGGTTCAGCCACTGAGCATGCGTATATGCGTTACCAGAGTGCTACAGTATAATGTGTTTTTTTTTTTTCTTTTTATAGAAAAGCAGTATAATGTGTTTTTTTTTCTTTTTATAGAAAAGCAAGTGCTTGCATTGTCGAATTATTATTATACTTTTTTTATATTTATAACACATTCAGCAGCGCAGTCCACAGGTACAATTGGTACAAGTACAACGACAAAGGTACAATACATTTCAGAGACATTTTAACAAACAAATCCAGGAGGATTTGAGAATCTTATTCCCATGGGAATTTACAATCTGGATGGGGATTGGTCAGGAGGGGTGAGAAACACGAGGTGGGCACTGCAAAGGTGAGGACGATGTTACAGAGAGAGACAAAAGCATTTATTGGTTAAGTGGAGTACATTAATTACTGAGTTAAGTGGTAGGCTTACCTGAACAAGAATGCCTTTAGGGAGTATCTAAAGGAGGGCAAACTAAGGGAGTGTCTGACAGTGCAGGGAAGTGCATTAACACAAGATAAGTCCTGCAGTCTACCAGTCAAAACAAAGACTGAAAATATTACTGCATATGAAAAACCTTAAGATTGGCAACAGCCCTGAGAAGTTTACTACTTGCCAGATTTGGAAGCAGAACACGGAGCTATATTATGCATTATGTATTTTTTTTAATTATTTTTCAAAACCTGAAAAAACTCCCAAGTGGCATAGTAAAAGAACACTACAGGCAGCCGTAGACCATTTGCAATGCATTATGCAGGTTGGCCTAGAGTAATCTGCGTGAAAATGAGGTATTACATACCTTTCCAACCTTTTAACTGGGCAAAGGAGACGCTTTAACTTTAAGGGTGTGAGTGGGGGTGTAGCCAGAGGCTGGGCTGTTCTGAGAAATTATAGGTGACTCACTAATAACAATTTATATAACTAAAATGTAGTTTGGAAAAGTACTTTATTTACACAGACTAATTTCTGAACATATTTTTGCATTTTAAAGATAGACTACTGTGAGCATAGGCGTGCGCACGTTTCCTGATGCCGGGAGCTGGAATATGATGTCATATTCCGGCTCCCAGCTACTGTAGACAGTTGAGATAGAGACAGGTGTCCGCCCCACTGGACCCCAGGGACAAGTCCACGCCAGCACTCCAGGTAGGGAGGCTGGGTGGACATTTTTTTATTAAAAAATAATAATTTGTATGTGTGTTTGTGTCTGTGAATGTGTGTGTATGTGTGTCTGTGAGTGTGTGTGTGTCTGTGAATGTGTGTGTGTGTCTCTGTATGTGTATGTGTGTCTGTGAGTGTGTGTCTGTGAATATGTGTCTGTATGTGTGTATGTGTGTGTCTCTGTATGTGTGTGTGTGTCTGTGAATGTGTGTGTCTGTGAATGTGTGTGTCTGTGAATGTATGAGTGTGTGTCTGTAAGTAAGAATTTAGACATACCAAGAATACTAAACTCTTACAAAAGAGGAACATTGGGATAAAAAAGAGGGACAGAGGGATTTGGGTACAAAATAGGTACTACCCCTACTAAATAGGGACACTTGGGAGGAATGCTATTGGGCTCCATGAAGGCTAATATACATACATTAACCACATGTTACAGTTACCTTTAATGCAACTGTATGTATTTGTGTATGTAAATCAGATATCCAAACAGTTCTGGTACTGGTGGTGTGCTCTTGTCCTGCGGTCCCAGGATTCTTCCCTGGTGTCAGGCTTTTGTGGACATCAGGGAAGTGTACCAAGATTTCACAACTCCCTATAATGGTAGGTATGGTATATAATGAAAGCATGTTTAAGAGCATATATTTTCTTTTTCTATGTTTGTTTATAGAATTAGTGTGAATATGTGTGTGCCTCTATGTGTATTGCTAGAGTGAATGCATTTGTGTATTTATATATAATATTTGTCCATATGAAATCAAGCATATTTGATTGTAGTACAGATGTATAAATTTAGTTTTTTTTTTGTATGTAGTGTCAATGTGTGTGAATGCACAGTTGTACATGGTACAAACGTGTAAATACAGGTGTATATTTATGTAAAATGTCATTGTGTGTATGGAGAGATATATTTGTGCAGACTATCGATGTGCGTAAAAGCAAGAGTGAGTTTATGTGGTGTGTTGGTGTTTGTATACATTTTTATATTTGTGTGTCAGTGTATGTCAATGCAATGGGGCTTTTGTGTGTAATATCGGTGCAAGTCAAGTGTTTATGTATACTGTCAGTATGTATGAGCATGTTTGCAGTGTGTGCGTAATGGGATGAATACAGCTGTGTATTTTTCTGTGTTTATGATTCTGGTCTCGCTATTTCCACCTTCTGTGTCTATCGCCATTTTCTCCACCTCTTGTAATCCTCTTCACATATTTTTCAAAATTCCTCCTCCACTTATGTATCTCCCTGTATGTGTATATCTCTCCATCCTCAATCATATTTGTGTCTCTTACTATCCTCCTCTCTCATCATCTCTGTGTGTGTCTCCACATTCCTATTCTGATTATTGCAATAAAAATGAGTGAAACTTTAGAGGGGGCCATCTGTATTGTTCTTCTGTGCCGGACCAATACTATGGTGTGACAGCAATGGTATGTGTGAGAAAGGGGACGGGATACGGTATAATGTGTTATACTGCGGAATTACTATGATCTAGCTGTTCACTTTCAATCTTCCCTCATTTGCTGCAAATCTGATACTTCCCTATTGATCAGGAAGTGGCTGATTATTCTGAGTTAATCCTGTACATTTCGTGGCTTTGAGAGGAAGCTGCAGCATATTTCAAAAAGCTTGCACTTCAGGAGGAGTGTGTCATGTATAGCTCTGCAGTCCTTAAATACATTAATGGACTTGTCACACAAGCATATACGAAGTTAGTGCTCCATTTATTAAATAAATGTATCTATTATAGCTCGGAATTTAGGTTGTTATGCTGTTTGCATTGTCCATTTAAGCACGGCAAATTATCTAACTTTAAAGGGTTACTCCAACCACCACGAATACTTTAGTAATTTGAAATGGTCATGGTGGTTGGAGTCTGGATGTGTAGTGCTTCTGCTTGAAACGCTGTACATTCATAGATATATACATCTGTGTGTGGGAGCTAGTTACACCTCTGGCACG